GTAGCCAACCTACCAAAGCAGTACTAGACCGACAGAACTTTTAACAGTCGAGGGCGTTATTCACGATACAGTCGTTCATTACAAAGTCGATCATTACGAAGAAGAAGCCGTAACAAACCCCTATTACCGCTAACGCCTAAGAAGTACTACGTATATAGAAAACCTAACTACTAGTCAACCAAACACACCACAGAAGAGAGACGAAAAGCATACGAGAAGATCAAAACCACCTAATATGCCCAAGATACATTACTTCCAGCATATAGCTAATTTCTCGTCTAATACAAGGGTTTCGACGGGTTAGACCTATAACCTACCGCCGAAGACCCCTAGCAATACTACTACGTAACCAAACAAACTAGTAAAGGTAACGAAGAGGAAGAGACCGGTAGCGACAGTTAATTCCAGGTTACCGCTTATTTTACTATAATAGCAATTAATAGTAATAGGATCGCTACGATCCTAGCAGACTAGTCAACTTGCTATACTATTACGAAAGAAGACCTCTTCCGCAACCAACCAGAACCGAAAAAGCTACCTTCGTAATTCATACTCGAGGGACGCTACTCTGCCTAGAACTTCTAAGGGATCATGCCCGACTCGGGCGTAGCAGGATTCTTAACTGCTAGCTACCTATAATTCGTAGCCTTATAACAAATTTACGAAGGAATTACGTTAAATACTAAGGCGGCTAGCAGCGTTATAGTAAAATTCGGCGATAGGATACTACTAGAGTCTATAGGGACTACTAAAGTGCTAACGCCGTTTAGAAGCGTTAAATTTCACGTTATTAAGACTAATACTCCCTTCCTTATATGCCTAGGAGATATAGACCGATTAAAGGTCTACTTTAACAACGTTACGAATACCCTCATCTAAGGAAACAAGGTCGTACCTATTATTCGCAAATAAGGCTACCTATAGTTATTACTTGATAAGGAGAAACTACTCGCCTAGAACTACCTTATAGACGCTAAATTGCGATGGGTTTACCGTCGCTTCGGATACCTATCTATTTAACGATTATACAAGGTATTCTAGAAGGCTGGCTACCTAGTTGAAATTACGGCAATTAAGTAACTATCGAAAGTCTGCTATCAATACTAAATATACGTACTAGCGCTATTACGGTTTAAATTTACGTTATAAGACGATTACGAATTTAACTACGAGGTTATCGCCGACGTAATATACCTTAAAGGTAATAGACCGGTCTTCTACGTCGTCGATACCGCTACGGCGTTTAACGCCGCCTAGTTCCTTAAGGACATTTCTGCGAAAGCTACTTAGGAAGCCTTACGCCTCTGCTAGATAGATATATATCAGGGACCCCTAGACTAGCTAGTTACCGACGCTAGAATAAACTTCCGCTTAACAGAATTCCGAAACGCGGCGAGAGGAATAGCAATTAAAATCAAGGAAATTCCTATAAAAGCCTATAACAGTATTAGGAAAGTTAAACGATACTATATACTTCTAAGGAAGGCGTACGAAATTATTAAAGCAGAAGACCTAACAATTACGCTAGAATCAGTACTTTAAATAGTAGTCAAAGTAGTTAACGATACTGCTAGCCTGAACGGAATAATGCTAACACTCTTAGTATTCGGCTTATACCTACGAATTACCGACGATTCGCTACTATCTCCCGAAGTTATAAGGCAGGCGAAAGCGATTAAGAAGGCGATAAGCAAAGTATGCGAACTTTACGTAAGGCGATAGGTAGTAGAAGCTATCGCTACCCGTAATAGCCTTAATATAAGGCTAATTGTTAATTTACTACTATAGTCGTAAGTATAAGTATAGCGTGAAAAGAAGGGCTAGACTAGACTATTTACTTTAGTAGCTATAAATAGCGAAACCTATACTATCGATACGCTACGTAGTCTGAAGACCTTCCGGTCTACTATAGTTAAACTATACTACGAAGATCCTGATTAACTACTTAATTCCATCGCCGCGCTAGAAGAAGAAAAACCTGAAGCTAAGATACTATAGTAGGAAGTAGTACGCGACGAAATTATCGTCGCTGGCAGAGGTAGTAAACCAGACGAACTGCAAGAGGCACCGGAGCTACCGAGAAGACGCCTAGGCAGACCCTAGAAGAGACTACTACTAATCGCCTACTTTATAAAGGAATTTAACGATAACCCGGATTATTAATAAATATTCCTATCGATTAAGGAGTAAGTAGACGAAGAATTAGCAATCAAACTACGACGAGAAGGTATTATTACTATACTAAGCAAACCGTTCGAATAGTTAACTAAATAAGAGATTAATAGCCTTATCGCTAGAAGAGTATTTAAATTTACCTAGTTTAATAAGAGAAGGTATTAGAACGTATGAATCTTCCGATCTCGTATCGTTAACAAAGTCAAAAGTAAAATAACCGAACCTTACGAGAAATCAAGACTTATAATACAAGGTTATGCCGACGATAGTAAGAAGGCTATATTAACCTAATCGCTAACGATTTAGCAAGCAAGTTAATAGCTAATTCTATTAATTACCTTGTTACTCCTACGAGAAGGGAAATAACTATAGCTTCGAGATATTATATAAGCCTACGTTTAATCCTCTATAAGGCTTAATCGTACTATTCTCGCCTACCTACCGAAGCAAATTTAAGACTAGTACCTAAAAGGGACTATTATAAAGGTTATAAAGCCTTTATACGGAATCGCAGAAGCTAGAACCTACTAGTAGGCAACGTATTATAAGCATTATAGAGAGAATCTCTAGATAGTTACTTCTTCGTACGATCTATACCTATTAATCTTATCTACCGAAAATCTATACTTTGGCTATATCGGTATGCAAACCGACGATACCCTCGGTTTGTTAGACAAGGCGTTCTTATAATTAGAAGACGAATAGTTAGAAAAAGCAGCTTTTATAACAAAAGCAAAGAATATCCTTATAATTAACAAACCTTTCTAATTTAACGGAGGGATAATCGCGCTATCAACCGATAATTCGATCAATTTAAGGCAAAAGGGATAAGCTAAGAAGTTACGATATATTAAGACTACTAAACCTAACCTAAAATAGTAATATATCGAACAACGCGCTAGAGGGGCGTATATCGCGTCAATTTGCTAACCCGAGGCCTGTTTCGATTTATCTACTACTGCCTAACACTAAGACCCCTCGCTAGAAGCGATAAAAGCACTAAATCAACGGATTCAATAGTAAATAGAATTGCCTAACCGAGGAATAACGTTTATCCTACTCGACCTTATAATAGCTAAGCTATTCGTTTTCGTTAACAAGTCGTTTGCTAATAACTACGACCTCTCCTCCTAATTAGGGTTTCTAATCATCCTAGCTAACGATACTTCCTCTAATAGCAACGATAGAGAATTTATAATTTACGGTAACCTCGTTTATTATAGCTTTACGAAGAGTAAACAAGTTACCCGTAGCGTATTAGCGTTAGAGATCTACGGGATGGTTGCTAGCGTCGATATAGCCTACGCCCTCGCCATAACCCTAGCGACAATCACTAACTACCTTACCCTACTAACGATTCAGATAGTTGTCTATACCGATTCTTATTCGCTATACGAGTATCTCGTAAAGCTAGGCATTATTAAAGAAAAGCGACTTATGATCGATATCATAGCGTTAAGACAATCATACGAAAGACGAGAACTATAAGAAATTCGTTAGATTAATAGCGAAGACAACCCTACTAATACCCTTACGAAGAGCAAACTAAATCGAGCCTTCGAGAGATTCGTTAATAGCAATACGATAACGATACGTATAGAGGGATAGGTAACAAGACCGTAACTACGGGAGAAAGTAGGGATAGGAGGCCGAATTAACGAAGAGACGGAACTATATAGGGACAACGTATTCCAACCGCTTCAACACCATAAAAAGAGAGTTTCCAGTGTTGCGATAGTTGGAATACGGAGTCGTATAGCACTTCCAGCCACACGCCCGCCAGGCTGAGAGGCCCAAGCCTCCCAGACCCACGTGACAGGCCAAGGGGGAATATCCCCACCTTCTAGTCAACAACACCACTTTCAACTATCATGAACCATCGATTAGAACCAATTTACTGTTATTTGTTATTGACGAACGGAATTCCGTTTCACCCCCTGTGAAACCTACACATACTGTAGTAGTAGCAGCTTAAACTTAATTTCAGTGTTCCAGACGGGTCTGATCTACAGGAACTACAATTGCGTAACTCCAACCCCACTGTCAAGTCAGATAAGGCCCTGTAAGGCAATCAATTGAATTATTTCCCGACTCTCAGCCATCGATGCTATCAGACGAGCCGGCCAGCTACCTAGTAAAAGGAGCGAGTTTGGGATGGTAAACCTCCTTGCAAACTCTCCGTAGGCCCCACCATGCCGCTCTGTAATGCAGCATTACTCCGAATTTGCAACGCGGCAAACGTGTAAGTCCAAAGGTAGCCAACAGTCGAAGAGAAGTTTGACCTCAATAACAGTTGGAAAAGTTTTGAAACCATCTGCAATTGTGCAAAGGTCGGCGTGCTGGATCACTGGTTTCAACTTGGGATTTGGTCACTCAATTGTACGACTCTGCGCATGACGATTACTATTCCATTAAAGGAATGACATTTACCGACGCGGTAAATATACCGAAAGCTTTAGGGTATCATTATCAAGAGCGAGCTTGGATTCAATGTGTTTCATTACTGCGCCCTCGAATGAATCATGACAGCTTGCTCTTGATACCTTCGAATCCACTTGTCTCGACCTTGATACATCGCTCTTGTATCTAAACCCACATGGTAGATACGTACCTCGAGCGTGTTATCACCTTACCAACCGTCGAGCCGTAAGCTAATAATATGTGTGCTCTCATCTATTATAAGTAAAGAAATTCCACAAAACCATCATCGTAATGTAAAGTTCTGCTCAAGCCATTTCTTAGTTGTTCTTATTTTCCGTCTTTATCAAGTGAGCCTTGACGGCCACATTACATTCTTTATAATTTACTTTTAACAATCATTCGCTATGTCCAAGGATGCTTTGGGGGCAGCCAAGCCACTCCTGCAATGGGGAGTCCCTCGGACCAGGAAAGATTTGTACAACACCATCACCAAATACAATCATTACATCTTTCCTTTCACACTAGCAACAACCTTCTGCTGTCAGTGACCTCATTCTTCCTTTCGAACAACTGGTCCATGCAGCTAACTCAGCAACATACAGTGCTCTGGAAGTTGGCTCATGCTACCTATCACTACGAAAATGCCGTAAAGGCTAATGATCAGTGGAACTGGACCACAGTGCTTCAGACAGCATTGATCTTCTTCGGACTCATTGCCCAGATGCCCCCATATGCGTCGGTTTTCGGCTTGTGCACGCCAATGCGGCCCGGCTTGTATTCTCAGGCCCCAGCCAAACGGGATTTTCGCAGTTTAAGAATTTGCCTTGTGACTAAAGGCACCAATTTTGACGTGAGTTCATTCCTTTAGACACCCTGACTGTCTCAAAATTCGTGACTAATGTGTAATTGAATCTTGAAGACGGTAATGAGGGCTACCAGAGCCTGGTCGCCACTTCAGAACATCCCAGGTGTGCGCTTTCACGTTGTCCTTGACGACGAAAAGAAAGAAGTGCAATTTCGCCAATCTCTTCCGTCATTTGTTCAGATAGTCGTCGTCCCATCCGCTTTCACGCCCAGCAAGGCCAAGTATAAGGCCCGCGCTCTTGAGTTTTACCGACGAAACCAGCAATTAACCAGTAATGACTGGGTCCTGCACTTGGACGAAGAGTCTATGATTGATGAGGACGTCATGAATTCTTGTCTTGATTTCATAACAAAGACTGACTTGGATGTCGCCATGGTATGGAATGCCTGCCTTGCCTATACCGTAACATGACTTAGCGATCTGGTTTACTGACTGGGATTGCTTGCTTCTCTACAAACAGGGGACATTGCATTACAACGACGTCAACCATTGGAAAAACGGCTTCCTAACGACTGCTGAGACGCTTCGTAGTCAAGAGGACTTTGGAAAGTTCTCCTACTCTGTCCGGATGCGTAACAAGCCCATGCTTGGATGGATGCACGGCTCGTGGATCGTAATCAACGGTGCTGTCGAGAATAGCGTGACATGGGATACCGACTGCCAGGCGGAAGACTTCTGGTTTGCATACAACGTAAGTGCCAACATCTTCTCCGTGACGGGTTCAAAAGAAAACAGACTAACTCACTGTGCACCGAAGTCTTCAGCGAAAGGTTACAAATTTGGTTGGATTTGGAACACCGTTCACGAACAGCCGAATGAAACATTCCACGACTTTTGGAAGCAGCGCAGAAGATGGTACACGGGAATTCTATCTATTCCCAGCATTATCGTCAAGTTTTCCCTTGTTGTTGGCGTCCTCGGCGAATTTGTGTACTGGCTTGGGTATGTTCTTGAACCCCTGTGTTCTGAATGATTTCTGTCTTTGAAAACCGCAACGAAGCTGATATTTGACTTCGTAGGCCTATCTATACGCAACTTGGCGGTATTTTCATAATTCCAAAGTGGCTATTTATTTGGGGTTTGTGGCATCTTGCCGTCGACACTCACAGCCTGATTGTTGCTTCATTTCTGCAGGACCTCACAGCACCTGCCGGAGTGATTTGGCTCCAAACTGTTCAGCATGCCATTCAGACGGTATTTCTAGCGCCTTTCGTGCGCCTCGTGCAGGTTGCTGCGCTGATAACCTGTATTTTCCAACCGGCTCAGGGGTTTGAAATTGTATCGAAGGTGTAAATAGGAAAATAGTGTAAACCCGCTAATCATACGTTAATCCGCCGTTGATGTCGGAGATTCGTAAGAAGTGTAACAGTTAAGCCCAGGTGAGAACATCATGGATCAACGAAACAAATTGTAATGCGACTACTTTTTCGAAGGCTTACTTAACATGCTGCCATTGGTGTATGCAAGAAGTTTGACATTGCTGCCGCATATGTAGGTGTGCAGAGCATTTCTTCAGAACAAGAAAAAAAGAAAACAAGAACGCGACAAAAATACCAAGAGCACAGCGTATGAGCAACGGCGATATCTTTAGTCATTTATATTGACGGGGTTGACGCCTAACGTCTTATTGAATTTACGTAAAGTTTATCGAGCCATGGCTACTGCAGGGTTTTGAATTCTCAAACCATGTTGGTCCAGCAACAAATGAGGTTGTTAATATAGACCTTGCGGCATACACAGCCAGGACTGCAACCTTCCCTAAGGGGTTCGAGGTAAATATCAAGCCACGGAGTAAGGAAACCATTGCCATCCAACCATTCAGCGAGAATACAAAGAGGGACAAGAGTATCTCGCTCAGTATAGCGAGACAACGATCTTGAAGAGTTAGTCCATACAAGAGCGGATACGAGGGTAGGGAACGGGGCAACGTGACACTTTGTTAGCATAATTATATGCATGGGCTGGCCAAATTGAAATAGCTGCTGTGAATAGTTGTTACTTACTTCAATCCATCTTCTCCTCATTCCTCTCATAGGGAGAAATTAGACTCCTGCACGCCAAAAGAAGCCTGAAACACCGTGGGAATGCTATTTATAGCAGAACTTGACAGTTTTAGTTCGCTGTCTATTAGTCGGTATTCTCATAAAGGTTTGAATAAGGTGTAACTGCCAATTTGTTTAATGAATCACTACCGACGGTATTCAGGGGAGCGGATGATAGACGTCATTGCTCCCGGTCACCCGGAATCATGTTAGATGAGCATTTGAGACGCTATTCTTATTTGTCGCAGGACGGATCTTCGGTATCTATTGACATTGGTAAAGGTTTCTGTGGCTGACTAGGTACTTCTTCTCACGGTTCTGACTACCTCGTCAACAGAGCTTTATGGTTTAACCTTTATCATACTATATCGGCTACTCACAGAATGATGGGAAATACTTAGTTCTGTCAGACTTTGTTGCAGTTGCCACCAAAGTAAACCCTCTCACTTTATGACTGTGCTGAGATTGTGCTCTGGGATCATGCTTTAGGGAACGTAGGGAGCCAGTTATGCCGTTTTATGTTGACCGCCTTTGGTATCTTACAATTACATTACTGCCTAGGTAATGCATATTTCTTGGTGGTTTTAGTATTGGTTAGCTAGTTACTTAATTGTTTAGGACAGCTTGCGCCCCATGCCTGCGCAACTCGGGGCGATAAAGGTTGATATTCCTGGATCGAGGTCAAGCAGTCTTTCTTGCATATCCCAAGTCTCGGTTTCTTTCGTAGTCCTTATTCTATTTAGTCACAATAGCCGAGCGGGTGACGGCACATTTGACCTGTCAATTAATTCTCAACAAGCAACAGATAAGCTTTTCAGATAATATATTACGATTAGTAACTCATGGGGTAACTCATGGGGTAACTTCTCTGCCTTTCTACACTGAACTTTAAACTACCGTCACAGTCTTCTTGCAAGCCGTAATCTCGTCTGGACCAAAAGCCTTTGCGTCCTGCAATACCGCACCAATTCTCCTCATACAGCCAGGCCTATCCAAAGCAGGGGTGACAAAAATTCCATGGACGCACGGATTCTTCCGCTCGGGATCGGGGGGCTGCAATCCGCCGTAGGTGTAAACCAGTACTAGAGCATATATCTCCATAGACTTGATGAGCTCCGCGCTCACTTCGTATCTTCGGTCAATGGAGTCAAGCATAGCGGGGCAATCATCATCCCCCTTCTGGCTCCGAAACAGCACATGTCCAGTCGGGCCCTTATTCTCAGAGAGCTTCACCCGGACCAGCGGAGCTTCGAGCTTAATAAAGCCATCTTTAACACGGCCAAAGGGATTGTCTCCATCAACAGCAACCCTGGCCTCGAGGACCTTGGCCACTTCCTCCACATCTCCGATGAACCCTGTTGCAGGAATGCCATCGACGGAGGCCCAGGACCATGACGGTGCTCGGTATGTATCAGAAGCTTCACAGGAAAGGGGTTCCCAGCAAAGGCCCTCTAGCAGCGAGCCACGCCACAAGCCTGCCAGATATTCATCGTCGAGGGTTTTGTTCAAAGCTCGGGCAATACCGGAGATGGCTGGCAGTTTGTCCGCCGGATTGGTCATCTCTCGAGGTCCGTACTCCCAAAGAAGACTATTCCAGTTGCTCATGGAGGGGTTAGACAGCTCTACAGCCTTGGGAGACTTTTTGGTCTTGCGTTTTGCTTGATTCTCGACGTAAGCGGAAATTTGGGGATCCTCGCTGATGGAAGGCAGTGAGTATGGTAGTTTCAGGCCTTCCTCCGCTTCGAAACCCTCAAGACATTCCCAATACATCTGGTTGCTCGCAAAGTGGAGTACTCGGCGAGCGAGAACGCGTTCTTGTAAGCTCCATGCTCTTGTTGTCAACGGCTCCTCTCTCATCTGGACGTGGTAGTTGTGGATAACCTCCTTATCAAGGGGCAAAGCAGACGCGAGGATGTAGTCGCCATTACTAGAGCTGCTGCAAGGCAGTTTTACGTAGGTCTTCGGTGTTCGAGCGGAGAGCAAGCCTCCGTTGGCGTTATCAGACTTTGCCGCTGCAAGCGTTAGGTAGGAATTCGAATACACGGCTGCCATCTGCGCCGACTCCCGTTCCCAGTCCTTCAAGTCATCCTGGCAGATGCACAAACTGTCGATCCAAAGATACCTAGAACCCAGCATGCGGGTCAAGAACACGGCATCTTGGAAGGTCTTGGGAAGTTCATCAACCTTGATGCCATTCTTCCTAGCTTGCATAGTCTCGCTGGTTGTGGTGAAATGCTTTATACCTTTTCCCCAACAGTAGCTGAGAGTGATGTAATGACTGCAAATCCCAGAATCAGGCTCAACAAGCTTGATTATGTGGTCAGAATCTGAAGTTCCAACATCCAGAAGGCGGGTCGGCATTCGAGCTCCCTGAATTCGGCAATGAGGGTGCTCATCACACTTCTTGAGCCAATTGACGATTCGGTTAAGGGTTGTCTTGTCCGGAATCTCTCTCAACACGCGCCCATTGTATCCGACTGAATGATCGTCATCTTGTGGAAGGTCTTGTCAGCAAAAGATGTTAGATAAGGGGAGAGAAAGCTTACTTTCATCCGACGCGAAACCGATTGATGCAACAGGCATCACCCAGCGATCACTTTCGACGGTGCTTCCACAGACAACCCAGAAACCATCGCCTCCAGGCTCTCCTCGCCTCGTCAACCACATATCCCAGCTCGGACGACAGGTTAAAGCACCTTCAAGCTCACGAAGAAGATTGGAAATCTCCTCCAGGAGGCCACTAGCTTCTTTCTCAACCAACTGGCAGAGTACACATCCTTCCGAAGCCGCTCTGCGCAGGCTTTCTAGATCAGAGTGATACTGAATGCCGAAGCGTTCAATGGGTTTTCCTGCTTCATATTCATGGAGTAGTAATCGATGATAGCGTGGTTTCCCACTCATTGTCTTTATGAATTCTTCATCGCGGAAAGGGGGAAGCTTTCCCAATGGGATGGACTTACAAAGATCACATAAAGACATGGTTCAAAATTTAGTTAGTATCCGTTCGTGAAGTGCAGTCGGATGCAAAGTCATCCTTTCGTTGCATTTTTGAAGCCGGCAGCATAGTCCTGACTATTAAATGGCTCGTAAAGGCGAACATACTGGCGGACCAATCCTGCCTATTCGCCTTCAATCGTGCTCATACGATGTCGATCGACGTGGCCAGACCCTTTGTGTAACGACGTCATACCAAGCAAGCTTGGGGGAAACTGATTACTTCTGAGGGCAAAGTTGAGGCAACTTGATGCTCAACAGCAGTTGCCACATACCTTATCTTCTGGAATCGAGAGTTGATGCAGCGGCTGCAAGTCCACCTGACACTTTGCAGACAGTGTCGCGGCGGGGAAATTCCCTTGGATTAGCTGGCCATTTTGTTCTAGACCCCTTGCCCCAATTATCATGACGGCGCGTGGTCCCAGGCAACTGGTGCCTAAAAGTGGTTGGGCAAAACAAGGACAAAGGCGGCAAGGATTCAGACGCCTGGCCATGAGGTTCAGTCGCTAATGTGGAACCTAGATACCTATATGTTCCCTTATAAGTTAGTCCACTGCAGTTGATGGGCAGAGGGATCTTCAACTGGGGGTGGTTGCTTTTAGGCCCCATGCTTGCTACTGTCCACATAGTACATCAATGCCCTGTGTTCTGGACCTTCTTTTGAAGAACCGATCGGGTTTCTGCATGATCAAGGCTTTCTTGATCTAGTTTTACCGACATTCCATCGTGTATCTTTACACGACTAGACTATATTTATCAAAGGAAAATGTGAAAGGGAAAAAAGAGAGAAGCGGCATTAACGAGCCACTGAAAATTGGGTGGAAGGTATCCGCAAGACGGACCCCTGTGTTGTCCCCTATTCCCTACAACTGTTTAATGCCGCCCTCAAGTCTTGCGACAGAGAATACCTTATTCAACGCAAACTTTTCTTTGCCATGTTGTATCATTTGTTACCTTTTTTTTTTTTTTTTTTGGTAGTAGTAGTAGTAGTAGTAGCCCTGGTGCTAGTGGCAGGGCGATGTAATTTAGGCCGGATGCTAGATGCAACATTACTCTGGCAATTGATAATCAAAACTCAACCACAGCATAAGTTAACTCAGGCCCAAATCGAACCAAAGCTTCTTTATTTATCTCCAGAGGTGTAGTAGAATACGCCTAAAAGTCGACACAGATCAGTTGTTTTCTAGGAGGAAGCTGACATGTATACCTCAGTAAGCATCATCGTACCTAAAAGAAGAGGCACAAAGTTAGTGCCCGAAACGATTGTAACTTCTCAGCCTGAGTTTTTCTGCTTCGTGCCCTCCGACAACATCTTAACCGTAAGATAGCGAATAGTTTTAGGCAAGCAGGCTGTGTAAGAGTGAGGAGAGGATCGCGGACCGTCAGCAAGCACTTAATACTAGTAACAGCACCTGCTGCTCAGACTTCAGCCGCAGCTGATTTTAACTTCCCGGGGTTGACTTTGGAGTGACGCAGCGGGTCTCAGGAGTTCAAACTCTGGTGGCAGTCAATTTGTGGTCTCGTAACATGACCCCAAGATTTCTAAGAGTCTGTGTAGTTGGAAAGCTCTGGTCAGAAGGTAGGCAGGCCCGGCCATCGAACCCGTGTTGGACGGGGCTGATAGGTCGATTTCGATTCCACGGCTACTTTGAAAACATTCTCTAAGATTATTTGACCGGTTGCATGGCTCGATCTGTCAAACCTTCTTAGTGAAACAGTAGTTTTCAAACACATTCATTAAGGCAGCAGTTCATGGATAGATTACGCTTGATGCCGATATTAGTAGCACGTGGCAGCCCATGTTCAAAGAGATAGTCCGGAGATGCTGAGACTTGATATACAGACTATACCCATACATGACTTTGCACGCTTTAATAGTGTCTGTAAACAAGTCAGTTGGCGAGACAGACAAGTTGTGTTTTTGATTTTCATTTTTGACGGGGCTGGTAGGACATTTAAGAATGGCGCAGATATTGCAGTGCTGTAACAGAGGTGGCGAGTCTGGAGAATAATTGAAGTCCCCCTCTCGATCTTGAATGGGCGTTGATGAGGGCATGTTGTCTGAGATTAGATATTCTCTGCCGCCGCAGATGTCTTCGACAGCGGCAATGGCGTCTTGATCGAGGCGTCCGTGATCAGGCGAGACATTAGAAAGATCTCAAATCCCGAATATGAAGTAGTGTCGGATTGGATCGAAACAAGAGGCATAAAAGATGTCACTGGACAAGGGGCATTTGAAACATATGCTGTATCCACCATGTCAGTTGGTCGTCTTTCCCACTGCAGAATACCGACACAGAGCTTCTTTTCGCCGGTTGGGTGAGCGGTACAGATGATCGGCACCTGACGGCGTGCGAGTGAAGCAAAGTTCAAGCCAGCTATACGTTGATCCGAATCACTGCTCTCTGTCTTAGTTAATCAAATCTCATCACCGATCCGCAACTCAAAAGTTCATCGACCGAACGCTATCAATTCTTGCGAGGTATCAATAAATTACTATTGTACAAGTATTGCTTTCGTCACTTATTTCTCAAAGCGGCTGGCAACAGTCTTCCAGTTGACAACGTTCCAGATGGCGTCGAAGTACTCGGCCTTGCGGTTCTGGTACTGCAGGTAGTAGGCGTGCTCCCAGGCGTCAATGCCGAGAAGGGGCTCGAGGTTGCCGGTGACGGGGTCCTGGTTGAAGCGGGTGACGACGCCAAGGGTGCCGGTGGTCTTGTCCTTGACGAGCCAGGCCCAGCCGCTGCCCTGGATGCCGGCCAGGGAGGTGTTGATCTGCTTCTTCAAGGTCTCGAAAGAGCCGAAATCCTCGGTAATGGCTTTCTGTTGGATGGTTAGCAATGGTCTTCTTGTGGAAGTAAGTGTTTGTGATAAGCATGGAAGACGTACAGCCAGCTTGCCAGTGGGCTCACCACCGCCGTCCTTGTTGGCGGGGGAGAGGTTCTCCCAGAAGAGGGAGTGGTTGATGTGACCACCACCGTGGAAGTTGATGAGAGGGGCCTGGGCGGCAGCCTTGGCGAAGTCGCCCTTAGCCTTGGCCTCCTCGACGGTCTCGAGAGCGGTGTTGAGGCCGTTGACGTAGGTCTGGTGGTGCTTGGAGTGGTGGAGCTCCATGATCTGGCCGGAGATGTAGGGCTCAAGGGCACCGTAGTCGTCTGGATCAAAGTTTGTTAGCATCTCGAAGTAGTCAAACGGTCCAGCTAGCGACTGTAGGTAAGGGGCGCCAGCTACTCACAGGGAATGTCAGGCAGAGTAGCCTTGCCACGGACGAAGCTGGTGCTGGCCATGGCAGCAGCAGGCTTCGCGGCACCAGCTCGCAGAGCTGTGCGGAGGGCGGGGACGGTTCGGAGGAGTGTAGACGACATTGTGCGTGTTCCTATGTCTGCTTTCTGGTGTCAATGGGTGTCACTAGAGACAGAGGTGATGGAGGGAGGAATTGTGAGTAGAAATGGAAAGATAGAATATACCTTTGGCCGTTCAATTGGTGGTTGACAGATGCAATAGCAGCTACAAATGATGTCAATTGCGGGAGGTTCGGTCGGCTATTACGTGAAAGAGCTCGGATCTCCAGAAAAGCTGTACCCAGGTTGCCGAGCTGCTGCAGCGGGTTGCTGCTCGCCCTCGCTAATCACCTTCTGCCGGTTTCTGCGTATGAAGGGCGAATGAAAGAAGAATGTCGTCATCCACAAAAAGTGGGGAACTGTTACCTCCACGTTCCAGCTAAACTTCGGCAAGCTTCTAAGCTGTAGCAAGAAAGTTCTCAGGTAATCGAGAGGTGCTGATTGGTTGATGATGCTACCTGCACCGCCTCAAATGGCGCCTCATGTGGCTGGAGACTATTGGAGGGGTCGCGTCAACATCACAATTCGACGCGTCGCAGTGACATTTTCGAATTTTGGGATTTCGCTGTTTGTCGCATCCCATTTCGACACCAAACGATATCCATTACACGGCTCACAATGTCCTACTACGACATTGACTCTATTCTGACTGATGCAGAGGTATGTTTACTCTTGTCCAAATCATACTTCGTCCACATCTGCATCTCTTTTTCCGCTTCCCACGCTGGAGGAAACATGGCTGACAATCAATGATCAGAAAGTCCCCTGCAAGTTCGAAATTGATGCCGCCGACCTAGGCTATCTCGATAACAATCCAAGTCACGCACTCAAAGCCGGAACCCAGATTTCACTTCCCCTATGGCTTGCAGAGATGCTGGCTCTTGCCAGCACTGGTGAAGACTCCAAGGCGCCAGTTACGCTGAATCTTCCCTCCGCGCTATCAAACCAAGTCATGCAAGCGCTCAAAGCCGATCCACGAGCTGTGCCCGTCAGGGATCAGAGCGCTCATTTTTACGGTCTCGGAACTCGCATTCTGGACCTGTTTGACGAGCGCGAGGTGAGCGAGGTGATGAGGAAGACTTTCGTGACCCGAGCCGCCGAGATTGCTCTCCACGCCCGCAAGGGAGGCGATGATGGTGTTGGCGGTTCGAGCGAGGACTTTCTCCGAGGTCTGGACGAATGGGAGAGAGGGCTCTTCCGCAAAGCGCACGATGGCACCAAGGCTTCCAAGGAGTGGATGGACAAGGTCAAAAAGCACTGAAAGGACTACGAGGGCTTCAATACAGCATCAACCAAGACCAAGATGACGAGAGTCCGGCGGCTCGCGACTTGCGCGCCATTCAAGCGAGTGCCCAGCTCGTGCCAAGAGAGAGTGCACTTTTGGTGCAACTGAAGATCGTGGTTCGCCAAGTGCCGTATACAACCAGTTACCCCGGCGGGGCGACTTCAAGACACGAAAGGCGACCGCGTGCTCGGCGCCGCGGAACTCGGACATTCCGGAATATGCCCGGAGACCGAGAAGCTCGGCCCAACGAAATCCCCAGCAAGTTACACATGGGGTTTTACCCCACGACTTGATCTCAGGGAAGGGGAATTACAGCAGCTATCCAGACTAGGCGTCTGTGTTAAAAGTTGGGTCGGTTAAACACCACACAAAGCGTGGGACGGAGCGTGGGGTGGACATTGAAGAACGGCGGGGCTACGCTTCGCGTTTCGGCCTTATCAGGGTAGTGCCGAGACAACACGACAAAGTAGCCTGCTTATTCAGCGATGAGGAAAAGCTGAAGGCGAACCTTTGCATAATACAAATATTTCTCCTGCCGTTGCAAGTCCTGAACGCCGGTGAAATACAGTTGGAAATGCGCATGACATATGTTTCAAGTGATAGATAGGGCCTATCGACTTTCTCCGCCACTATCTGCTATCTGACGGCGGGGCGGCTTGAGATAACAATGCGTAAGGTCATCGGCGGCTTCCGCGCCTCCACTACGCTTCCACTAGCTCATCACACAAACCCATATGTATAGATAGAGGAGTCAGAATCTCCTCAATACACTCGTTTTTTCCAAACTCTGAAGAACGTTTGCGGGATTCAACGATTCTAGAGCACCCTTCTATTCAACAAGCTTAGTTCATACCGACCAACATGGCTTCTCAGGTAACTGTTCAGCCCTTGGTCCCTTCTGCGGACTCGGCTGTGGATTTCGGAGCTATCATCTCCAACGTTGATATCGAAAATCTTACTGGTAAGAGCACATGAAGACTATAATGGGATGATGACAATGATATGCAAATTTTGGGAGAATACCCGTGAAATCGGTAACCTCCTTTGGTAAGATCTACATGCTCTCTCATCATCTCGACTTCAAAACTGACACATGGCAGATGCCGACTTCGACATCATCCGTGACGCCCTTTTCAACCACCAGGTCCTCGTATTCAAGAACCAAGGCCACGTCTCCCCGAAAGCGCAGTATGAACTCAACCAGCGCTTTGATCCCGAAGCCGCGGCGTCATACGGCCACGGCAAGACTCTCGATGCTAAGAGGTCCATTCTGCACCCTGACCTGAAAACCATTCCCCACCAGCCCCAGGTCCAGGTCATTGGCAACGGTTTCGTGGAAGAGTATGAGGGTCTGAAGGACATCAGACTCAGACACCCTCACCACCGTACCTTTCACGCCACGACCATCCCCGCCGAGGATGACCTTGACTTCACCCGTTTCTACCGCTGGCACATCGACGCGGCTCTGTACGGCCTCGCACCGCCCGTCGCGACGACCCTCCTCGCCGTCCGTGTCCCGGGCGGACGCAAGCAGACACTCCGTTATGACGACGGCACGGGCGAGGAGATGACGGTCCCGCTAGGCACGACGGCGTTCGTATCAGGCTACGCCATGTACGACAACCTCTCTCCCGCCGACCAAGAGTTCGCCCGCACCACAAAGGTGGAATACGCACCCCACCCTTACGTATGGATGAGCAGTGCCAAGTCCCGCTCCGACGGTCTCGGTCTCATCTCGGAGGGCAGGGAAGTACCTTTCGACGACCTCCCACCAATCGAGCAGGAAAAAATACAGATCCTGCCGATGTGCTGGCGGAACCCCGTCTCGGGCCGGCTGGCCCTTCAGATCCACCCGTCCGCAGTCCGGAAGCTGCACCTGGCGGACGGCACGGTGGTGGATAACCTGGCCGAGGTGCGGGAGACGGTGCACCGGCTCCAACGGCCGGGCATCTCACCGCAGCATGTGTACGCACATGACTGGGAACAGGGGGATTTCGTCATTTTCCACAACCGTGGCCTGATTCACTCTGTCGTTGGGGCGTTTGCCGAGGACGAAGTTCGGTTGTTCCGGCAGTGCAATATCGCCGGGAGCAAACTTCCTGTTGAGGTTGCTGCGGCTGTGTAGTAGTATGTATGCCTGCACATGATTCTTCTCGGCGTTTGGCGATCATGTTTGTCTACGGTTTAATTAGAGTTGGGCATGTGTTTTTACCCACTCGCTATACTCAATTCTGAATTACTTTTTTTTTGCCCAGTGCCCATGTCTTGCTTTCTTCTTTTTGACTTTTTTTTGTTTTTTTTTTGTGTTTTCCGAAGTGCATATCACACCATGTTTAGTGTTGGGCCATATCTCATGACTAACTAAGCCACGCCGGCAAATGTTTTCCGCCATGTTTTGTCGTAGTCCAGTGACTCACTCGGTGATCTTCTGCAAGCCGATGTATATGTGACTTTCTAGAGAGATTAGCACACTGCCTCCGTCACATCGGGAGCGCGCCATGACGCCGTCAGCTATGATCCGCAATCGGACGTTACATTGCACACCCTCACCGGCCGGTGGTCATGTCAACAACCTCCGCTTACAATCATACACCGACCGGCACGGGCAGAATCACAGTCACACCAATCAGCGGGGAGAGAAACACACGAGGAAAGCATGTTACGGGTCGTGAAAGTACGATTGACCCAAATAATTAATATTTTTTCTTTGAATATTTCCGTAGAGGATGACTAAATGTCTCAACCGGGACAAAGAGATACTTAAAAACGAGACCAACTTCGCCGTACCAGCCGTAGCCATGAGGCAACCGTATGCCTAACCATATAATAAACCAGAAAAACTTTTTATGTTTGTTTGTCAAAACGGGGGTATCATTCTAAAAACGGAGCCGTGCGCTCCTGGGGATCGCTGAAGGGAAAAACAAAAGAAACATCGCCATGTCTCTGTCGCTGCGTGGTCGAAATCACACAGGGGCTCAGGCATGCTTCCAGAACTTCCACTTCTGTTGCTTCTGGTACCCCTCGCACTCCGGCACGAGGTACTTGCTGAGCTTCTTCCAGCCCTCTTCGGGGAGCGACTCGATTGAGTCGTTGAGCATATCCATGCAGGCTCGGGTAGCTGTTCGATTTTAATCGTGTAAGCCACTACTAATTCATAATTGCGTGTAAGAAGATTTCTCGGTAGAACGTACGCCTCATCTCCATGGCATCCTCGCTGTCGGCGGCAATCTCCATACGCGTGGAGTTGTAACAGTGGTACTTTTGCTGGAGCTCAAGCATGCACTCCCAAAGCTCCTCGATATCGGCGTCATCGGAGGAGGAACGGCGGCCAGCGAGGGAGGGTCGTCGCGACTGCGGCGACTGCTCCGCTGCTGCTGTTGCTGTGGGTGCGGGAGCGTACTCGGTCATGGTAACGTGGGCCTCGGGCTTCTCTGACGAGGCGGCGCAGGGCCTAATCATGTCGTCCTCGCTGTCGCTCTCGGGCCAGGAAGAGTAGCCTGAGCCGCTTCGCTTGGGATATGCGCTTCGTCGTTGTTGTCGGCCGAACATTTTGGGCAATGTTGAGTTTCGATGTTTGGGGTTGTGTGTATGTATAATCGGGGATGATGCGTATAAGTGCAGGTGGGTATGGATGTGATCCAAAGGGAGAGGTGCCCGGTTTTAAATATGAAAAGAAAACAGGAACCGTGTGCTTGGGACGAGGTCGAAGCAGTGTCGAACAATAATGTCTATGGCGTTCACGAAAACGGCGAAAGAAAACAGAAAAAGGGGAGGGATATTAAGCCCACTATATAAGCCGCGAGTGCCGTCAGGCCCTATGCAGCGATCACCAATCTAAAGCTTAGATCGCTCGAGGAGAGAAGAGGTACACTAAAATTCTGAAAAGCCGCGTCGATCAAAGACCCGCGGCGGCGCCCAACGGAAGCAGGTAGATCCTTACTCATGCAGTCACTGAGACTTTGTTCAGGCCATGGCATCAGATGGGATGGGATGGGATGGGTGGGTGGGTGTCATCAAAGGGGGGCGTGTGTGTGTGTGTGTGTACATAGGATGTGTGTGTACTAGTGGACTCATTGGGCAAATGGCACGTATGTAACCCAGTTACAAGTTGGCCGCATTCTGGGCTGCTTTGGACCTCTTTCTGAGGTAATTCAGGCTAGAATGAGTAATGACGATGGGGCCGGGAGGGTGTGCAATGAGCTCCGTCTGGCCCGGACGCTGCCCGGGAGGTGGCCAGGACTGGGCATTAAACTGGGGCTTTTGAAGCAATTTTTTCCTTTTCCTCCTTGCTTCTTGGACGAACCTACGAATGATGAGACGTAAAAAAGGGCCGAACCACGTAGTAAAGTAAGAAAAGGGTTAAGAAGAACTGGAGCTTGGACGCGGAACGTTTTCGTGACTTGGATCTTTTGTCCCTGAAAAAATTCGAATGGAAAGGCAATGAAAGAAAAGAAAGAAAAACAAAATAAAAATTCTGTTATGACACTGTTTTCGTAGGGGCGGTAGGCTGGTACATGGGTACAATAAACATAACACTTACATAGTGACTAAACTACCTACATCGAAGTGTCATGCAGGACCAACAACATTACCCACCCGGCACTGGTTGGGCTTGTACACTACTACCAAGAAAGAGAGAGAGAAAGAAAAAAAAAACTTCCCGCTTGCACGCCCTGCCTCTGAGGTCCCCATCTCGTCTTCCTGGCTATGATGCGGCGATGTACGGTGTAAGCTCTACGATTCTGACTGGATGAAAACAGCCCGCGACGTGGCCCAGGGTGGCTGCGTGGTCAGGCGATGAAAGCGTGCAGCGTCCGCCCAGACCGCAAATGACATCTGCCAGGCGAGGTAAGGGATGGGGGGATGGATGTAGTTAAAATCTCATAAAATATTAACAATAATAATAGTAAATGGCAGTACCCAGGCCTTGTCGCCAAGGGAGGAGCAGTAAAGTTTTGTTGGCTTTGTTGACAAGCGCCCCCCGAGGTCGATAAGCCACAACAAAAACGCGACAGCTATACAGACAGACCGCTGATCCATGATGTGATGCCATGCACCTATGAAGCGATAAGGTTGTTCCGGTTGTTCCTGAGCCCAGACCGCTCCCCTAACTCGCCTGTTCGCCCAGGGCAACCACCTCCTGACCTGCGGTGAACGCCCTGAAGGGGTCTCGAGGTGTCTTAGACACCGAGACATGCGCCCTGCGCCGGCACTTGGGGGTTAGGATCAAATGACGGTGACGATGCGGGAAGGGTGCGGGAAAGATTTTTGAGTGGGAGCAGCGGGGGGCATGTCAGATAGTCCGGGAATAACTACATGTAGCCCTTTATCCCCTCACTCACTCATTAACTCACTCACTCACTCACTCTATGTTCTCAACCTCACTTGCAGGGCCGCCATCGAAACATCATCCAGGCCTCATTTGCCGCCAGCGGGCCTCATCTCATTACACCCCCGGTCAACTCTCGTGTGCCAGAGTGTGGCACCAGGGTAGGGGGGTTGCAGGGGGGCCCAGGGGATGGGTGCGTTTTACCTTTGACAGTGGTACTCTGTACAGAATACTACTACCCTACCTTAGGGTAAAGGGAGGGGCCCGAAGCCGCACCGGATGGGGCGTCCGCCGCTCGGTCAAGTGGGCAAATGGCCGACTTCTACTGCAGTCTGACATCGACGGAGGACAACCAGCCTCGGGAACCGGCAGCACCGGTCGTTACCCTACTCTGCACCCAGTAAAGGGAGGAAACAGAGGATCGTCTTAGCATGCTGCATGGCGCCATGGCCACATCATCAGCCGGACACTTCGGCACAGTCCACATCCCAGGCTAAAAAGGCAACCGGGCGAAGCTGCTAGCAAAAAAGTCAGCCAGATATAGACCGTAATCTGACGATAGCTGCTGATCCATTCAGAAGAGAAGCTTGTGTCGACGTCTGGTTTGCCCGATTAGCCTAAGCCCGTTTACAACAACCACGAAAACCTTACCTATGACGCATCTTCATCTTCTTCATCTTCTTCATCTTCGTTAGAATCTGAATCTCGCGTCATTCCCCCCGCGCCACGTCCGGAGTCCGCCATCCCCTCCCCCTCCCCGGTCCATTCTGATTCCCTCTTGACCTGTTGTCGTCTCATCACAGGCCCCAGCTTCACATGCTCACAGCCACATTTCGACCTTGGCCCCTTGGCTCGCATCCTGGTGACTGTAAAGCCACACATGATTATCGACGCCAAGTTCCCTGTGGGTTGCGCCATCTCCAGCGTGCATGCCGCATTGAGCCTTGTTACGCGAAAATTAGTCAGTGCTCTCAGCGCTTCGTATCGTTTCTCGTAAACAGCAGATATGTGCACAATTGCCTGGCTACCTACCTATTTTGATAAAAATGACCCATCCATTTTTCATGTTCAAACCATGGCAAAAACGTCAAAATGAGGGAGCTGATATTTAGCTATCAGCTGGAAGCCGCCCTTGGACGCCAAAAATCAATGACGGTTTTGTCAAGTGTTGCAACCGGCGATCATTGACGACTCGGGAGTGAGGCTCAAAGAGCCCAGAGACTAGGGAAGCTACAGCTCACTATGATTTATTTATTAATTATCTAAAGCTGGTGATCTTTGACTTGGACGCCACTGCGGAGTAGCCAATGATGAGTGGTTTATTTTCTGATCAACGGCTTGTCGCTTTCGCCCAGGCGCGGAGGTGGATAATGGTGAAAGGAACCCGATGCTTCGGGCTATGTGGATGCCAATGACGGTTTCGTCAGCCCTGGCGGTCTAGACTCCAGGGACTTCTATTCCGCCCCGTGCCATGGCCCACGAGTGGTAACTGCAGTGGATACCTTAAGGTAACACAAGATTCGAGACTTGCAGGCCTTTTACTCATACCTGGGTCTAAATATGTCAACCGCATTCCTCCATACTAATGACATTCTCAAGCTGCTGACACAATGCCGCATCCTCTCGTAACATATTGTCGCTAAAGCCCACCATCACTGCTGTGTTCGCCTTGCTGCCATAACATGACCCCTCTCTCACACAGATGAAGCTCCCCCATGAATTTGGCCTAGTCCCAAAGAGAATGACTTGGCTCAAGGCGGCCGTGGAAGTCCTGGAGGTTATCAGGTTGAAGCCCGTTGTTCTAGATGCAGTTTTCGTGAACATCTAGCCGCATCAGCTTGACGAAGTTTCCTCGTAGCCCATCTTCGTCTGCCACCGGGACGTGCATGCGCTGGTCTGCCTTCCTACACTAGTTTCTGATACTCCTCTGCGAGCTCATCATCGCCTAAGTGGCCTACTTACTCTTGAAAGCGTAGCAATAATCGAGAATAGGCTATGAAGAACGCGACGCCATTGATGAACGGGAAAATCATACAGCTTATCATCTTTGAAGAGGGTCCGTGAGAAGTTGGTAGGGTCGTCTGGTGTGTCCTCATCTGAAATCGTCTTCTGCCAGGTGTCTGCTAGCCTGGGAGAATGACAAGTTCGGAGCAGCACGTAGTCCAAGCTCCCGTGTGTTTGTTCCCATTACGTCTGATGAGGAGCCGGCACGCGGGAAGTCTGCTAGGGTGTCAGCCGGGCCGGCCTTCTGGCGGCTCTCACTCACCAAAAGATACAGCTACCTCAGTAAGAAGGCAAGCTCAGAGCGAGGAAACTATGGTCTGGCTTTTATCTCTCGACCAATGGGTTGCATATTGTGATTATGAAGATTACGAATAAGTAAGTGGTTTGAAAAAATGTTCTGGGGACTGTGAATACAAGACGAAGCATTTAAGTGGCAATTTGTCGTAATCGGCAAACCCATGGTCGTTGCGCTGACGGCCCTGCTCCGTATCTTGCCGCATAAAGATGTCTACCTTATGTGCATGAGAAAGAGCGAAAGACTTGGTTCTGCCAGCTCTTCAGAGAATTGCGCTCATTATGAATATAAAGAATATCAATGCAAGCTACGTTAGAGGACGGCAAGGCAGCAATCCGTGCCGCATTTAAACCCAGGCTGTCAGCGTCTCGCCTGAAGCGCACATCATCCTCCATTTTAGGAATCAACACGAGAATACATGGAGAAAGGTTTAACTGGTAATCTGACTTCGCCTCAATGTATGTCCGTGAACTCAGGGCTAACAGTCGTTTTCGGTGGCTACCTACCTATAGTGCAAGTTATATTGATATCGCTTGCTGGCTTCAGTCTTCTCAGCGTTAGTTAGTGCATCTATGGCTTTGAAGCTATCGTCAAACTTGGTGGCAATGATAGCGTGTAGGTGTGCAATAATTTGAACCGCAGCGGAGACAAAATGTCACGGAAAAGAGAAGAATCAAAACTGCAAAGGGCAAGAATGATGGAGGGCATGAGAGGATGAGCTGGGGTTATGGAGTTTGAAGTGGAATGTCACCTTGAGATGGTGAGACAGGTACTTGTGTGTCATGATCCTATCGAATGAGCAAAATTCTAAATAGAAAGGGGGGTTAGCACTTGATAGTACCTTAGATTGCTGAAAATTGAGTTGTGGTTCAAAACTCCGCGGGTGATTTCAAAACTAGGGAAAGCACAATAATACTCTATGCTTCACCTTATAGAGTGGTCTTGACGACATCATCAGCTTTTCAATTGAAAGATTGAATTGTGATACTTGTGCAGTATAGCAGTCTTCGCTCTCAGCAATAAGTTCAACGTATTTCTGGTTGCCCTCTGTCACAGATATCGTGGCCGTGGAAGATGCCCACCCGCGACGTCCCATACTTGTTCTCTGTACTTAACAATAAAGGAAAAAAGTAGGGGACTCGTCTCGATTCTGTCTGGGGTAAAGCCATCTTGGAAAAAAAAAAAGCAGAAAATAAAAAAATGGTGTTTGCAAAAAAAGAAATCGATGATCGATGCAGGGATCGAACCTGCGATCCTCTGCGATACAGCTGTCTGAAGCGGAGAACCGTCAGATTATGTAAAGCAGATGCCTTAAACCGCTGGGCCAATCGACCACTGATTGTTGTTAAGCCTCAAGGTAATGCCGTCACATAGGGTTGCGCAGTAGGTGCATCGCACGATGTGGGTATCGTGCAGCCGATAGCAAGCCATTACAGGTAAAGCCCAATGAATATTAAAGGACAGTGTTGAAGTTTGAAAACCAATCTCACCGCAGCCTAGATTACCCGATTGCCCTCATCTGACATTTGGTTGAATCACAAAATCTTTATCACCAGCTTCAAGATAAGAAAGACCGGTAACCAGTAAGAAACTATTTGGAAGACCTGAAGAACAGGGTTGAACTTGAAAAGCAGAGCGCCGGTAATTAAAGGACAATCCTTTTTGGCGCCCAGCGGCAGCTTCATCCGCCACATGATATTCTAGCCTCCTTCTTATGTGTCATCTTAATTCTGGATGCCTTTATCAGGAAGTCGGGGATGAAGGCATGGTGCTAATGCCAATCTTGGTATGGCAAGAAGCCAAAGGTCAACGCCCAGGTAGGCACCTGAGGAAACCAACAGCCCCAGAATTTTGAAGGCGCGATGTACATAGTGTACTCTTCTTGAGCTTATAAACTACTTTGTGGCTAAAAAACAGAGATTAAGTGATTCAGTACAGCTGGAGCGACCAGCATTGTAGTTGCAAATGTTCAGCACATCCCAATAATTCACCTCCTCGACTACCCCAAGGTCACCGCACTTGCACCGATTTTCTGAATCACATTTTCCACATGAAAATCATTTAAATAGAGGCATGCGTTTTCTGGATTCTTTTTCCAGATTCTACAGAACAGCATCAAACAAGCAAATACAAGCCAAAGCAAACAACCACACTACGCCACAGTTTACAACTGACCACACATTGCCCGCAAGCCAACACCGCTTCAAACATCGCACAACAAATCAGCATTAAAACCCTAGCCAAAATGTGCACACAGAGATATACCGTCTACAAGTGCATGAAGTGCAAGACCAGATACCGCTCCCGTCGCCATGCCAAAAGCAAGTGCTCCCTCAAAGCCGAAGGCCGTTGCCAAGGCACGCGGAGGCTTCCAGACGTGATTACCGAGAGAGGCTACTGCCGGGGCTGTGGCGAGCACTCTAGCTCCGATTACACTTCTGATGCTTACGACTCTTAAAGAAGATCATCAAGTTGAGTTAAGAGGGACGTGAAACGGGGATGGCTTAACGTTACGAGGAATGAAAAAGTCGAACAGTAGTTAGTCAACTTATTTCAAAAGAACACAATTTTCTAAGCCTGCTATTCTTCACTCGGAACAGACGTGTCTTGAAGTGATTGAGGGACTCATGCAACAACATAGTGATCTTAGGATATGAAATAAACAGAGAATGGTTGAAGGCAGTGTAGGTTTGAACTAGCAGTAACGTGAAAGACGTTAACATTTGTCAGAATAAAGAAGCATTGGTACATCATAAAACTCAGCTTGGTAATATGAAGGTGAATGAAACGTCACGAATTCTCATTCTGCTGCTGCTTGTGGCTGTGACAATAAATGGAATAATGCAGGAATACTCATATCTGCTCGAAAGCAGTCATCTACAACACAACACAATGGGAGGCCGGAGACAATCAACCTCCCACTTTATTACACACCACCAAGAAAGAACCAAGCTATTTCCAGGTTGATCAAAGCTTTCTAATAACTCGCTTACAAATAGTTAACGGTGCAGGCGAAGAGACATTTCGATATAGAGTATTCAGTAGATGTGTCATCAGAAGCGGGCTGAGCCGGTCTTGGTTCCGATCAGGCTAATTGTTGACAGCATTCAGCATTCATTCCTATGCCCTACATCACCTAGATTGACAACCCGACGACCCTGGTCATCTATGACCAACTTTTAGACGTTGCCATAATTGAGTATTCTGGCTTCTCAAACTCCGAGAACAGATCGTAAGACGTACACAGTGGCCACCCACATGAGCACCACATCCGGCGAAAACCAGTACCATGGGCTGACCTACTGGTAGTATGTGGCCTTTATCACCGAGTTCAACAGTCATTAGGTACCAGGCTCCGAATAAACAACGGTACGCCCAGTGGATAGTCGCCGATGCATGTCAGATTATCGGCTTGGCGCCAGCCAACCAGTGCAGCTTAGTGGGCATACCGCGGCAATAACCGAACCTGAAGGATTATTCTAGTAGATCGACTTTGAATCTGAACATTACATCAGCACCTCGGCAGATTGTGTATCGCCGAGGTGATTGATTACTTTCAACAAATATCAATAATCATGGCCAGCGAACACTTCCAAATTACTCAATTAGAGACAGCTTGCTATATTTAGCTGTTTAAAATAGAAACAAGGAACGTATAGCTGGAGTTCGGGATGTTTAGCTAGCCCAACGGCAACGAGTTGCAAGCGGAACGCCGACTAGTACTACACTGATGCAATGACATGCGGAGCCGCCAAAAGGCTTCATACCAGCGCAGCTGAGGAACCCTTCTGTTTGCAATTGATAGCGAGCAAAGAGAAATGGTATTCTCTATCGGATTATCCGCAGGCACCACAGACGCCGGAGACACGTCATGCCGAGTGGATATCCGTTGGGATGCCGCCTCAGACACCGGCCGGATGGCTACCTTGGCGAATGGAATCTTAAAGACTCAATCCTAGGGGCCATTATGAGGTCTCGATCTCATTTTTCTGAGTTGTGCCGTTCAACTACGCCCATCCCGCAATGCATCAAACACCCAACCATGTGTGTGCCACACAATGTGGTATCGTGTGGCGGAAAATGCTTATGTCTGCCGCCACAGCGCGACATTAGGCTAGTCCGTGTCCAGCTTCGCGCGCGGGTTGAGGTAACACCAGCCGCGCGGGGCTTCCACGTTTTGTACACTCAGCGTCTCGCAGGGTTGACGTCTTAGTTGCATGCCAATCGAGGTGTCTTACTCATCTACATACACAGTGGAGCGCAGCAGCTGGGCCTGGGTGGAATTATATATAAAGACCTTAAAAGAGACTTCGACGATGTCAGAAAACCTTATAGTACTCTTATACCAGCCAATAGTCGAACATTTTAATCATTGACACCGTTGCTGTGTCTTCCACGTAACAAAAGCACAAGCAAAATGCACGCAGCCATCGTCAACTCGTGGGGCGCCGCTCCAACTTACACCACAGTCGAAGACCTCCCCGAGCCCTCTGCAACGCAAATCCGTCTCCGCGTCCTCGCTTCTGGCATCCACCGTCTTGTGCTAGCCCGGGCCTCCGGAAAGCACTACACCTCCACAACCCTGCCCCACTCTCCCGGCGTTGACGGCGTCGGCGAGGACCCCACTACCGGCCAACGCTATTACTTCTCCGCCTTCCAGTCCGGCTCTTTCGCCGAGTTCGTCAACATCGATCGCAAATCCGTCGTTGCCCTCCCGGAGAATGCCGACCCCATCACTGCCGCTGCCTTCATGAACCCGATCATGAGCAGCTGGATGGCCCTTTCGGCACGTGCTGCACCACAATCTCCGGGCTTCTCTGTCGCGATTCTGGGTGCCACAAGCGCAAGTGGACGCGTTGCTGTAGATGTCGTCAGGTCCAAGGGCGCAGGCCGTATTGTGGGAATCGCTCGCAATGCTGCCGCATTGGCGGAAATCAACCTCGATGAACGCATTGTACTGAGCTCTGAGACGGACTGGTCGGCCCTTGGCGAGGTTGACGTTGTGCTGGACTACGTCTACGGCGATGCTGCGGTAGCACTACTTCAGGCCCTGCCAAAGTCTCAGAAAGAGGTGCAGTACGTTCAAATTGGCTCCGTTTCTGGCGACGGAGACCTTGCTCTTTCTGCGGCTATCCTGCGTGGAAAGCGAGTAGCCCTTCGCGGTTCAGGGCCTGGAAGCTGGACGATGGAAGAATATGCTCAGGAACTTGGGGGAATGGTTGAAGTAGCGGCCAAGCTGGAGCGGAAGGGTGTTGTCACAGCAGCTTTCAAGGACATTGACACAGCGTGGAGCCTGGCCGGCTCGGGTGGGAAGAGGGTTGTATTTGTGAGCGATGACCTTGCTCAAGAGGCCTAAGGGTAAGATGAAAGTCTGGGTCAAGGATCTTGTTTTCAGCCGAAAAACATAAAACGATAGATGCGAATCACGACTAGCACACGAATTATTCTTCACTTGTAATATTCAATAATGGCACCTTAGGATAACATCACGATATGGATATCAACTACAATTCAGAGGCTTTGTACACCGACATGAGCTAGCAGCACCCTTGCTATAATCCTCATTCGTTAAATCGAGATACCGGCTACAACCGCATTGATCACCTTTTTAGAAAACATTCTCATGCTTGATAATACGTCAGTTATCTCCCACTGCTCATCGATATAGAAAACTAACCTGTAAACCACGGCGCACCAACAGCTTGCGCAACGGCCTGCGCAACAAGCTTCTGGATCTGCACACCGGGGTGGTAGTCGTTGAACCACAAGCAGCTAAGACCATTGGCATTAAAGCATGTGGCGTCCGGCGCGCCGTAGGCAGTCGGGTTGTTGATGGCCTTGTCGAAGGGAGCGGTGGTGTCGACAATCCACGAGGTGACGCCCGCGTTCTTCGCCTTGAACGCAGCAAGGTTGCTGGCAATGAGGTCGTTGTACTGCTTGATCGCAGCCGCAAGCTGTGCATTAGAGTCGGCGCCGTTCGCAAGCATTAGAGGTGTCTTCTGAGTGGCTGAGGCACGTCAGTTCATGTCGCTTTCTCCAGAACGGCGTGATAATACTTACGAGGAACTCCGAGGAGAACAAACTTCCTCACTCCAGCGTTGTACAGAATCTGCAACTGCTCAAAGTACTTGGCCAGCACTTGAACAAGGAGCGTCTCACGGTTGCCCAACCAAAAAGCGTTACCGACGTCGTTGACACCCATCCATACACCGACAAGCGTGTTGTCGGCATTCCACGGCGCCCAAGATGGCTTCGGGGCCAAGCTTCTCGAGAACTCGGTGACCTGGTCGATGAAGCTCAACACAGTGCTCGCGTACGGCGCAATAAGAGTAGCGTCGGTCGTTGCGCCGCCATAAGCAAGGTTGTAGCTGTACGTCAGGCTCGCGTTGAACTGCGTCACCATGAAGCCAACCCAGTCGAGACCGCCAGAGGCCGTCCAGCCCGGGAGGTCGGGGTTGCCGAGAGGGTTCTGGGGATTGGGCTTCGTGCCATTGATGTTGAAGCCCGTTTGAGAGTACGAGTCACCGCTGCATCTCACATCAGCATTTCCAAGCGAGGACACATGAGCGCCCAGTATGACTTACAAGGTGATGAAGTATTTCGGCCCCCCAGGTGAGCTAGTTGCCGACGGTGTCACGCGGGAGGATGAAGATGTAGTCCGCACCGTGACGGTCGTGGTTCGAACGGTTGTCGATGCCGGTACGCTCGTGAAAGCAGTCGAAGATGCCGGGGGCGCGGTACCGGGGACACATTGGTCTAGTAAGTTAGTATCCGACGTCATCTCCTGCTTCATGAGTGCCGTGACTCACAGTACCACGCATTCTGCGATGAGCAATATGACCCCCCAGAGCAGCTCGTCGGGCCACTCCACCCCAAGCCACCACATTGACCCCACACAGGAGCCTGCGCGGTCGCAGTAGATACGAGGCCAGCAGCCAAGAGGACCGAAGCCGTAACACGAGCCATCTTTAACAGAGACTTTGGAGTCGACAAGAGGAACAAACCCAACGGACAACAAGACTTGAACTGACTTACGGCAGCACCCCGGCGCCTTCTTATATTCCCCACAGACTCATCTGCTCCATCTCATGACGATGGCATCCGACAAGAGTGCCGCGGAAGCTGTACCAAAGCGGGTAGCAAAAGTTAGCTGCACGCCGTTCCGCTCGCCAGTCAATTGGCGGGAAAAGATCGATGGCCAGGGGTTGCCCGGGTGCGGAGATTCTCGTGTGCCTGATTAGAACGCAGAACCCGGGTCCGTGGTTCACTTTGGAAGAAAGCAAAAGACAATCTGAGAACAAGAATGGCCATGGGCTAACCTGGAGGATGGGGTGGGTAGGGTAGGTGGAGAGCTGGGCTGGGCGGTAGCGTGGTGTGCGCATGCGGGGACGCGGAGGGAGGGCATCCCCGACCCCAAAAGGGGAACGGCTTGGATCCACATCGACTGCCACCGTCGGCTGAGCGGAATCTCACAGAGCCAAGTCTGGACTGCAGTTAATAAATGTATGCGGTTCCTGACATTTTGAGTTTGGGCCGTTGTATTCTAGATTGGTCTCGGCGGATGGGCTGCATCCATGATAATGGAGTTAGCTTGGATTCTCGGCTCCGAAGTGGATTGGTTCAATACGGTGGTAGATTGCTAGGTCGAGTTGAGGAAATATCTTCCTTGTATTATATGAAATAACAAACTAAGATTTGAGGCAACAATGGTATCAAACTTAAATCCTAAAAGACCTCCCATCATACTAATACTTGGAGCCTAACAACGCTTGCCGAAGAAACTGGACCACCCGTTACATAGTGAATCTAGACAAGACAGACCAACCCTCGAAATTTGTAACAAAAGAAATAACCAAACAAGCAGATTTTACGATGCGTAAGTGTCTATACGATCACCATTTTATGGGGACTCTTCTTCTCTTCTCTTCTTCCATTTCAGGCCTTAGCTCTCTCGCCAACATACCCCTCAGCAACTTCATGACACACTATGAATACAAGTCAGTTTCAAGTCTCAAGTCGTCCTCAAGGGATAGGGAATACTCACACTTTGCAACACTTGCACTTCCCAAGATCTTCATCACAGAAACATCCCGCTCAACAACCTTCCAGAACCAACCCCTCACCTCGACAGCAACAAGCGAGTCCATGCCCAACTCGCCAACGCTGTGCTCACCCCTGACGCTCCCTTCGCCAACACCAAGGACAACTTCGAGGTACCTCGAGAAGCCCTCAACGAGAACCGTTGTAACTTCTTCAAGGCTACCGCTGTCGGAGGAAACAACAGCCTTCAACTTCTCCTTCAGGCTCTGCTTGCCCTCTCCCTCCTCCGCACTCTCGGCATCATCCTCAACTGTAAAGTGCGAGAAGCGCGGGTCTCTGTGCCAGTGCAGGGGGTTTGCGCTGTTGGGCTTGTAGCGGCTAAGTCCGGTTGTGATATCGTAAATCTGTCCCTCGACAGGGCGTCCTGTGACAATGGCTTCGAGGAACATGTGGTGGATGTCGCGCTCCGAGATAGGAGGGTATCCGTCCTTTTCGAGGAATGCATAAATATCGTTGCGCTCGCGGTGGAGAAGTCCTAGGCCGTAAATGACACCAATGTTCAAGACCGAACCAGGGAGACCACGGAGGCGACGGTTGGCCGCAAGGCCGTTCATATACTGTTCACATTTGTCAGTAAGAGGTAACAAGCCATTGTCAATGATACTCACCATGTTCGCAGCGGCATAGTTAGATTGTCCACCGTGGCCACCAGGCGCAGCGAAGGACGAGGTCATGATGAAGAACTCCATGTCAGAATCGCAAAAGATTTCGTCGAGGTTGCTGGAGCCGACAGTCTTGGGTCGCATGACGCGAGTCCAAGTATCGACATCCATCTGCGCAAAGACGCGGTCATCAAGGACCATGGCACCGTTGATGACGCCAGCAATAGGTGGCATCTCCGCGGCCAACCTCTGCTTAAAGGCGCGGACACTCTCGATGCTGGTGACATCCAGCTTCTCAATGCGCACCTCGCAGCCCTTAGCGGCAAGGTCGCCGATCCACTGAGGGTTCATGTTGGGGTTACGGCTGGCGAGCACCAAGTGACGCGCGCCGTGCTCGTAGAACAAGTTGCACAGACTCTGTCCCATGTCACGAGTAAGGCCGACGAGGACATAAGTTTTGTAAGGGCGGAGAAGCTGTGTTCCCAGAAGCGGCTTGGCGATGTGCTGTACCGTGCGGTTGGCGCGCCAGTCGAGGATCTGGAAGGGATTTCCGCTGCCGGACTGGTCCAGAATATGGGGAACGGAGACGGCATCGATGTTGGGAACTCCCATCTGGCCCTTCATACCAGTCATGTCCTCCAAGGCCTTCAGGATGGCTGACTCCCAGATATCTTCGATTTCCATGGAGTCTCCGAGGGCAACGACGTGCTCGGAAGTGAGAAGGGAGAAGCGAGAATGGTATTCACAGTTCTCGGGGAGGCAGTCAAGGATGGCCTCAGAGAGTTCGCTGCCCTCGGGAAGGAAGTCGATGATAGCGGCACCATTGGCGGGGAAGAGTGACTTGAGCTCACGGTTGCTAGCGTAAGGGTGGATGTAACGTTCGCCAGTTGACTTGCCCTTGAAGGGAGTGGTAGTACAGGCGATGACGTTGACGCCCTTGGGCTCGAACACTTCCCTCATGCAATCCAAGAGGACAGAGTCAGGCTCGAGGAGGAGAAGGGTCTGTTCCATCATATCCTCTGCCACTGACAGAGTAACGAGGTATCTCACAACAAGGCTAAGCAAAGCCTTTGGCTCCATGTTGCGATCGCCCAAGGGAAAGATGCATGAGTTAGGCACCGTGACATAAGAAGAGTTCGACTTCGTCATGGCCAGGCACTGCTCGCCATTGGATACATCCTTACCGATGCAGATGTGTGAGGCATACTTGAGACCAAAGTTGACGACCTCGACGGAGCTGTAGTTGACTTGGATGACGCTCTGATCAGGCACAATCGCGTCAAGGATCTCACCCTCAACAACGTTGGCAGTGTATACCGCCGAACCGTCCGCGGATTGAGAAGAGACAACTTCGACGCAGCTCTCCAGTGTGTTTACTTCTGAAGAGACAAGTCTGCGAGGGCAGTTGAAACGGTCGTTGCCCTCTTTCCAAGGGACCACTCTGGGGACAAGTCTGTGCCCATGCTCAATGAAAATTTCGTTCTCGTGTGTCCACAACAACTCGCCGTCCTGGGCGCCAGTACGCAGGCCCTTCATGCTCAATCGCAAGAAGGCTTCGGCAATGGCGTCAGCAGAGTCGCGTCGTGAGTCGAGGTCCAGCATTTGTAACTTCAGACTGGGGACTTCAGCGAGCATGGAGCGCGAGAAGCCGTATGTCGCGGCGTGTTCGGGGTTACCAGCGCGGGAGTTCATAGTGACCCACAAGACAACCTTCTCCGGGGCCATCAGGGCGCGGAGGAGATCAAGGCGCTCGGGAGTCATAGAGCTCATCATGGGCTCGTCCAGGTCAGCGAGGAAGACGACATTGCTGACCTCATTGAAGTAGGCGGGCTGAAGAGAATCGAGGTCGCCGACAATGTCAACCATACTGCACGCCGGAACCAACTTCTTGTGGATATTCTCAGCCAGGTCCGCTGAGTTTCCGCCAGCGCCAATGATAAGGGTGTGTCCAGATACCTTGGGAACAGAGCTGTTAAAGGGATTCAACGCAATTTGCTTTATCTCCGATTCGGCCTGTCTGACAATGAGGGAGAAGTCAGGGGCAAAAAACTGCTCGGCCTGCTTAGCCGTGCGGACAAAACCGCACTCGTCCAGCACATCAGGCCACTCTGGAGGAGTAAGTGGCTCTTGTACCCGGGTCCTCACACCAAAGGCACGGCGAAGTCTGTCTCGAAGAGGGCTCATCGACTCGTGGATAAGAATGAGGAAAGCACCAGGCTTCATGAGGCTCTGGACGTGCTTGAGTCTGTCACGCTGCTCGGGGCCCTTGATAACTGACGTGTTGAGAACCACCAAGTCGAAAGGCTGGAGAGACGCATCAGGTTCGGAATCGAGGAGCTTTGTGTGTTCGTGGTCGATCTTCTTCTTGAGTGCCTCGGGCCCGGAAAGTCTTGCGAGCAGGTTCTTCTCCGCCTCGGTGCCAATCGTGTACGACACAAACGAACCCTTGAGACCGCCAATGACATGCTCTGAAAGTCCTGCCTCGGGATCTGTCAAGCCAAGTACTCGCATGCGAGGGTACTTATGAGCAATCTGAGAGACAACGCGGCTGACATGGACTCTGAAGTGGTGCAGCTGCTTCGCCTCCTGGATAATGGTAGATATCATGGCAGGGAGGACGTCGGGCAGGTTCTCCCCCAAAAGACGGATGAACTCCAAAGCATGGTAGAAAGGCGAGTGAAGAATGAACTTTTCCAAAGACTCAGGAGTGTCGTATTTCCACGGGCTAGGAGTCTTCTCAGTCGACGGAGGCTTAGCAAGAGGTGACGTCGGGGGCGTGAAGAATGAAGGAGCAGCGCCCATCTCCTGGATGGCAGATTCATCCTGGATATAGAAACGCGCAACTCTCTCGCAGCTCTCTAGAAGGATGCGCTGCATAGCGACATCTTCGGAGGAAAGATCTGCAGAGACAATCTCATGTTCGGGGTCGAGGTCCATAACGGTGTGGAGGTAGAGCTCCTTGTCGTCTTCGGGCTTCGAGTTGGCGAAGGAAGCGACCATTAGACCCTCAACTTGGATCTCCATCTCGCCGCGCGGGTTGAAGATACTCATGTCACCTACAAACTTGGTTGTAGCGGTCTTGGTGCGGGGGATCTCCTGGGTGATGACAGAGTCAACTACCAACGATGCGCCGTCACCCGACTTGCCATCGCAAAGGGCAAGATTGAAGCGAATCTTCTCAATACTTCTAGGCAGGAAAGAAGTCCAGAGAGATTTGTCTCCTGGAGAAGCGCAAGCAGCAAATACGGAGTGGAAACAGCTGTCCAGTGTCGCTGGGCTAACGCTAAGCCCAGTGCTGTCCTGATCGTGGAACTTCTTGAGAGTGGCAGTGCAGAAGTTGTACCTGCGGTCAATGCCCTCGAGCGCGCGGAAAGGGCCGGTGTAGTCAAGACCGATATCTGACATCATCTGATAAAAGGCGTCGGTGTCTGCTGGAAGTGTCTCTGCCAAAGCTGGATCGCGCTCTGGAAGTGCACCCCTAGAAGGTTCACCGAGGTAGATGCGAAGGTTACCAGTGAAGTTCTTCTGCATCGGCGACACTCCATCGGCGTAGCAGGATGTAATAGTAAAAGCACCGTCAATGACCTTGCCTGCTAGACGTCCCTTGGTAGAAGGAGGCTGGATGCTCAAGGAGACGAGGATCTCCATTCCGTAGGTGTTTGATTCCAAGGAGATACCACTCATGAACTCAAGATCGGTCAACTCGACAACTGACGCCTGTCGGCCGTTGAGAACGGCCTTGGCCGCATCCAAAGCGAGCACACAGTAAGCGGAAGCAGGAAGTAAGGCTTGGCCCTGGAACTTGTGGTGCTGAATCCAGGGGACCGTCTCCAGCTTGAGGATGTTGCGCCATCGGAGTTCAAACTCGGTGTCGTCGCGGGTGCGAACTCCAAGCAGCTCGTGGGGTCCCTGCTCGCGGAAATGATATTGATGAGCAATGCGTGACTCGCGGTAGTGCATCTGGCTATGGTCCCAAGGGTAAGACGGAAGCTCGATCTTCGAAGACAGAACGCCGGGCTGGGTGGAGTTGGTGACGAGGGATTTCCAGTTGATAGCCTCGGGGCCAAAGTAGCACCAAGTGAAGCCCAAAAAGTCGGCAAAGGCATGTCTGTCATCCTTCTTGCGATCAAGGAGACCGGCGTACGAAAGTGCACCACCAGTTGCAGCCTTCACAGTCTGTTGAACAGGACCCTTAAGAGCAGGGTGAGGGCCAACTTCAACAGCGCAATCAAATGGTCCCTGAGAGCTCAGAGCCAGGTCAACAGCCTCGTAGAAAGATACGGCCTTGACCATGTTGTCTTTCCAGTAGGTGCCCTTGAGATTTTCGACAGTTGGCTCCGTACCGTCAGCGTAGACGCTTGAAATCCAGATCGTACCGTTGCCTTGTCTCGGGGCAATGCCGCATGCAGCCAGGCCATGCAGGTACTCTGAAGCTGGCTTTTCCATGTGAGCAGAGTGGTAAGCAGTGTCCACGACCAAGAGTCTGGCAAATTTGTTCTCTGCAGACAACTCGGTTTGCAGCGCCTTGATAGCGTCCGCGTCTCCGGACAATGTGACGCTGGAGGGTGCGTTGCTGGCAGCAACCCAAATCCGACCCTTGGTATCATCTCGCGCACACAAAGCGGAAGCCTCGGCGCGTGTCATGCCGACTGCCATCATGGCGCCTTTCTCGCCATTCTTACCACCTGCAAGATGAGCCGACATGCCTCTGTAGTAGGAAATGAGCATGGCGTCCCGCGCACTGAGCACGCCTGCAGCATAAGCAGCTGCGATCTCGCCAGAAGAGTGGCCAACAACGGTGTGGAATGAAACACCAAGGCTGGAGAGAAGGTCGATGAGGGCAATCTGAATGGCCGTGCAGAGGGGCTGGGACAGGGCGGCAATGTTGATTCGCGAGGCGTCCTCCTGGTGGATAAGCTCCTTGACTAGCGACCAAGTAGGAGGATGCGGGCAGCTCTGAAGGACATCCTCAAGCTTCTCAATGGCGTTACGGAAGATGAGACTCGAGTTGAAGAGCTCGCGGCCCATACCAGACCACTGAGCACCCTGCCCAGTGAAGATTCCAAGAATCTTAGGCTTGCTGCCGTCCAATTTGGCGCGGACGCCAAGCTCAGGGCTTGTGGAGGAGCCAACCTTGGCCAGGAGGTTGTCCAGGCTGGCGACGGCTTGGTCTCGAGATCCGGCGCTTACAGACACTCTGTAGGTCAAGGCTGAGCGACGAGAGTAGAGATTGTAAGCAACCTCGTCTGCCGATTTCTCTGTGCCAATCATGAACTCTCGGACAGATCGAACCACAGCAACAAGGGACTTCTGCGATTTGGCAGAGAGGACTAGAGGAAGATTGACGTTGGGGGCGTTTGCATCGCTTGCAACAGGGAGTAAGGTGGCAGGGATCTCAAGAGACGGGGCAAAACGCCTCGCAACTTGATCATGAATGCTTGGCTCGTATCTCTCGAGGATGGCATGCGAGTTCGTGCCACCAAATCCAAACGAGTTGACACTTCCTCGAAGGGGCTGGCCCGCTGGGGCTTGGGGCCATGGTATTAGCCTGGTTGGAATATGAAGATGCCCATAGAATGGATGCACACTCGGGTTGAGGGTTTCGAGGTGTAGGTTGGGCGGGATTGATTTATGATGCATGGAGTGCACCACTTTCAATAGACCAGCCAGCCCAGCGGCGCCCTCCGTGTGGCCAATGACTGTTTTGACAGAGCCGACAATGAGCTTCTGGCTCTCACTATCAGCGACGGCGGAAGCCTCGTTCCCGAAGAAAGCAGTAGAAATAGCCTGCGCCTCCCTAGGATCTCCTGCTTGAGTTCCTGTTCCGTGCGCCTCGAAATATTGGCAGCGGTCAGCGGGACGCTGGGAGTCCAGCCCCGACCTGCGGTATGTGTCTCTGATCAACTCAGCCTGGGCCAGAGGGTTCGGCATGGTGATACCCTGAGTACGGCCATCAGAGTTGACGCCTGTTTCTCTTACAATGCTGATGATTGTGTCTCCGTCTTTCAGGGCTTGAGAAAGTGGCTTGATGAAGAGAGCGGCGAAGCCCTCGCCGCGGGCATATCCGTCTGCGTTGACGTCCCACATTCTAGACCGCCCCGTAGGGCTGAGCATGTGGAGGCTTGATTCGGTAATAAACTGCTCGGGCGTGATCATCATGTTCGCACCGGCCACACAGGCCATCTCGCATTCGCCTGATCGGAGACTGAGGACAGCCTGGTGCAGTGCTACTAGACTTGATGAGCAGGCCGTGTCGATGGTCATCGAAGGACCTCGGAAGTTGAAGAAGTAGGATATTCTGTTGGAGAGGATGGCTCGCGAGTTTCCAGTTGCGAAGTACTGGCTGGCCGTGATATCGTCCCGCTGGCAAAGCGAGTCGTAGTCGGCAGTCATGAGACCTGCGTAAACAGCCACCTTGCGGCCAGCGTATTGGGAAAGGGTATATCCTGCAGACTCCATGGCCTCATATACGACCTCAAGAATGATTCTCTGCTGGGGATCGATAGCCTCAGCTTCTTTAGGGGTAATGTTGAAGAATCCGGCATCCCATACGCGGTGGTCTTGTTCGAGAAAGTAGCCCTGGGTGGCATTGGTGGCGCCGTGATACTCGCCATCGGGGTGGTAGAAGCCCTGCACGTTGAAACGGTTTTCAGGGACCTTTTGTGTGAGATCTCTGGGTTTCGAGAGGAGTTCCCAGAGCATAGAAGGAGTCGTGACATCGCCGGCAAACCGACACCCAGTGCCAACGATGGCAATGGGCTCGGACTGGGGAATCTTGTAGGTAGACATTGCTGTCAGGGGTATTTCTAGAATAACTATGTATTAAGGGAAGAATAAGATGGGTATAAGTGGAAGAAGGTGAGTAAGTCGATGGGGAGCGGGTGTCTAAGACGTGGGACAGATGTTTTAATTATAAAGAAGAAGAGGAATCGATGTGTGGTTGCTTCGAACAAACTGCATGATGTTGGGCGACGACTGAGAAGGGATATATAGAAAATCACTTACAAAGTGGCACGGTAGAGCCAGCGACATCAATATCGCGATATTCTCCCTCGCAACAAGGTTCGATACCATGACGCCTGTGCCCATGTTGAAAAAGCAAGGGGCAACCCGCCTCACCTAGGCTAGCACACATCCCCACGGTCGGGGGGTGGCTCGAAGAAAGGGGGTGTTTGTGGTGGGGTTTGAGGTTCGGCGTTCACGTTGGATTGAAAGGGTTGATTCGGAGTTCCATGGCCGAATGTCTCGAACGGTCGCCGGGGTATGGGGTGCACGTTCGGCGGTGGCCAGTCGCCCGGGAACGGGTTTTTTTTTTACTTATTTAGCCTTAGTCTTCAGTTTAGGATCTGATCGTTGCAGGTGCCATCGGCTTTCGGGAGGCTTGATGAAAGGCGCCTCTTCTTCAACGACGAACAACATGCGGCCTGTGTCAACTCTTAGTTGGGTGACGAGAACGGAAGACTAGCACCACAGCAATGCTAGGCTTTACTGGCTCTTCTTCAGAACCACGCGCCGGTCCGCAGCCTTGGCTAAAAGTCAATAAGTGACAATTCATAAGCATAACCTCGTGGGAAAATTGTGGTACCTGTGTATGGGCGACGTTTCTTTGTCTTGGTAGCTCTGTTTAAGCTTGGCTTGTTTCTCTCCTTCAAACAGCCACTCCTGTGCTTTTAGACATACCACGCCAAACTACATTTGTATAGGTCCGCTTAAGAGCATGGAAAATTGCGCTAAATACAATGGTATTATGTAACATTGATAATTCCCGAAATATCTTCATCCGTCCAAGAAGGACTGCATATCCTTATGTAGGTCCTTTAGCTCCTGCAACAGGCCATCTTCTTGTCTCTTTAAGGCTTGGAATGAGACATCTACTACCCCAGAGAACATAGAACTCGTGTCAAGCGCCTTTCCACCTACTGTGCTCGTCGATCTCTGAGTCGGATCTAGCGATGATGCTGCTTGCCGCATCTGCAAGAGAAACTCTTCTGCTAACTGAATCGTAAGAGACATTTGAAGTGAAGGCGTCGAATCAACCGCAAAGGAACCGACAGTGACGCCGGGAAGCTTCCAAGACTGAAACAAGTTGGCCGGCTGCAAATGTGTTAGTTGGAAGTGAATGCAGCTGAATACCCTGTGGTACATGTCGAGAAGTCGAACATATGTGGAGAGGATGAAGAGGCAAGTCGCCGGATCCGCAAGTGTGTCGAATCCCCTAGCCGACTGGTGCCTTTCGTTGTCGCTAGCGGGAGAGGCGCCTTCGATCGGTGCCATCTCCGAAAGAATCTCGGCGAAATGGCGCGAGAGTTTAAACATCTCGTCGACAGGGAACGGCGTCATCATTGCGCTGCCTTCATCGGCACTTGAGACCATAACAGATCGCCCTGGGTCTTCTGAAGGTTCGGCCTGGTGTGGTAGGCTTGAAGATAGCTCGAACAAGCGGGAGTTGATGTTTATGATCTGGGGCATCCACTCTTCTGTTGACGAGTCCCGCCCACTTGCAGCAGGCCGAAGCATAATCTGCCTCGTCCTTTGCTTCGCATACTTTCTCGTCCGTCTTGGTGGAGTGACGTCGCCCTGTGACTGGCCAGACCGAACAGACTGCCTGTACAAGCCTGGGCTGTCAAGATAGACTTGGCTGAGCGGGTCTATGTGTGGTGCTACGGGTGACGTAAATGTTGAATCTGAAGTGGTAGAGTGTGGAGGGCTCCAAGCGTGAGAAATGCCGTCTCCCGGCATCATGTCTTCCATGACTCCAGGAAAAGACTGAGGCATAGTCTGAACTGTCGTTGGGTTTGGTTGGTAGAGGCTAGATTGGCCAAAGCCAAAGTCGAAATCGGCGATATCCAACACGGCCTCTGGAGAGACAGCATGGTCTCCAAACCCAGTGGCCCTACTGGTAGAGTCACTTGCTTGAGTCTTCACAATGGCTACACGAAAATCGTCAGTAAGGGAGGGGCAAAGACATGCCAAAGACACAAGACTCACACAGTTCGGGCTGCGCAACGTGGCTCCCGCTGTTGGCCCGCTGGCGCTTGGGCGACGGAATGCTTCTTCGTACGACATCATCTGTCGAGCGCTGCTGGTGCTGTTTCCGATAGCGCAGGGAGGGGCTTGATTTGCATTGAGTCTTGAGCCTGACACATCGCTCGCAAGCTTCATCGCCGACACGCTTACAGCTGAGCTTCTGTGTATGACATCGGTCGCAGGCCTTCCGATTCGGACCGTCCATCATTGTCAGAGCCATGGTTCGGCGTTTGGCAAAACAAGAACAGATTGCGAGGATTCCAGAGTCGGGGGGCGGTGTTTAATCAAATACGCCTGGGTCCATCCAACTAAGGTAAAATTAGGAGGAATCCCTGAACAATGAGACAACTCTTTGCATCAATGCAGCAGTGTGGGCAGGGGAAAAGGTACTGTTTGTGAGATGTAGAGCAAGCAGAGAGGTGCAGGCAATGACAAACGCAGGAAGATCCATTCCTCGACTCGATTACAGCCCACTTGAAAAAGCATATGACTGCCGGGACACTGTTATTGGACAACGTCAGTTAGCCTTGAACGCCATGGTAAAACATGGCGAATATGGATGATGGCGCTGGACCTTGTCCTTTGGACTCGAATGGGATGGCATATGACTAGCTTCTGGGAGGGGGGGGGACCGTGGACTGGACTGGACCATGAACTTGACTGGGACTCTTGAAGGGTCGCCAGTAACGCTTGGTCTGACAGACGACCAATGGGCACCTCCCCGGAGGCCCAGTACGCTGGTACAGGCCTGCGTGTATTTCTTCGATCTGACCCCATAGCCATGGGATTGAAGGACGATGCCTGAAAAAAGAAAAGAAGAGAAAAAAAACACACACAGCTAGTCTGAGGGCATGCTGAGCTGGGCCCCGTATCTGTGCTTCGAGCCTACGCTGGGGCTGCACCTGGAACATCAAGGGTCGGTTGCAAGGGGTCTAAAAATCCACCAGGGTCCCTGTCGTGGAGCTCATGAAACATCAAAAAACGAAATGCCAATCGAGAAATTAAACCGATACGGTATAGCGAACGACAAAGAAAGAATTGGGGAGTGAATAAAGACTTTGAGAAATTTGTTCACAGCAGCCCATGTCCGCCAGGCGTGGCGTCTATCCGGCCTGACCCTCTAACCTACGTCTCGAGGTTGCTCCCACCACTGTACGGTATGACCCAGGCGGCCGATGGGGTCGACAGAGACCACCAGCCATACAGAACTGACTGAAGAGGGTGACTGTGAGAACTGAGTGCCAAGACTAGGCTGGTAATTAGGACACTGGTACTGCACCATGGCTTGCTATTGTCGTCCCTCGCTTCGAATGCCTTCTTGGAGTACGGTGCAGACGCGGTGCGGTGAGCATCTGTTCTGAAACGGAGAGCCTAGCTAGTCTCGAGAGCGAGGCATGGTAGGGATAGCTCGCGCATACGGAACAGCATAATAACGGCCAGAGCTGGCTCTCGCGTCCTCTATCATTACGTTGTTCTCCTCCTTTATGGAAGGCTTGTTGTGAATCGGGTCGTACACTGCTAGGTAAGTTCATATATCAATGATAGCCGTATCAGCATCCGCAGCATGGCCGATGAAGACGCCATTTGTTGAGGGCAGCCCTGAAATAACATGTCCCCCGGGCGACTCGGATGCTAACGATGGCTTAGTTGGCACGACTATAAGGGGCCCGGATAAGTGGATGGTCAAAGAATTGCAAGTTTGGGCACCAAAATGTTGACTGAGATGTCATCTGGGAATGTTTGCCTGACCTGACACCGATAGCAGGGGTCGGAGGTTGTTAGGCTTGTTTGCTCGATTGTTTGCCTGGCTTTGTTTGCTCAAATTCCTCCTTTACCAAGCTGGTTCCGGCAACCCGGTCCTGCCAGGATACCCCGTGCTTTTCTCCATATGCAAAGGCAGCAATATCTCTCGCTGGCGAACGCTGATCTAGAGTGGCAGCCATATCGAGAAATAGCGGGATAAGATTGGCTAAGACCACACCTAAGATGAGAGAAGACCTTTCCGGGTCCAACAAGGTGAGTCTGCTTGCCTTAGCTTTGCCTCCCACGACAGAGTTGGGGCATAATGAGCAGAGCTACCCCCAAGATTGGCGAATGAGAGTTCTAGTGACAGCATCTTCATTGAAGGAAAAAGCAATGTCGTGGACAACTAAGCAGTCATAGGAACAACCTACGGTGCGCTAGGAGACAACCATGCACCGAATGGCCGTTGGAAAGGGCCCGTTATGGATCGAGGAAGTTAGATCGACAAGGATACGGCCGAGAGCATGGCAGGAAGGCGCCGTCTCTTTGTCGTGCGGGAAGGCCAAGTAAGAGAGCATAATTGACGGGCACGAGTGACTGTGAAGCCATGGGCGAGGTTGGTGATGGGCTGCGCGCAAGAGCATGGTTCGTTGAAACGCCTCTGAATGTGAGGAACACACATTCCATTCAACTGATGCCGGATCGGGAAAGCTGCAGGTCTAGCGCCATGTGCCGAGTGGCTGAGGATGATGAGAAGCTAAGACCTAGTAGGGTATGGTGCACACTGGACGCTACCCCTCAAGCCAGATCAGACCCCAGCGTGGCTGGCATCCGCAAGACCAACTGCAAATCCGGATGGAAGAGGGGTTAAACCACAAGACTATGACGAAAGACAGAAGAAGTGGACCGGCGTGTTGTGACAAAGCTGTGGCTCGGGAAAAAGAGTGCAATTGAATTTATGCACACCTTCTTAAAGGGGGTAGACGAAGGGGTAGAAACAGAGAGTTCGGCGATGCTGGCTGTGGGACTGATTATTTGGCATACGCCTCGATGCCCTGATTTGAGAGACATTTGCGTGCGGGTACTGACTTCACCCAAGGGCAGGGACTCCCGAAAAAGGTACGAGAACCTGGTTTCTGCCCACAAGAATGGACAGGCGGATGTGTCCGCGTTACGCAGACCCGGGCTCATGACAGTCTCCTGAAGGCCGACCCGCCAGGATCCCACGTGAAAATGTCGTAGCACTCACTGTACAACCAACGCCGACTGCGTCCACTGCGTTGTTACCATTTTCTTTACCATAGGCGTCGTGTAACACCGGATGACGCCGCACACTTTAATTTTTATTTTTTTTCCCATCCAGTTAAGGTGTGATGTCTTTGGTTGTTGTATAATGTGTCAGTCGAGCAAGGCGGACGAAGCCTTTGTTTTTTTGTTTTTTGTTTCTATTCTTTGGTGCATGTTCCGATTCCCAAGTGAGTCGAAAGCGGCCGTATGCAGTTATATTTGAGTAATAACACAGCATAGCGTAGCAATCAAGGATGATGCAGCAACGGAGGCCCCATCCCACGGAATGAACATCAGGCCATCCAGTACCCCGTGCTGGTTAAACGCGACTCAGGATCATTTGGAAGATGTAGCGCGACAACTTCAAGGACTACTCGCCTGGTAGTATGTAAGGTGTATTTTTAAGGTAGTCGATGTTGGGTTACGTCGCATCATGACAGCAGCCCTCCCTTTCGGACTTGGCTTTTCGTCTATCGATTCGCTGAATCTTGAACCCATGCATGGCCTAAATTCTTCAGCCCCGGCACAAGTGGGAACTCTAGGCCAATGCAATACGACGCCAGAGGACCATATGGGCGGCTACTTGCAATACCGGCGGGGGGTTTGCCTTCAAAAGAGGTTCGCTGACGTTGATTGACAGCGGCTGGGTGCATACTGGCAACTAGTTTCCGGGACGAAGATTTTGGAGCTGCACAGGAAGCTGAGCAGTCTTGCATTCGACTGGATATGGGGACGTTGAAACTTCTGAACTAGACGCATGGGTTTCTGGGACACGGAGGCATCAATCAATCCAGATCTGACGAAAAATGCGAGGGATCGGCTGGAGTACGACCATGGGGGGGAAACCCACAAGGCGTGTGAATAGCATCAAAAGCAGTCCAGTCCAATTCAGTCCAGTTCATTTTGGGTCAGGTGGACGCTGAATTTCCTCGTGATAGAAAATGATGAGCTCGGGGGTGGGTAGATCTTGGCTCCTGGCATTCCACAGCTGTTATCGCGTGCTCTAGGAGACGAGTGAAAGAGAAGGGGGGAGTAGTACTCCGTACGGATATGGCAGCTGAGGACAGTGAGCTGGGGAATGCCAGTGACTCTTCCAGAACTCTGGCCCTCTCATCTATCCCAGATCGCTTCTCTCTTCTTCTTGACCCCTGGAATGACACTGATGAGCAACGACCGAGACGAGGTGAGACAGACTGTCAGAGGTCCGGTCCATCCCGGAGAAGTTCCGGCGATCCAGCGGTGCTACGATATGATATACCAAATATGACGGCGGCCATGCCGTTGAGACCTTAGCGTGAGCTGCAAGAGGTGTGCGAGGGATAGCGATCTGCTTATCCGGAGTGTGCTTCAAGGCCCCGATTGGACCAAACGACGAGAGGCGAAGAGGGGGGAAAAAAGAATAAACGAGGAAGAAGAAGAAACGAAGGCGAGAAGAAAATTTTGGTGGTCCCAGATCGATGGAATTCTCCCGGCTGAGCTTCCCCCCAACCCCAAGTCCTTGTCGTGTCCCCTGTCCGCATCTGCTGCAAGGAAAGAAAGCCTAAGAGAAGCAGGGCAAGGGATGCACTGGCACTGGATATCCGAGCAAAGGATGGAGCATCATGGGTCAGAGCTTGGCGTAATGAAGAAGGAAGAGGAAAAGAGGGATCTTTTGACAAAGAATTAACAAATCAGGAGTGGAAAGGTAAAGGAATTAGCAAGGAGGGGAATGTGGCAGGTATCTGTACAAAGTAACACAAAATGAAAAAAAAAAAAAAAAAAAAAAGGACAGAATGGAAGAAATGTCAAGACGGGGAGAACGGGAAGGAGGTTCCCGGACGAGGGGGAGGGCCCCTTCCGATAAACTACGCGGGTAGGTACATTAGGTGATGGGTACTCCGTAGGGAAGGCGGGATCTAAACGGCGCCCTTGTTGCTGGCACTTGCCCTTCTGTCGGGGGTTGTACCTGCCCGTCCTGCCCGTCTTGCCGTTCCTGCCCGTCCTGCTCTCTGCCCGTCTCGTCCGTTATGGGGTTGCCCCACCCTACTATAAGATAGCTCAAAGTCCCGTATCGGAAGGCGGCCTCTTCCCATACGCGCTTTCCCTTTTAGTTGGACCTCAGTGCCGGCTGGTCGGCGCTCCGGCTCCCCGGGGCACGTGGTCTCACCCATAATGGTCCGAGGTGAACCCCTGGGCCGATCCAGCATTTTATTGACCCAACGATCCCCCAAAAGGAGGCGTCTTGTTTACCCTGGCTGCCCTGCTTACTCTGACTTCACCACCATCACCTCGGGCTTGGGACCATCGATGTCTCCCTACAGCATGTACTTGCCCCTGCGGCCGGGCTGAGTTTTGGTCAGCTCTCATATTGGACGGCATCACGGAATCACGGAATCGCTGTCCGTACCCAACCCAATGGGGGGGGAGGAGACCTGAATCTTGCATCCGCGGCGTCGATATCGATGACGATCTAGGATCTGAAGTTACAGCCGGGCCATGCACGTTTACGGGACTGGATCGCCGGGATCTTTCTCTCCCCCCTTCACCCCAGCTCTGAACCCCCCCCTCCCCCTCGAGCCAAATGCACGATGCGCAACATCCTTGGTGGGAATCAATCATCATCTATCTTTTCTCCTCCCTGCTTCGTCTCAATTGCCCTGCCGGAATCTCTGCCGGATTCCCGCCCGCCGGGGAAAGAGGCAACCGATGCCGCATCTTTGCGTCCTGCGGGCCTGCGAATCATCGTCACCAAATGCAATGCACGACGTCGCGCGTCCGAAGCAAAAGCTACGGCTACCTCTTTTTGTTAGCGCTGAAAATAAGAAACTTTCACTTCTTAAGGAATGATACGAAAATTTTCTCATTCGTGTTACCTTACCCATTTTATTTTTGGTCACTGTCAGCGCGCGTTGTGCCCTTCTTCACGGGTATGCCCACTTCGCCACCTACCCGCCTCCGGCTGGATTTCTCCGAGCCAGGCGTCAAACGGTGAGCGTCACAATGGACGCATTAAGAAAACGAGTAGCACGAACGATTTGCTTGGTTGCTGTACCCCAAGCATACTAGTCCGAGAAGGGATAATGCTTTCTGTGTGGCGGCGTTCGATAGGTAAGGAACAGAGCACAAGCGTTGAGCCTCGTCGAAACTTGTCATCGTGTCGTCTCTTGTCACTTTTCCGACGTCGATATCAACTTCATTCTGCTTGCGTCTCATCTAGTTGCTACACGATGGGGCTCGATCTCGATTCTAGAAGCCCAGTTTTTCAACTTTTGTTATGCATCTTGAAAATTTTTTCATTGTGACAGAACTTTTTCTGCGTGCAAAAAAGAACCAGAAGATGTTGCCTCGAAATGGCACGGTCGTCGAAAAAGAAAGCCTCAACTCCAACGCCTTGCTGAACCGAGGGAGAGCCAAGTCATACAACCAAGACGATGAGGAATTCCCCTCTCCACGTTTGGGTAGGGGAAAAAAAAGGAAACGAACGCTCAGCATTTTTAATTTTTAATTTTTCTTTGGTCACTCATACGAGATCTGGCACAGAGAAAGCTTTCAATTTTTCTTCCCACAAACTCCAAACGTTTGAAAGAGAGGTATCTGTCTATCTGTACATCCAAAGCAAGGCGCGCGCCGACGTGAAAAAAAAACAAAAACAAAAAACCCAAACCATGCTCCAACAAGCCCACAACCCCGCCAATGCTTCATCCCTTCGCAAGATCCTGGTCTTTCCCAGCCATCGGGTCTTTTTCCTCCATCCCATTGTCTGACCTCTGGACCCAGAACTCAAATCAGGAAACTTTGCATTCTTATCCTTACTGCTCGACGTCACCAGTCGCAAAAAGCTCCAGCTTGACTCTCTCCCTCTCGACGCCGAGGCCTTCGAGCACGAGTCTCACCTTGAGCATCCAATCCCGAGGTCCGCAGATAAAGTACTCGGTGCGCTTGTCGCCGAGACCAAGGTCCTCGGCAGGCAGCTTCTTGAGATCAAGCTGCTCTCCAAAGTCGTACTCCTGTCCCTTCTGGTCGCCCTCCTTGACCTCCTTCAAGAAGATGTGAGCGCTGACGTTATCCCTCTTGCGGGTCAGGTCCCGGACTTCCTTTGCAAAGACGAGGTTGGAGCTGTTGCGCGCCGCGTGCACCCACTTGACGGGTCTGTTGGGGGTCTTGCTCTCGGGGCTCAGCACCGTCTGGAGGATGGCCATCAACGGCGTCGCGCCGACGCCGGCGGACAGCAGCACCAGCGGGACGTCGGCCTTCTCGGCCTGCTTGACGTCGAGGAAGAACTCGCCCTGCGGGTGCGACACCTCGACCTCGTCGCCGACGTGGTACTCGTTGTGCAGCTTGTTGGAGATCAGGCCGGTCACGAGGCCGCTGCCGACATCTTCGGCCTTTGCGTCGAGGACGGTCGTCTCGCGCTTGACGCTGATGCGGTAGTACTCGCCGGCGTTGTGGGCCTCGCTCAAGCTGTACTGTCTCGGCTGGGTGATGCCGCCGAGCTCGGGCACGGGGACCTGGACGGAGATGTACTGTCCAGGGAGGTAGTCGGGCAGCGGCAGCTTGCCGTCGGAGGGGGCGAGGTAGAAGCTGGTGACGGCGTCGGACTCGTCGATGCGGCGGATGATCTTGAACTTGCGCCAGTTGGTCCAGGTCCCGGCCTCGGTGTACATCTCCTTCTCGCGGTTGATGAAGACATCGGCGAGCTGGGCGTAGGCGGCGGTCCAGGCCTCGGCGATCTCGGGGGTGAGGGCATCGCCCAAGACCTCGCCGATGGCCTTCATGAGGTGGTGGCCGACAATGTCGTAATGCTCGGGGCGGATGTAAAGCGAGGCATGCTTGTGTGCGATGCGCTCGATGGCGCCCTTGAGCTTGGGGAGATCGTCAATGTAGGTGGCGTAGGCAAGGACGGAGTTGGCGAGGGCGCGGGGCTGCTCGCCGTTGGCCTGGTTGCGCAAGCTGAAGACGTTCTTGAGGTTGGGGTTGGTGTCGATCATGTCCTTGTAGAAGAGGGTGGTGATGGTCTCGCCGTGCACCTTGAGGACAGGCGCAGTGGACTTGACGATGTTGATCTGGTCTTGAGTGAGGCCCATTCTGGCGGCTGAGGTGGCAAATGAGCGGTTGATGAGGCGCTGAGTGATTGATGTGCGAGCCAAGTTTGGCAGAAGAAGACGAGATGTTTTGGAAAAGGCAGACATCTACCGGATGAAGTGGTTGATGCAAAAGTATGATGCTGAGGCGAGTGTGCTCAGCTAACTTTTATCTGTTTTATTTTTTTGGTCTGATGTTTTTTTTGGCTTGGATCTGTTCGAGTGCGAACAAGACTTGTCGTTGGATGGGTTGGGATGATACACCTTGTCTTCTTTTTACTCTATACTGTTCTCTTCTCTTCGGTTTCAGATGGCGGGAGCATCGGGCGGTATATATCCAGTTCGAGTTCGTCACAGGGCGCGTCATCGGGCGTTTTGCGCGACAAACTGGAACCCTTGAACTCTGTTCCACCCGCATTGCATCGAACGACACATGAGCTCCCGGGATTGACAAATATCGAGACCCTCAGTGGCCCGTCCAATCCGTCATTGCTGGCAAGGGCGCTCCACGCCTCCGCTCCGGAGACTAAACCCCGGAGGTCGAAAAGTGAAGGGGATAAATTATGGGCATCCCGTAACATCTTCTTGCCGTGGCCTGACATCGGACTATCGTAGATCTTTGCATCTCCGCGGCGCCGTGACGTGCGGCCGGGCCCACCCCTGTTTATCGGCTAGTGTGGTAGATCGCCCTTTTCTCTCTCTCTTGTTTTTTTCCCCATTCGCTTTTCTATACTACCTACCCAGTACATTGCCTATACATAACACACTACTAACACTACTACTAACACTGGGGGCGGGCGGCAATCCCACCGGCACAACCGCCTAATTGATTGTGTGCAATTGGGGCTGAATGTGCTACGTAGGTGGTAGTAAATTTTTTTTTTCTCTTCTGTTTTCCAAATTCCTATTTTTGGCGGAAAACCCTCCCGCCGGCTACTCCATTTTCAGGGATCCAACGGCCCCCGTGAGGGTTTATCTTCATATTACGCGGATGACTGTTGCCATTGCATTGCATAGTCATGGCCCAAATCTATGTTGTCACGGTCCACTTTGGATATTACAATAGAGTGCTAGGTTTACTTTGTCAAGAAAGCAGCTTCACATGCCAGGCTGGCATTGCATTCGTTTTTTTGTTTTTTTTTCCTTGCTAACCCTCTGGGTCCAGCAGGATGCAAATGCAAATGCAAGATCTCTGAAACCCACAGTCTGAGAGCTGGTACATGACTATCACGCGTACATGAAGATGACGAACAACACACGACTCCGCTCCGTAGTAGGAATCAACTCGGTTTCTCTCATCTTTCAACAGAAAGAGCAGACGAATAGGCTTGTAGGAAACAAATAACGCGCTGTTGTGAGGTTAAGAGCCTCGTCCGTGTGTTACACTGGTTCCAACCCCGAGACTTAAGCCTCCCCTCCCGCTAAAAGCCTGTAGCGTTTTGTTTCTAATCCCTAAAGGCGTCGGTGACATGCCACATGGAGGCCCAGACACCATTTTTTTGCCTGTGCCACATGACATCTCCGCGGGTGGTTACTGACGTAGTAAACTTACCGGCCAAACCCGCGTACCCAACGCACTGGGTTCCTTCGCTTCCCAACTCATGTCGGTACTTGCACTGGCCCTACGCCCTATGGGATGAGCAAGCTAGGTTCCATGACCAGTTTCTAGGACCAGTGCCTGTTCCAGTTCCCAGGTGGAAGGGGGGGTGGAGGGGGGTAAAAGGGTTTACAGGAGGGGTGGGCGCGTAACGACACAAGACAAGACAGAAATGTCGCTATGCCATGCCAGATAACCCGCGCAAGGTACTCGGTAAACCTGTCCTGATTTCTCAAGGGGAACGACTCGAGCGAGAGGTGATTTGCGAGTCGAAATGCAAGACAAATGTCGCACCGCCACTCCCGCCCTCAACAGCATGGCAGCCACTCGACGTAACGTTCGTAGGATATCTGAAAGCCCCCCCCTTTGGAAAAACAACGTTGAAAATGTCCCTGTTTTGTCCCTGACACACAACAACAACAACAACAAATGGGGTTAAGTCCTAGTTAGGTATCTCAGTCTAGACTAAACTCATTCCCCATTGCATGGTGACTATTGCTCGGCACTCCCCGCGGCTGAGGGAAAAAGGGAATCAGTCATCTGGTTCCATGGACAAGGTATCCGGAGATGCTTCAACTCAATAATCTTGGAAAACATGCCGTAATAAACCGAAAGGAGTAAAAATACCACTCAAACCACATGCTGAAGAAAAAAAATGACAATGCGAGAATGCGAGAAAAAAAAAAAAACACCTCGCTTGGTGCCCCGCGATGCCGATGGGATGGGCTCACCTCAGCGACAGAAGCCATGACAGAACCTGGCCTGATCAACCCCCAAGCGAAGCGGAAGCGCCCTGGCAGTACCGTCTTTAGTCTAGTGGTATTTTCTAAGAGTTCCCTCCCCCTCAAGGGTCATGCAACCACTCAGCCCTGGAAAACTGGGAGCCCAGCCCCAGCGGCCCGGCTTTGTGCCTGGATTTTTCTCGGTGATGCGGGTGCCGTTTTTTTCGTTTTTTTTTTTTTTTTTTTTTTTTTTTTTTTTAGCGACATTTTAGAGGGGGAAGAGGGAGGATGAAAAAGGCCCAAAACCAGTAATAGTGGCACCCCCCTAGGCTGCCCTAGAGAAACGGGAAAGACCGACCTAACCCACACTGCCACGCGACTGCCGCCGCCAACAGGAACGCTGACATAATGCACTTTGGCCTTATGTAATCCAAGAGGAATTCCCGGGACCGGAAGCAAATTACCACAATTGTCGCCCTCACATCCCCCTTCACTTCCACCAAAATCACAACCCGGTCTTCCCCGTCTCCCTAGGAAGCACCTCCGCGGAACGGGAGGGCAGATCAAAGGGGATCGTTCCGCGCGGACCTTTGCTCTCTACCTTGCTCTACTACACTGTGCCTCGCTCATGGGAGCCACCTTGGGGACGCCGCACAACCTTCTCGAAGGGCCTGGACCTCTCTCTCTCTCACCAATCATGGTCATTGCAATTAATAACTCACGCCCCGTATCCTCGTTTGAGCTACCTTGTTTTTGGGTGTAGCTATCCGTATTGCACCCTAGAAAACAAACCTGCGGAAAAAAAAAAAAAAAAAAAAAAAAAAGAGACACCACGCGCCTGTACCCCAACCTTGGCATGATCCCACTTTTGCGTAGACGCAGGATCCTCATGTCATTCCAAGTCTGTTCACCATACACAATCCCCGGCCGAGGGCGCAAAACAGGAACCTAGCCATGGCCTCGGATACACGGTGGAAAACGAATTTGGAATTTAGAACGTGAAGGGCTCCCCCCCCGGGACCCCGAGGCTGAGCGAGCTGCCACGTAGAATCATGCAATTACCAATCCCGTGGAAATACTGATGCCCAACCTCGAGCCCTTCTTCTTCTTCTTCTTCTCTACACACACGTCACGCGCGCCCTCCGGGTGAGCCCACGCCTGCTTTTCAGCTCCGTGCTGGTTTCGAATGCCCTCGTCCCCTTCCGTGACATCGTTGATGGGGGGGGTCCATGTCGATGGGTCCCGCCGTGGAGCTGTTCCGACTAGGCAGGGGAGAAAAGAATGACACTTTTCGGTTAAAATAACCGATTATCATCCTTTCGTCCGTCTTGGACAATACTTCAGATTGGTAGTGACTCTGTTACGGTCCGAGAGACCTGAGGGTGTCCTCGGGTTGAAGATGATATGGTTTGAGAAATCAAGTCTCCTGACTTGAGAAATGGCATGTCCTCGTCTCGGGCGTCATCAACAGTCCGCAAGGCCGCGGTGATCTTATTCTAGTCCTTAATGGGATACCTCATCGTAGCCAGCTTCTCTGTTTGCATCGCCGACTGCTTCCACCCGGGGATGTCAGCTTGATTATTAGCCTGTGACAAGACCACGCGTATAGTCTTTGCTTGCACTGCGTCGAGGAATGGCCAGTTTTCAGGTTTGCAATATTGAATGTAAATTCTTCCGCAATTAGCAGCTCGCTCCGCTTGCATGGAAACCACAAACTAGCAAACAGTCTACCAAAAACACACAATTACCAAACTTGAAGCAAAGCCGAGGGCCATCATCAGAAGAAACCGCTGTCGAAGCGCCAGTACGATTTCTTCCCCGCAGGCCTCCCCCCAAGAGACGTCCTGTTCTTGCAGCTGGGGTGATAATGGTCCTCCTCCGTCCCAAACGGCCACATGGCCACGAAGCAAACCTCGGCGACGCCGCACCCGGGCTTGCACTTCTTCCACATGCTCCACCCCAGGTCGCTCTTCAGAGCCTGAACGACCTTCCTGCCCCGCGCCACCGCCTCCCCGATCTTCCCGTCGTCCGCGTCGCCGACGGCAGCCCTGATCTCCGTCTCGGAGAAGGCCGCAGCCAGTTCCGGCGCCGCATCTAATATGATACCCCGGACGGCGTACAAATCTCCACAGATCCGCCGCACCACCGTCTCGACCGCCGTGAATATGAGCCCCTCCTCGGGCGTCCACTCGTCCTCCCAGATCTTGGCCGGCGTCAGGTAATGCCGTACGCATCTCTCCCGTGATTCCCTGACCAGGCCATCCTCCCCCATGACGCTTGCAGAGTCGAACTCATCGCGGGGGTAATCTATAAAAGTATTCGTGACAACAAGCACCTGTCTCACAAAAGCCTCATCCTCGTCGCCAGGCTCATCCGCCAGCGCCTCTATACGGTCCCCGTGACGCGTGACAATCATATCGACGAGCCCCTGCCAGTCGACCTTTGACCCTCTCCCACCTTGCCGCGCAACGTCCTCGACGCGTCCCACAATCGCCTCCCGTTCCTCCTCCTTCAACCTCCCCAGGCGCGGCATATCCTTGCGTCCGTTGGGGTTGCTCACGTTAAGCGGGTACCACAGCCCGGACACCATCCTCGAGAAGTCCAACTTGACCCTGCCGCCCCCGATGCCGTCGTACCTCTGCCCGACGGCCCTGGCCCACTCGAACATGTCAATGTCCCCGCGGCCCTCGAACTGCGTGTTCCACGGGCGCCGCAGGGCGCTCACGAGGTCGAGACCGTCGAAAAAGTCGCAGTAGATCGACTCGAACCCAATCTCCATCCGAATCACCCCGTCGAACCCCCACGCCTTGACAATCTCGCACACGCCCGCGGCCCGCTCCCACTCCCCGAACCAACTCGCGTTCCCCACCCCGCGGAGCAGGAAATCCTGCGTGTCGAGCGTGCCCATGGCGGTCTTGCCCGCAGACATGCCGTCCAGGTACAGCAACTTCAGGTCGCGGTTCGCGCGGTAGGTATGGAAGTACCCCCTCATGGGTCTCGGCCCATCCCCATCATCATCAAAGCTGCTGCCTCCACGTCCATCATCATCATTATCACCACTCAGCACCCTCTGCTCGTCCTCGACCGCAACAACATGCTGTGATGATGGCGGTGGCGGCGGGTGCTCACCACCAGGACCCTTCCCGGAACCCTTTCCAGGCTTCTTCGGAGGCGGGGTCCCGAATCCACCCTTCCAACTCCTCGCGAACCCCTCCGAATGCTCCATCTCGAACGCGAGCCATTCGAACCCCTTTGGCGTAGAGTTAGACCTCGTCCCGTGATACAGCAGTGTACCCTCCGGGACCGTCGCGGGTATCAACCCCAGACCGTTGTGACGCAGAGAAGACCCCCATTGCCTCATGGCAGAGTGAACAGCGTTGAATATGTGCGCGGCGTTCTCCCGCGCGTGGTGGCTACTCGCCGTGAACGCCGGCTTCGCAGAACCCTCCTCCGCCGCGGGTACTTGCGCCGAGACAATCTCGGCCGAGATGCCCCGCGCGATAGAGAGGCCGGAAAGCGCCAGGGCGGCGGACCAGAGAACCTGGACCATGACGATAATTACTGTCTGTTTTTACGCCCTATTTAAAAAAAAAAAAATTCCCTAATGCGTCGTCGTATCGAAGTCGAAGACGGAAAAACAAATGAGAGAAAAGAAGTCAGCGCCGGGGAGGTGGCTAGGTGGTGAGATTTTGGCTTATCAACCAGGAGGATCAATGCCACCCCCAAACGGGGGACCCGGTACGCGCGGCTGGCCAAGAATGACTGATTCGCGGTGAGACTGAAGCTGTTGCAATGGAAGAAAAGTCCGAATGGCCGACGACCGACCGGGGTATGTGTAGGCAAAGTCGTCGGAGACCGGTACCTAACCTGTCACTTGCTGTCAACTGGGACTATCCCAGTACCGCCTGGTGAGCGGTAGGAAATCCCTAAAACCCTTTGTCCAGTCGTACGAAACATCGGGTGCGAAAGGACTTCTTGATCGAAATGTACAAATTGGTGTGGTTATGCGTTTTGCCTGATTGGGTTAAGTTGCCTAAAAAGGATGGCGTGACTCGTTGCCACTAATCACCTGCCTTAACCAACAGCTTACTTGCCACTGCACTGCTGGGCCCCATCAATCAGATTCATTTCTTCATCACCAGCACCACAAACGTCAAGATAAAACAAAAGACCACGCGATTGAAACACAAAGTGGGGATATCGATTCAGGCACAGACAATGAGGCCAAGGTACTCTAGCAACCGTGTATCTCGCAGTCTAACACGCCCCCCCTGAAACACTTTTCTCATAATATACCATGTCCCAAAGTCATCAACCATAAACATTGCGTTGCCATCAAAAACTGCTGCATTCCTCATGAGCCATTCTCACCATTCTCGCCATTCTTGCCATTCTGGCCGTTTTGCCCATTCTGTCCATTCTGGCCGTTGCTCTTTCCAGAGACAATGGGAATGTCCTTCTTCTGTGTAAAGTGACGTGGGAGGCGGTTCTCGCTCTGGATGTAAGGCTTTCCAGCCTCTTCTCTGGCCATGTCATTGACCCATTTCTCATCGCCCCGCAGACCGGTCCTAACGCCGACCTCAGCCCACTTGGCAGCGAGGTAGAACCAGCCCAAAGCATTGCCAACAGTGCCCACTTCATCACTTACACCATTAGCGGCCTCGTAGCTCATCTTCTTGTGCAACTCGTCATCAGTGAAGAGGTTCACGAGGTGACCAGCAACAGCCTTGTAGTCACCTGGCTCGACCAGGTAGCCGTTGACGTTCTCCTTAACCTGGAGAGGAATGCCTCCAGCCCGAGTAGCGATAACGGGACGTCCGGCGTGGAGCGCCTCGGAAACCTTGACCTCAAAGCCCTCACGGGTCGAGAGCTGGAGGACAACATGGGCGTTGGCGATCACAGTGTTGAGAAGCTGGTCATTGGGCTCCAGACGCATGATGCTGCAGTCCTTGATGAGGTGGGGGTAGTGCTTCTCAAGCTGGCTCATGGTCTGGTCGTAGATCATGCTGGCATCGGGGTCATCAACTGAACCATTGCCGCAGACGACAAGCTGGGGGATGTCAGTGTTACCCGCCTGTTCCATCAGACGCCGGAACTCGGCATAGGAGTCAATGACGGTAGGAATTCCCTTGGACGGATCAAAACGGGCCACCTGCACGATGTACTTGCGGGCGGGCCATTCGAGCTCAGTCATCCTCTGGTTGCGGCAGGCGTTGTTGTAGATATGACCATAGTAACCAGTATCCCATCTGTTGAGAGGCTTGTTCAAGCCATCAAGCCAATCAGTGGTGGCCGGGAAGTAAACAACCTTCTCACGAGGAACGGTATGGGGGACGAAAATGGGAATGGGATGGCTGATGAACATGTCGGCATATTGAATGTTGCTCCACAGGAAGTTCCAAATGTCTTCCTGAGGAGAACCGGGCTTCGCGGTCAAGTCGCTGCGGATCTGAATGTGAGATCGGTAGAGAACGGGACGGTCCGGAGTAATCTTCTTGATCAAGGGGATCAAGCCAGGCATTTGCGGGTCATCAATCTGTTTGTGGTGCACAGGGATGGTCAGCAGAGTTCCTGTCAGACACCTTGGATGTCGAGAGCTGCACAAGCCGCATTGTCGGGTGGTGGGGTCAACCCGACAGAAGAGCTCATGTGGAGAATCATTCCACTTTGAATGCACCCATGGAGGGGTAGCTCTGGAAGTGGGTGGGGCGAGTGACATTTGGAGACAGTAACGGGTCGCCCGCGGGGTAGGGCGGGAATTGGAGAACTCACCATGACAACATCAGCACCACCCTCCTCAGGAGGACGCAGAGGGCCTCCCTCGGACAGCCAGTAACGGTTTGCATTGTCCGTAATCCAGTCAATGATGGACTGTTTTTCTTCGGCCGAGATGCGCTGGTCGGGGTGGCTGACACCCTGGAGAATGTTGTGGATGTTCTTGGTGACCCTGAATACGCCGGGCCTTGGCTTGGGGACTGGCTATGATGTCAGTTTCATACGATTTCTGACAGCAAAGCGGGCAAATCTCAAAGCAGGAAAACGTACCATACCAAGTCAGGTCAACACCAATGAGACGCGCAAACCTGACAAGAGCGTGTCGCATCAGGGCCACGCCACCACCTTGGGGGGTACTGCTGAAGAAAGCGACCTTGATCTTGTTGTCGCGAAGCTTCTTGGCGTAGTGCATCGTAGCATCCCAAGTCGCAGCACCGCACGTGTCCTTGTGGTTTTGGATCGTGTTGAGCTGCACGCGGAATCCAGCATCGGTCTGAACGACACCCCTGAAGCCAACCTGAAGGAGGGGCACCAGGGAGGGGCCAAAGTTCCTGGGGTAGTGTTGTCAGTGACGGGATCCGCCGGATGAGTGACTGGGGTAGATGCAGGTTGAGCAACTTACATGATGCACTTGCGGGCCATCGAATCGGCCTGCTCGTCAACTCGCTTGATGTCCCAAAAGCTCTTCTCCTTGTGCTCATCATCAGGGCGCAAGACGACGGGGACGATGTCAAGCTCGAGCCAAAGGCGGGAGCACAAATTAGGGCTCATGTACTTCAGAGTGGTGGGCAAGCCGGCGCCAATGAACTTGGAGAAGTTCTCGTGCTCGTAGCCCTCGAGGGTGTTGATGACGTAGTCGGCAATGGCATCGTTGCCTGTCTGGGTTGGGTCGTCGAGGTTGATGTGCTTGACGGTGAAGTCGATGAGGTAGACCGTGTCGTGGATGGCAAGGGCCACAACGGCAGTGTGAGAGTCGGAGAAGACAGCAGAGATACCACAGTAGAGAGTCTATACTAGCATTAACGAAAAGCTTTTGAGCGAGAAAAGCATGTTCCACTTACAGTCAAAGCTGGGCCAAAAGCATTACCCTGCTCGTGCATGGTGCTCATCTGCCTCTTGCGATGGGCAGAAGTGCCCAGCGAGAACTGACGTCCCGGCTGCTTGGGTTGGGTAGGCATGATGACGGCTTCAACCGATGTGTTGTTATGTGTGGTGTGAAGTTGAAGTGGAATCGAACAAACTACTCAGTGAGTCTGAAAGCTCAAAAGCGTCGTCTACGCAAATCAGTTCGTAGAGCTTCGAGCTTGGGAGATGATGAGGAGGGAAAGAAAAGAAGAACGAGAATCTGAAAGAGGGGTCCCGAGGGTTTTGTGCTTGAAAACTGGCTACTAGATGAGGGTGGGAAGGAGGGAGGGAGGGAGGGGGGTATGATGAGGGCAAGTTTGTTCACACCGGTGTGAGGTCAGGCAGGACTCTAAGGTGAGGAGACCCTGGAAAACGAATGAACGTGGCAGGAAAGACAACACCAGCAGGCCTAAGCAAGGATAGAAAGAAGCAATGGCAAGCAAGTGGTGAGGTGCCCGACCAGGTGCAGACAACGACTATGGGACGATCCTGCCGTATTTGCGCAGACGGACAGGAGATTCAGTCAATGGTGGAAGCAGAAGCAATTAGAGCTTGGACCATCCGTTTATCAAAAAAACGGGACATTTCAATGAGAAGGTGCTACGTTGACTGGGTCCTAGCTGTTAACGCAAGAAAGAGCACGACCATTGTACTTCAGACAGGGTAAGGTATCTATTCATCCACCTAGGAAAGAAAAGGAGTCGAAAGGAGAAGGGCCCTTCCCTGACCGGTAGTAGCTTAAACGGGACGGGTAACGATAAGGAGGGGCCGGATTGTGGAAAGGGCAAGGTCTAGGTTGGATCTTGTCGAGGTCACAGTGAGGTCAGACAACAGGACTAGCAGGAAAGGCCCTGCCTGCCCGCCTGCCTTGTGGTAACGGACGCATAGAGGGCTAGAGCTGTGCAGGAAAGTCCATCCCGCGGGGTAGCAACAGTGACACAGTGGGCAGCTTCCTAATTTCCGTATACCCTGTGCGTAATTCCTTTCCATATTCGGTATTTGGTTGGCTGTTGAGCTGTGCCGGACCTCATGCTGTTGAGCTCATATCCCGGAAGCCACGGGGTTACACAACTTGTATCTTGGGGGGGTCTCCTGGAATATTTTGAGATGCAGCAAGAACACTTTGATGAGCACTTTGTTGATGCCATCACACTTTTTTTTTTTTTTTTTTTTTTTGGCTTGTTCCCCAGTCCCCTCCTATTTTGGTTTTCCCCTCTCCCTCTCCCTCTTTCTGTTTATCATTGGCACTACAAATTAGACTATTGCACTATTTGCGCCGTTGCAGCAGGCAGCCTGCACGCCGCCGCATTGCATCGCCGCAATTCGAAAGGAAGGCGCCTCGCCCCTCTTGGTGCGCGTGGGGAACCCGGCAAGTCTGGAAGTAAGTGGTCCCGTTTATTGTCATTCTTACCTTCCCTTTCCCGTTTCAGCTCGCCCCTCGTGTAGGTAGTGTGAACTTTTCGCTGACTGCAGGGAAGGTGCCTTCCCCCCTCATGAGGCGCCTCCTTCAACCACTAACCCACCTGTACCGGCCGCCATGCGAACAGCGGCCCCACTAACGGGTCTTGGCGTCTCTGCCTCTCTGCGCCACAGTACAGCCAGCAGTTCTCAGTTCTCAGCGTGCCGATACTATCTCTGTACGGTCTTTCTCCCTGTACACATTGTCTACTAACCAATTCTTTCCAGCTCCAGCTTCAACCATTCCGTCCTACAATGTCAGCCTTCTCAGATCCTCCTTAATTCCAATTACCCCCTGCTTTCTTGCTATACCCTTGAATCAAAAATGCGGTGTACACCAGCGCGTCTCGCCGGCTGCACCTCACCTAACATTGGCAACGCATGACACCCTGTTGCTCGCCGCTGTGCTCAACACCCACGATGTTACAACCAGAGACGACACTGGACAATCGACCGACTATGCAAGTCGACACACCACTAGTTACTTCCTCCATCATGAATGGTCTCGGTCGCTCACTGTAATTGTCGGTGAGCAGACAACCCACTCGGCTCTGCTGCTTCTCAATCCTGGGAATCGTGGGGGAGAACGCCACTCTGCTGTCAAGGCCCTGGAAACACTCCCTACTGGACCACGGCTCTCTACCACCCGCCATCCGGTTACGAGGATGCCTCCAGACCCGAGCGACCGGCATACACTGTCCAGAGCCATGTCTAACCCCCCATCCGGCCCTGAGCCCAGCTCAATTTCACCATGCCGCCGCATTACGGCTGCCGGCAGCCCTCCTTTCCAACCCCACCCTCTTCTGTCGACGCGAGATTGATGATGCCACACGAATATCTCTGGGCAAAAGCCGTGAGCGCCGGGATCGGCTCCTCGAGATTTTCAACTGTACGATGACGGAAATGATTTTTTTGGCCACCGCAGCAGTGCTCAACCATTCGCTGCTCTCTGCTTTTCGAAGGAAAATCTTGTCATTTGAGTAAATTTCAGAACTGATCTGGCCTACTAGAAGCCATGTTGTATCACCCGCCCTCTGTTTAACTTGCTCCAGCCGTTATAAACGCACTGTCTCAATTATTTCAACACACCGAGGTGGAGTATCATGTGAGGCCACGCCCAGCCCGAGCTGTACCCCAGCTAGCAGCAAATTCGTGTCTGGGTAGCCTCGACGCAATCTTCGGTCCTTCGCCGCTGCGGCAACAGCAGCGGCTTCTTCTGGCCCACTGTGTAACGTGGTTCTCGGATCCAGGGGCTTGCTGCGGGGACATTGGCCACAGCGCAACACAGGGCAGGACCTTGCCTTGGTTGTGTTGGTCGCCCATCAGTCTGCACAGATGCTTACACGCAATCTGCTGAGAAGCACGAAAAGCTGATCGATCAAGTGACGCTGATACGAACAAGGCATTGTCTCTCAGCCATCCATCGAAGGATAGTTTGTCATGCCCACTTCCATGACACACCCGTCGGGCACGACTGGTCTGCTATACTTGTACCCTCCAAATCACTCCAGTCGACTCAAAAGTAAACAATGGATGTGCGGTGACAGCTCCGCTGCCGCCCTCGTGGATGCTACCCCGCCATGCAGCTCAGCGCAACATAACAGACCCCGTCTCCGTGCATGGATTTGAGCTTCTCATGGTCTTTTACTTCTTGCTTTTGTCGCTTCTTTTCTCCCCTTATCATCTTTCTTTTTCTTCTTAAACTGCGCATACCGACAGGCAATCCTAAAGTGCTTATAGCGCCCCGTAGACCATCCGGGTGTTGTGAACCTGGACCACCTGACAGTAAGGACTTCACGATGAGGAGTTTAGCATCCTGTTTCTAAACAATTGATACCTACGCCTGATGAAGATGTGCAGAAGGCAAAATGGGCCATCCAAATGTTCACTATAATACGGCAGTATCTCAGCTGTTTTCGCCAGCTATGGAATTACGCTTCAAAAAACCGCGGTGAAGAGCATGGAACATCGACCTTCCAGGGTTAACAGATCAGCTGCAACTCACCAGAAGTGGCTAGATTCATGCCACTGTAGAGAGCAGCTGGCTGGCACGGAAGTCTTGGTCATGGTCGATATCATACGATGGCTGCGTATCTAAAACGACTGGTCACTTCTGCGCATGAGTTGCTTTCCCCAATTTTCCTCAGATCATGCTAACTCGCTACTCGGTTCTAACTTTGAGCCTTTCAAGTTGTGTCGCGACCCCCAAATCTTTTGGCGTGGGGTCGACCCAACAGTTGGCTTCACCGAGGTCAGCCCGTCTTCTGGCGTGGGGTATCTCCAGTGTGAACAACGCCACCTCTTATCGGTTGCGCAAAGCGCAAGTTGGATGCGATCGCTTGAGACATGTACGATAGTACAAATCCATAGGAAGAAGTCATGTATTTCTTGTTATTTGCATGTGGTACAGCCCGCCTAGAGTATGCCACCGCCTACGTTCGAATTGACTCTTGGAAGGCCAGCATGATACCAGCTGACCACAAGCCTACCTACTTATCCCTTTTCTCGAAGCATGTATTGAATGCGTGTTTGTGTTCTTTCTAACTTACAGCTTTATTTCCACTGCACCTGTTTAGCTGGAAACCACTAATCGTACAAGCACCTATCCTTGACCTTGAACATCCAGCGAGTAGTCTTATTCAAGGGAGTCTTTCACGTTCTTTAGCTAGTAGCAATTGGTAACAAGTGTCAGGTGTTTGCCCCATGCCTATCTGTCAACTTTGATTCGACCTCGTCGCAGCTTAGAAACTTACACTTGATGCTGAAAACCCATGAATAGAACCACATGTGGATCTTCAAACTCAGAAAGCTCGTGAAACATTAATGGCAACCCACTATGACTTTCAGAGCACACCAGTAAATGATTTGACCAGTTCACAGAGGCTTTTGGCCCGAAAGGGCGTGAAAATATACGTACGAATGGACGGATGGATCCATCAGGTCTTTCCGCACTTGGACCAAGAACCTCTCAACCTGATCGGCTGTCCACCCCAATCCCCTCGTGAAGGGTCCTATAGTAATGGCATGAAGGCCGTCATAAATAACACTCAGCGTATAAAGACCGATAGTTCTTAGAAACTTATTCCTCGGCCATCTGCCAACGGGCACCTTTTTCACCTGATGCAGGACGTTCACAAACCCGGCAGCCTCAACGCGACCAGGATTCTGTTCTGCCGCATTCATATCAATCCCAAACCTCGCCAGGCCTTCTTTGATATTCTCTACCATCGTTACTGGCGCATAGTCATTGGGAATCGTCCCATCGTCGCACCCGTATACCCAGCGCATCTCCTGTAGTTCGATCCAGCCTCCTGGCTTAAGCGTTCTGTTTTTTGTCAAAAGCGTTCGTTTTACTTCCAGAAAGCGGCTAAAAGGAAGCCAAGAGAAACTTACTTATATGCAGACTCCAAAAGCTTCGGCCAGTCATGTATTGAAGGCGCCATGTTACCTAACCGGATAAGGTCGTACGAATCCCGTTCGTAATACCACTCGGCCTCGGCGTCGTCCACGACAAACTTTGTGTTCGGCGGCACCCAGTCCGGCCATATCGGGCTGAGGTCGTTTCCAACGACGGCGGCTCCCGGATACTTGTCACCCAATGGTCATCAAACCCGCCCTGTCAGCATTCTTTTGGCACCATCCCGTTGGAACCATTGCATAGCATATCGAAAGGCGAAACGCACTGTCCACAGCCCATACTCCCGTCCCCGTCCCGACATCCAACACTTTTTGCGGGGTTTTCAACGGCGCCTGAAAAAGTTCACCGCCTAGTAGGCTGGTCATGATGATGTGCTTTATGTACTCGCGCTGCTGCTCTGGGTCGTCGTTAGGAAAGTGATACCGGCCCTCGCGGTATCTATGATACCTCCTGTCGTTTTCAAAGGCATAGTCGCGCACGCTTGCGGAGAGCGACATTGTGCCGTCGAACGAGGGTACGCTACGTGCCGAGGCGGTCTCGTAGCCGTCGTCCGAAGCCTCTATCATCTCGTCTGCGTTGGGGGTTGGTTGCCCTGCGGGGTCAGCGGGGTCCGCTGCCGAGTTCAAAGTCCGGGTCATTGTAGCGGACCACTGTTGGGCCATTATTACGTCCGAATTGTTGGATTCCAAGTCTTCTCACGTGGGCCTCGGCGCTCTTCCAGTGAGCTTGGCATTTAGTTTTGCGGAATGGCAATGAAACGGGAGACGTTGATGTCGGAGGAGGGTCTCGTCTGGTATTTAAGGCCCCCCAGCGATAACCCAATATCCCTGCTAAAACCAGGGGTACCATGAACCCCCGAGCCACAGTTCCTCGGGTAAAGCGCCAATCTAATGGCGGTGACGGAGTAACAAAGAAACGAAACTACAACGAACTGCATATTCGACAACGGGTCTACCCGTTGTGTTGTTGTATTCGTCACTGCGTGTGGAGGTAGAGACAGGCACGTCACGTCACAGCGACCGTTCAAATTTTCGAAAACAACATCTGATTGGGATCAGACCGATTACGCTGAATAGGTACTCTAAGAGTCTGAAAGAGCCCAAGGTGTCGGTCAGTGGACCAGCTCTTGGCGTCTGCTGCTGTGCAACACACCTTTGGCATCCATTACATCCAGTTGGAATGACCCCCGATGTCCAGTTTACCTCACATTCCACTCTTCTAAAGCATTTGTCACAAAATGACCAGCAGCTTGGTCACTTCTCGAAGATTACCAGTCGCTCCCTCGCTCGCGTGCCGCATGGGTTTTCTCCGTCTCATCCCCTTGCGTCCTGCAGCAGATACCCTGCATGCTGCGACGACTTAAACCGCTAAGCTACCCCATGCTGAAAATTTGCCTTGAAAATGCATTTTCGAAGTTGTTGTGGGGCCGATTCGACAGATCGGCGATCGGCGGCGCGCTGAGACACAACGCAATGCCGGAACGCTTGATGGTTTATGAGGGAGGTGGCCGGCCGGGTTAACGGGTTGGTCGGACGTAAGTGGGGCCGTGAGGACCCGGGCCGGATTCTGAATTGAGAATGGCGGTGGCATGGCGAGTTTCGAGGGTGCCGGGCGGGGATCATTGGATGAGGGCATTTTGATAGTTTTTATGGGGATTTGTCGATTGAGGAGACCCTGAGCAAATAATAGCAAGCTGCGTCCTAGCAGCCTCGCTGTTACTTTAGCCTCCACTCTATGATTTGATTGTGAGGTTGATTTCATATTTTGCATGACTATTGAGAATTAAATGTGGATGGCAAGGACTGAAAACTTTAGCTTGTGGAATCGCTAGGCGTGACGGCATATGCAACTTCATACTAGCGTCTAAAATAGAACAATCCGTCAAGCGACGCGGGCTCAGGTCTGGGCGAGTAAATGAACCTACTATGAGATCTTTTTTTACAGTATTTGCCAGATATACACGCTTAACCTTGGTTTAAATTGAATGTTAATGTAAACGCCAGAATGAAAGCGTACCTGCATCCAATAGAACCGGTGATGATACCCTCAAGTTGCTCCTCACTCTTTTTACTTGTAATTACTTGCCTTCCTTTCCTTTTGATCAGTTTTTCGCTTATGAGCCGACTAGATGTTTACTCTTGCATATCTTCTTTTTGACTCTCTGGCAGCTTCAAGGTACGATCGAAGCAGCTTGTTACTTGTTGCTCAGGTAAACATTATGATCATCAGCCGATACAGAAAAATAGGCACAAATCCCCATACGATACCCGCTAACATGGAACTCACGCTACTGGTAACAGATTTGATGAGTAAATAGAAAAAGCCGTAGATTCACTTGGCTGCTCCCTCATAATAACCCCCAGCAATGTTCTTGTCTCACCAGCATGCCTTAACTCAAAGCTTATTCGGCTTCTCTCATGTTCCAACAAGTCGCACCCCGAATCGAACAATCTAGATTTACTGTCTCGCCGAACCCGCAGGGAGCTAATGGACGGCCTCAACAGTCTCCTTCATCATCCATTTTAAGTCAGGAAGTATAGCGTTTATCGAGCCTAGACTAACGCTTTAATTGTACCAGCGTTCGCCACTAACACTAGTAACTATTACGCGAGCTCCAAGTCCAGCCAAGACATTGAGCATGATCATACCAATGGTTCGGCGAACGTCAGCGGCAGGCTAAAGGCAACCCTACAGGGATGGATTTGGCACCAGTGTGTTGGGGGGGGGGGGGGTCTTGAACTGCTGGGCTGAAGTTTCTAGTGATCTGTTTCTTCTCCCCCACTATTAGCGTCACTTTGTCTCGGTGAACAGCTACAACCCCACATTCACCTTGATTTTACCCCGCACCAGCAAAGGTGAACCAGTTTGAAAAATTTCAACGTCAATCGCTAGTTCAGACACACTCACTCAACTGCTGCTTATAAAACTAAGACTCGAAGGGTTTGAATCAACAAACGGAGTCATTTGCATTCCACGACGGACGGTGTCTTGATTCGGAGTTCACCGCCATTGAGGTACCACATACACCCTTGGCTGAACCGCCACGATGGATGAGCTAATAGCCTGGGCGAAATCCCATGGAGCTTGTCTTCACCCCTCGGTCGAAATCTACAACGACCCAAAGACCGGCAATTCATTCCGTGTATCCCCTGATGGAGCCGACGTTAAGCCCGGTGCCACGGTCGTCACCTGCTCTCTCAATCTGACGCTATCCTATCTCAACACCACCACCACACCTAGCCCAGGCTTCCGTCACGACGAGTCCACTACGCCGTTCCCCCCATCATTCCTCGAAAGCGTTCCTCCGCATGTTATTAGCCGCTTCTTCCTGATTAATCAGTACCTTCTCGGCAAGGCCTCGTTTTGGTACCCCTACATCCGAACCCTCCCTCAGCCAGAACACCTTCAGTCTTGGACCCTCCCTCCACTCTGGCCCTCTGATGACATTGAGCTGTTGGAGGACACCAATGTCCATGTCGCCATCTCCGAGATCAAGGCCCGCCTAAAGGCCGAATACAAGCATGCCATTGCCGCCTTCGGCGATGACTCAGCCCGAAAAGAGTACACACGCCTCCTGTACCACTGGGCCTATTCTATCTTCACCAGTCGGAGCTTCCGTCCCTCCCTGGTGATACCCGCTAAAAGACAGCGCACACTTAATCTGCCAGAGGGGTGTGGTGTTGATGACTTTTCCCTCCTACTTCCCCTGTTCGACGTGGGCAATCATTCTCCCTTGGCCAAGATCTCATGGGAGCACCCGGAGAACGCCGGGGACACCTGCGCACTGCGCACACTGGACACCTACGGCCCCAAGGACCAGGTCTTTAACAACTATGGTAGCACCAAGACTAACGCCGAACTGATGCTCGCTTACGGCTTTCGGATCCCTGAATCAGAGGCTCTGCACAACGACTACGTTCATGTCCAGCGACGAGGCGCGAGTCAGCAGGCCGAAACGGGCATAGGAGCGAAGCCAAGAGATTACCTTATTTCGCTCCGGCCCGTAACAGATCCGAGTTCTGTAGCCGTTCGGTCTCTGTCCATGTTGCAGGACCTCGATGCTAGCAAGATCTTGCCCGCTTTTAAGCACGTGCAGGATACAATGGTTTGGGAGCTCATCCAAGCCCAAACAACGGATGAGCAAAGAGAAGAGATGATTCCCGTTCCAGAAGATGTCGTTGACTCGTCAAGTGCGGATTTGGAACGCCTGAAGGCGGTCTTGACGGGCCAGGTCCCTGTAGCTTCCAGGCCGCTCCTGGAACAGACCGTCGCGATTATCCAGCATAAAATCTTCCAGGAGCTGGAACGTCTGGATCAGTCTGAATTTGAACTAGATGAGTCGGAAGCGACACAGAATCAGCTCATGGCATATCACTACAGGAGGCAGTGCAGGAAGGTACTCATGAATGTACTAGAATCGATGGGCATGCACGAGGAGAATGCTTGAGAATCATTTTCCATATCCTTTTTGCATTACGCATCCGATAATAACTCCGTGAAGCTGGAAACCTTTAGAGATCTTGCCGGATTGACCAATCGTTTGCTAGTCGTAGGACGGGAAGTTTGTCGTCGGCCCGGCTGGAGAAATTGAAATTTCCAGTTCATCAAACGGACGTCTTAAAAGCATGATGCGGAAAGAAGTCCGGCCAATCTAACACCGAAACGGAATAGTTGAAGTTATATTGGTGTGTCTGATGTGACATTCTTGCTGACTTCCCTTACATTAAACGCCGAAACGGCCTAAGATGCTCCATGCACTTTATTCTTGTTCCACACGGTCTTTATACAAGTGCTATTGGTTTAGGTTGCTTCCGTGTATGGGACGTCGCACCTTTTTACATTGCCAGCGGACGGAAGTCCAGACGGGGTTATCCGCGCGAACCATTATTATATGACAAAGTTGCCGTGTATACTACTATGCCATTTGGCAAAATGTATCTCCGGATGTCCGGAAATCGCACGAGATCTAGTCCATACAAGTTTGAAGCAAAGGTGGGGGTAAAATACGCCCGTTACCATCGTCGTTATATGTGATGTTGAATAGGTTTCGGTAAGGCGTACATTGCCCCCTTTTGGCGTTGTAGATATCAAAACAGTGTCGAGAAATCACTTGTTTCAACATTAGAACAAATCGAGGGCACCCAGAGCGTCTATGTTAATCTACTCGATAAACGTTCCTGTTGGAAAGCAACCTGCCACGCACCTTACTAACGTCGCACACCCACTTCTCGCACACCCCCACATTTCGCACACCCATAAATCGCTCATGTAGAATTTTACCCTCTTCAACATTCTTTAATATCTTCACCACTTTTACAGCGATTATTATAATTCTTTGAATAGTTACTCTTATACGCTTAATGGGCCAGTATACGGAAACAGAAGTCAATCAAGCTCTCAATGCAGTTGCAAGTGGGCAGAGTGTCCGAAAGGCAGCTCATGATGCTGGAATTCCACCATCAACCCTCCAGTCTCGATTAAAGGGTTCACAGGCAAGAAATGTAGCTTTCTCTAGCTTCCAGAAGCTATCTCCAGCACAGGAAAGTCACTTAGCTGAATGGGTGCGTATCCAGGCGGCGTTAGGGCTGCCGCCAACACATCAACAACTCAAGGAATTTGCCCAGCGAATCCTAGACATCAGAGGCACTACCCAGCCACTTGGGAGAAACTGGATTCAGTTCTTTATTAAGAGAAATCCATCAATCAAGGTTCATAGAGCTAGAGCCATCGATTCTAAGCGTGTCAATGGGGCCTCAACTAATGTAATCAGGCAATGGTTTCAACAACTCGCCCTTCCAGAGATCAAGGCGATCAAACCACATCATCGCTATAACATGGATGAAACTGGTATCCTAGAAGGCAGAGGATCAAATGGCTTAGTACTGGGATCATCAGAAAGCTCATCAATGCGAAAAAAACAGCCTGGGTCTCGGGCTTGGACAACTATGCTTGAGTGTGTCTCTGCAACTGGTCAGGCGCTTCCTCCACTTGTTATTTATCGAGGGAAATCGGTTCAACAACAATGGTTTCCTCTTGATATCCATAAACGTGATATTTACAGTGGTTGGAAGTTCACAGCAACTGAGAATGGCTAGACTTCAGACTCTACAGCTGTGGAATGGCTTGAGAACATCTTTATCCCTCTGACTAAGCCTGATCATCCCTCTGAGCAGAGACTATTGATCCTAGACGGTCATGGCAGTCATGAAACAACAGAATTTATGTATCTCTGTTATAAACACAAGATATATCTCCTTTTCCTACCGCCACATACATCCCACGTTCTCCAACCTCTAGACCAAGCAGTCTTTGGGCCTCTCAAGGCGACCTATCGAAAAGAGCTTGGATACCTCATTCAACACAACGATTCTACAGTTGTAGGCAAACGGAACTTTCTTACCTGCTATGGAAAAGCACGCCAGATGGCATTTTCAAGCAAGAATATCAGAAGCGGCTGGAAAGCAACAGGACTATGGCCCATTTCGATAGCTCGACCGCTCATGAGCCCTCTACTGCTTGAGAATGCTTCCAAGCCCTCAAAGCCAGGCTATTCTACGCCTATGAGGGCCTCTGATGGTGGAAAAGACGAAAACTGGGCATCTGCTACATCCATAGTAGCCTGGTCAACGCCCAAGAAGACAGTTGATCTATATGATCAACTTAGCTTATTCAGCAAGTTGGATAAAGATCAGCAAACGCAGCGACTGTTGTTTCGGAAGGTTCAAAAGGGATTTGATGAAAAGGACTATCAATTGGCTACAGCAGAGAAGAAGATTGCAATGTTGGAAGCAGAAGTTGAGGCTGGAATGGTACGGAAGCGGCGTAAGGTCCAAATGAGCCCAAATTCGAAGTTTGCCAACATTGAGGCAATTCACAAAGCCCAAATTGAGGCTGGCGAAATTGAGGATAGCTCAGATGAATCTAGCGAGCCTGAATTACCTATTAAAACTGGCGATAGTATCACAGTTGCAGGAGACGAATCAGACTTATAGTTATGAAGTTGATGAATACCTCATGATGACCCAATTTATGGGTGTGCGAAATGTGGGGGTGTGCGAGAAGTGGGTGTGCGACGTTATATCCAGTGCATGAGCGTGACCCGACTATGGATGTCTTGGCGTGTCGACACTCAAGGCTTTGCCAAGCACTGAGCTGGTTCCAAAATGCGACGAAAAGGTGTCTAGCACATAGCTAATATTAAATCAAGACGAACATGACTGCGCCTCAGCACGCGACGATGACAGAAAGAATGCAATTGACACCATGGTGTACACCTTTCCCGAACCTTCTGTTTGGCATCGAAAAATTCTGTTGGCAGACTTTTGAGCCACTTCACAAAGACTATGTGCAAATTCAAAAGCACCGGTTCGAATATTTATCCGATAAATTTTGCTTGCAACACAACACTGGACTTAGAGTTTAAACTAGGAAACATGGCATTGCGTTGGTTCTCGATCATTAGCCTCAGAGCCTTTTAATAAAAAAAGTCAGCCGGCTAACTTATGAGGCTCATGGTTGTTGCCGGCCTTCGCGATCTTGAGGATGACACTACACTCGACAAGGAGCATGTCTACATTCATATCGGCAGTCAAACACGCTCGAATTGTTTCGTGATGCCTTTTCGCTCATGGTAAATGCTTGGATATGATGGAAATCTTGTTGTCCGATGTCATGTTCGACCAAGATGTTCTAGAAGACGAAGAAACTGACATTGTGAAACTTTAACCACTTGGATCCGATGTTCCTGCACTAGAACGATAAGTAGGACGATGAGCTAGTTGCTTTGGAGTTAAAATTGTGGGAGAGAAAACGCCTGTGCTCAAATCAAAACACGTGCGTAGCTTTCGTCTGATATCAAAGACTCCCTATCCGGGATGGTACTACTTGGAGCTATCTCAATAAAAGCACGTTGTAACCTTGACCCCGCATGCCGGTTGAGTTATCTCCCTTGAGTCAGTCACAATCTTGCTTCGTCTACGCAGCGGCCCATTGGACTGGATCGCGGCCAACCACACATGCCTGGCTGATCGGAAGCCCATCCGCATTACCTGGTCATGTGGTCGAGCTTACTCTACAGGGTCATCTTGTAAAATGGTGCCTGCAACCGCATGAGTCGCGGATGGAACACGGGTGCCGAGGACAACATCAAGGCCGATTGCTCAGAGGCTACTGGAAATTTGTTTGGAATTTAGATGCCGATGAAGGAAACTTCTGCATGATTACAGAAAATTGCATGTTCTGTGAATTCGGTAGTTGACACCACGATTTACCAACTGCCGAAATCCGATGCAAACATGCACGATTAAGAATGGCCACCTCTATCGGCACGATATTCCATACAAACCCAACTCTCCCAGGCTCCCCATCGATTGCGTGCGGGCGTTGACCCCTCACTGCAAGGTTAGAACGTTGGGCTACACCTTTACAGTTTAACGTTTTGAAGCATCAAAGTTTGTGCGCCGTACAACAGGACCAATCAAAATGCTAATGCTTGAAATTGAAAATGTCACGTCAGATTGTTCTCGTTTCCAGGGCCGGGGGTTCGTTGGGCTTTACGCGGCTTGGTATATACGAAGCCAACGACGCCATTTTCGGTCTGTTGTGACCCCTCAAGAAGCAATGCATAACAATAACGACCTCACCGAAACTTCTGCTCATTCAACGCGCTAACCCGGCGGCAATTCGTCCATATTCCGACCGATCACTTTCATTTGTTAGCATGCCTTATCATTTTGTGTCTCTCCGAATTCGAAGAACGACAATTGCGCCTGTATCCGATGCGTAATGTCTAGCCAACAGGGGGCCGCCCCCCCGCCAGAAGGCGTGGTGCCGAACCTGAAGAACCCAACGGACGTCTTGCACACCATAAACCTCATTTCCCAGGTACTTTCCATAATATCTGTGAGCGGCTTCATGATCTTGCGATGCCATGTAAAAACATTTATCACGCCGCCGTTTCAAATCGACGATTGTACGTCGCCCTCTGTCTCCCCTACTCCTTCTTCCCAGAGGCCAGATGCTAAAACCTTGTTTAGGGGTCTCCGTTGTGGCATGGGTAAGATATGATTCTTGATATTCATATTTCTTAGCCACTGCAGGCTCACACTTCGCAGGTATTGTCCCTAGCATACAGTGCCACAGCCCTTGTGAGTGAGTATTTACCGTGACCCTAGTGAACTTCCGATGCTAAAGCTGGACAAGTGCATCACTATGGCGGAGGGTTTCACGTCTATGAAATTTCCAAAGCGGACTTGGTCGGCTTCAAGAAAGTGAGTTTTTGCCATCCACTTCGATCAAGACGCGCGTAGCTGAGTTCCTCTCTGGGGTTGTATGCCGACACCATTGTGTATGGTCCAAACTCTTATTTCACAAAGCTCGCCTTGCTTCTAATCATCACGAGGGTTTTCAGGACATATAGAAAGACAGTCTTGGGAACCTACGGTATAATAATTCTCATGACTGGATATTATTTTCCCGTCCTCGTCATCAAAACCCTCATTTGTCGACCGGTCTCGGGATTCTGGGACCCGACAGCTCAGGCGGACTGCTTCAACCAAAGGGCCATTTTTGTTGCCGACACAGCTGTCAGCGCCGTCACCGACCTGGCTGTCCTCTGCCTCCCTATTCCTGTCGCACTAACTCTCAGAATGTCTTGGAGCAAGCGGCTAAAAGTAATCGCTATGCTCAGCGCAGGAGGTATAGCCACGGCAGCGAGCATCATCCGCATGGTCCTCGTCGTCAGACTTCAAAAATCGAATGACGAGCCGGTCGACTTCATTCGATTTAACCTTCTCGGGTGAGTTGCTCTCCCTCTTCGACGGCTGTCCTGTCGGACATGCTTCGTGGACCAGACTAACGACGATATCAGCACTGCCGAGGTGAGCATAGGAATGATATGTGCGTGCTTACCTGCTGTTAACATTATCATCATGCGTGGATGCGACTTTTCACCAAATTCGAGTCGCGGTACCAGAAACTTTTTTCCTCCTGTTGAATTGAAGTTTTTAAAGGGAAGTAAACTCAGAACACAAAACTTAACGGGTATGTTGAGGAGCGACGCAGACATGGAGTCATCGTCGGTGAACCCTTCAGATCAGGGTGTAATGGGGAGAAAAGAGGCGAGGAGCTGCATCTTCCCCATTGAACGACTTAGCAGGATCGAAACAATACCAGAGAATAGCCCCGAAACAGCAACACGCCCAGATGACTGGTATACGAAAGTTACTTCACCGACGTTTTCGGGGCCCACTTCCCCAGATTGGGCACGGAATGCCGTCAACGGGAAAGCCGAGCCGAGAGATATAGAATCTGCGGGTACACCAGACAGCTAGCGTTGCATTGTTCATGGAAGGATGTCCTTTTAGAATACCCGTTCTTCTAAATAATAAGCTGAAATATTATTTGAAACTTGAAGCCCAAGTGCAACTTGACATTTCCGAGCGAGAACTCAAGTCGTGGTAGTATTCATTTTGTTGTTGTAAGCATGCCTTGGAGTGTGTGTGACTTGACAACTCATTCAACCCGCCTATTCTACTCTTTGTGATATTCACATCATTCAGCATTTTTTTCCGTGCGGAAGAAGTTCGCTGTACACGGCCCTCTCCAATTCATCATACAGCCTGATAACGATTGGATCCCCAAAAGGGAGAATTTGCACGAACAGCGCAGCTGCGATGCCTGACTCGCGGTCCATCCACCAGTGACTGTTGCACATACCACTCCATGTCATGCTACCCTTTTTGCGCTTCCCAGGCGCATCTCCCATATTGATGAACCCAGTAAGCCCGTGGTTAAGTTTCATGTTTGGCTCGAACTGAGGTGTGGCGTTCAACTGCAAAGAAATTTCCGTCTGCACCTTGGCCAGCTCATCGTTGAACTGTGGCCGGAACATCTCGTCCACCGTCTCCTTGCTTACGATCTTATTTGTAAGTAGTGCGTGGAGAAACTTGGCGTAGTCCTGTGCCGTGGTATGAAGGCCAGCGCCACCACTTTCAACCTCGTGCTCTGTTGGAAATGGCTGCGGGCCGGGACCAAGTGTGGATTTATCACCGTCCCTGTAGGCCCATCCGGAAATCCGTCCCGAGATGTGGGGAAGTTTCTCGGGCCAGAAGCCGGTATCCTTCATGCCCAGAGGCTCGAATATGTCCTCGGTCATGTACTCGCCGAGGGTCTTGCCTGTAATTTTCTCCAGGACGAAACCTACCCAGTCTATAGCTGTACCATAACACCAGCTTTCACCAGGTTTAAACACAAAGGGTGTGATGAAGCTTTCGAGACTCCATTGAGGGCTCGGTTTACGGCTAGTCGCCTTCAGCCATCTTTGAAGGCTAGGGTCCATAGCATCGTAGCTCAGGCCCGCAGAATGGGTGAGCAGTGTCCTTGCTCAGGTTAGATATTGTTTGGGCAGCAGGATCGGTTATCTCATACCTGAGGCTAATGGGTGTGTCGTGATCTTCAAGAATTGGCTCTTCTTCGCTAGTAAAGCCTCGAAGAATTGGCATCTGTTTCAGCTGGGGTGCCAAATCGCGTATATCATCATCCAACCCAACCAAGCCGCGCTCAACAAGCTGCATTATACTAGTAGCCGTGATTATTTTCGTCATGGATGCAACGAATGTGAACGTGCCGGCATCCCATGGGGGGGAGTCCAGCGCATGATCTCTGCGGCCAGCTGAGCCGCTGTACAGGATTCCTGCTCTTATATTTAGAGGTGCTCGGTATGCTTTGCCGTGCACTATGGAGTCTTACCATCTTTATTGACGACGAAGAAAGTCGCGCCAAGGAGTTTGTCCGTTGTGTCTTCTTGGCCAACAGCGGCGGTGTGCTTGGCGAGAATGGCGTCGAGGGAATTCATTTTGTAGAGCAGTGTTCAGAAAAATATCATCCGGCGGTGTGAATTATCTGGCAGGCGATGGTTCAAATAAGGGCAAACCGAGCTCAATGTTTATACCCGTAGACGAGTTAAAGGTGGACCTTGGTAATGGAGGACACGGTGGCAGGCCACGTTGTTCGGAGCAAATAGTGGCTGGGGCGAACAAAGACGATGGACCTGAAATGTGGTGATAAAGGTGAATTCCACTGTTGCCTAATGATTGCAAGAACTTGAAATAGAAATGCACGGAGCCCCACATCTGGTGAGTAATAGAGCGATTGTGTTCCATCCAGGAGAGCTCTCTGCCACTGGTCTAGTGTCTACTATGTAAGCCTGCTGTAGCTACCTACATTTGTAATTGGCTGAGGTTGGTTTTCTACCTACTGTCTTACTGGCAGACCATGTCTGTGACATAGGCCTGCATAATCCATGTCTTCTACGAAATGCCAAGATAACCGTTCCTCAAGTTATGATAACGGGCATGGGTAATGACGTACAATTAAATGGCTGTCATAGCATAGTTACATGTCACTTAAACTGTTTTCCATCTTTACTCTTTGCGTATTCCAAATTTATCCGCGAACGCCTTCAGAAGGAAGTGGAATGAATGCAAACCTCATCGGGAGTGGCTTGGGTGATATGCCAAGGTAAACCATTTGACTTGCTTTAAGAGTAGTAAAGCCGTCCTCATTGAAGGCGCCCAAACTTCATTAGAGCATCTTAGCCAAGATCTACTTAGCCGACATTAGTATTCGTATTCGTCTAACAGAAACTGACACTCTTCAGGTACCTATTTCGTCTTACGCAATGTTAGTTTATTCAGCAAATTTCAAGATGGCGCCAAGAAATCATTGGCATTACCGAACTCTACTACCTAGCGCAAGGAACGGGGAAGATCACAAGATGTATTTACAAATGAAGGTTGCGAAGAGACTTTCAAGCAATAAATGACGACCAAGTCAACCTACAAGTCGTCCTTCTAAACTTGTCAGACTGCGTAATCTGATTTAGATATTTTATGACTGCCTAAGGAAACCGCAAAAACGCATATACCAGCAAGACTATGAGTTAGTACAAAAAGTTTGAAACGCTTAATTCTAACTGCCGTCTATCGGGGCAAAGAAAAAATGCAGTCATGGCTGCCGACAACATTAGAACATCACCACATATAGCGGAATGTCAATGCCTTATCTCCTTGGCTTGAAAGCTCCTCTGCTGTGTATCGACTATCTTCCCCAGCGGCCATCCTACTGTCACGCTTCTTATTGATCCCAATATAGGACAATATGAGTATAACAGCGGCGATAATGCCAACCGAAATGAACCCAAGCTCTAATGCATGGCCAAGAATGTATCTGGGGGCGTCTTTCTGACGGTAGAAGTTGGAGGCCATGGCCTTTTTTAGTCAGTAATCGTCCTTGTCGAAGTTAATTGGCAAAACTTACGCCGCCCAAATTACCAACGCCAATCTGAATAGCCATTCCAGCACTACGTTTGTAACTGCCAGAGAGGTTGTTTGCAAGCCAGCTAATCACTCCAGGGAAGGCAGGATAGATCGCGCAGGCAGCAACAAAGACTCCACCGTACACAACTTTGGGGTTAGAACTTGATATACACCTGTTTTTTATGCTTTCGTCAGCACCGCACTTGACTCAAGGGATTGAGGTTGAATACATTGAAAACCCAACAATCATCATGCACAGAAATCCAACAATGAAGGGGCTCCGTTTGCCCAGACGATCAGAGAGGTAAGCAACTATAACTGCAAGTACCGCAGCAGTGATGTAGATGGGTACTGTCATAAGTTGAGCTGTGCTTGAAGTGTAATTGAGGTTTCGTATAATCGTGGGTAGAAATAGGCTGATGCCATATAACGGGCAAACAATCTGAGAGACAGTCAGTATATTCACCCATGAAATCAGATTGCAGCCACTTACACCCCAGTAAACAAATATGTTGATCCAGATCTGCCAGTCTGTGAAGGCATCCCAGACGTATTTCCACTTAAACTCTTCAGCTTCCGGGACGCGAACATGACTCTCGTATTTGCCCTGAACTTGCCCTTGGTATTTGAGCCGATAAACAACAAATGCCCTCTCCTCTTCTGTTAAGAATTTGGCTGTCTCGGGGAAGTCGTGCAGGGCAAAAAACGCCCAAACCGCCACAAGGACTGTGACAATGCCTTCTAGGATAAAGATCCAACGCCACCCCTCCAATCCACCTGTGCCGTCCATCTTGGAAATTGCAAACGCCAAGAGGCCACTGAAAGCTCCAGCAATTGAGGCTGCGGAAAAGAACATTGCCTGACGCAGTTGAATCTCATGTCGACAATACCACATGGTCAAATAGTACTGAAACCCAGCGTTAGATCAGCAGCCAATGTGCACCGTTGCTTGTAGTGAAAAGAACTTACAGCAACCCCCGGAAACAACCCAGCCTCTGTGACGCCAAGAAAAATACGAGCAATCAAAAGACCCTCGTAATTTCTCACGATTCCCATGAGGGTCATCACTGTGCCCCACGCAACCATGATCGTAGGAAGCCAGATGCTTGGGCGAAGCTTTTTGAGGAGCAGATTGCTCGGCACCTCAAAGGCGGCGTACGTGAAGAAAAATACTGTGAGACACCAGTTGTACTGATCAGATGTCATTCCAAGATCTTCTTGTAGCCCTTCAATCTTAGCGTTGCCAATATTTCCCCCTTTCATCAGAGTCAGTAGACAGCGTTCAAAAAAGCTTCAGTGTAACTCTACTCACGGTCAAGAAAAGACAAGAGATAGAGTAACGCTAGCATGGGAATAAGTCGAATGTCCATCTGGAGGGCGTTTATCAGCACATTAGCCATCGTGGTTAGATAGTCGCTTTTATCTCAGCTATATTTTTATTTTGTCTGTCGGGGATGTCAACTACCTTTCTTAAAATTTTCTTCTCATCCAAACGAGCAAAGGATTCCAGTGTGGTGGCTTGATCATTCGTAATGGTATCAATGCGACTGGTCTTGTCCCTCCTCGTCGCATGCTCGTGATGTCCACTCTCAAGCCCAGAAACATCCATTTTCTCTCGGTGCGGGGTGTCGGAAGCCATCTTGGTCGCCTCAAAAATATCGCCAAATGTTTTCCCAAAAGGCTGTAGGAAGTACAAACCGTAAAAGCACCAGAAAAACAAGTAAGTTGAAATGGATGTAACGCAGAACAGGAACGCGACACGACAGTTACACTGGTAAAAACATGCTAAGAGAACGAATAGTAAACAACTATTGAAGCCTGTCCTAGATATAGGCCCTTCCGGTTAGTCGTCGGCTCGGCCTAGGACACAATGCCAAACAGGATGGCGAAAGTCCTCTTCGTCAGCGGCTGAAGCTCGCCCCATTCAGAACGTGGTCGGTAGATCTAAGCGGCCAATAGAGGGTGTTGTCATCTCTCCATTCCGCGGGACTTCTGCTAGTTAACGCCGAGGTTGGAGTTTACCCCGCGTCGTTTGACCTTAATTTTGTAAGCCTGGGGAAACTAGACTGCGGACTGCTGCCCGTTCCAACGTCGGACCCACGCACCAATGTATTTGGTAGTTGGAGATTGGCTACAGACAATCATGTATGGTACGAGATCGACGCAGCGGAGCAATTGGCGTTGCAGATGGTCGTGATGTCACTTAAAACGTGCGGGGGAGGGGGCCGGTGTTCGGACCGCGCACGGCAACTAAGAGCCGCCGCGGTGCCTAATTCCGCTTTGAACCTGACAGTATGCGAATACAACATCGCGGAATCGGCTTTACATCTGGGTCCCGAATGGTCACGAGATGGAGGCGACACAAACATCCAACGTTTCCCTAGTTTCAAGTATTTATTGCTACACAGGCAGGTTGCTCTACATTCTATATTCAGAAGACAACTGAGTGTAAAGCTTTCAGAGGGATTACCCACCCATCAGGCTGACTGTGAGCAAGAGAAGACTGAAGATCAGGAAAGACTCCAGTTCGATCAATTCCAACAGCGTTGAAAGTCTCACCCTAAGGCGTCGACATCGAGCACATCGGTGTCTTTCCCCACCCCTTGGACTGAACCTATTACCATTTTGCCCTTGACTTCCGCTAGCACATCTCCAAAAGGAGTCTCTTGAAGTCTGACCAAGGCGCCTTATCTTTGAATGATGAGCCCGTCTTATCTCAACGACTTAGTGGGTAACTACCAAGAAAACGTTGAGCGGGCGTAGTTATTACTGATGGGAAGCTTAACCAACAGCCATAAACAGAGTCTCCGGCGAAATAAATGCCTAAACTTCATTCGGTTGGTTTCTTTTCTAAAGTATCTTCCTATGCATGCTTAGCTTTGTGCCCCTGTTTTTTCTTCCATAACGTTGGACATGAGAAACAAGCAGAGTTCTGATAAACTCCAACTTCATTCATCAAATGTGGATATCTTAAGTTTTATCTTCGTGACCACTTTTTCACTGAACTGAACTTAAGCCTTGGTGAACATGAAAGCCTCCCTAACAAGTACCATTGCTTCAAGACCTTTTGTCTTCTGTCTACTCAAGTAGCGAATTCATTTAACAAACTTTTTCGAACTCTCAAAAAATAGAATACGATTTCACTAGGTAAAACACGAGACGAACAGGTTTCGGCAGAAGTGGTTATCAGTCGACCATAGAGCTGTGATGAGGAGGTATTCTCAGGTCGAGAAGTAGATCAAGCACAGAACGATGACGTCAGTACTGTGGCGCCCAAGCCCCAAAGAGAGGACTTATGATGAGGTCATTGGGAAACATGTAGCCGCGCATAAGTCGAAAAATGGCCCATCCATCTGTCTGTTTACAATTGACACAAGCCTTCTAGATGTACACTGGATAAAATAGTCTGATTCTTTGGAACTGCAACTACCATGGCTGCTGTTCCGGAGACACCACAGCTTTTGCAAGACCACGATGTACACCCAATACCACTCGTGGGAAAACCGCTCAATCGTGAGCCTCCGGTGGCCGACTTAACATCAAGGTATTTACAAGTGTTTGTGTTTGGGTAGAATTGCAGTGACTCACTGTTAGACTTAGTTTCTTAGCCGGCGATGATGCCTACAATCGAAATCATGGCTCAATTCCCGAAATTGGTCGTGACTCTCACCGTGTCTTGGTCGATGGCGAGGTCCGGACGCCTCTATCGCTGACGGTTGATGACCTTGCCTCTATGTTTCCACAGCATGAAGTAACATGTGTACTCCAGTGTGCCGGGAATCGCCGGCATACTATGCGCACGTGGCTGAAGGAGGTGGACGGCATAGATTGGGGCGATGCTGCGATAATGAATTGCAGTTGGCGGGGTCCACGTTTGATGGACATCCTCAAGTTTGCGGGAGTTGAGGTAGTTGAGGATGGTCATGTTGCATTTTCTTGTTATCAAGCAGAGACTGAGAAAGACAGCTGGTATGGTGCCAGCATTGAGCTTGAGCGTGCCATGGACGAGAGCCGAGAGATTGTTCTCGCACTAGAGGTAAGGCCTCAGATATCACCATTTTCTAGCCTTCGAAACTAAATTTTGGTTTACTTGGTGTTAGCGCAACTCAAAACCCCTCTCACCCAGTCATGGTGCACCTGTTCGCGTCATTGTCCCTGGCGTTGCGGGTGCGCGGTCTGTGAAGTGGTTGGACCGCATGACTGTTCAAAGGAAAGAGTCGTCCAACTTTTATCAACAGAGAGACTACAAAGTCCTTCCTGAAGAAGTAAAAACTGCAGAGGAAGCGGAGTCTCACTGGGAGACTACCCCAGCTCTCCAGGATATGCCCGTCAATTCCGTCATTGTTTCGCCGAGATCTGGCAGTTCCAAACCCCTCAAAGAGGATGGAACAATTGAGGTTACAGGATATGCTGTTCCAGGAGGCCCTGATGGACCAATTGTCAGCGTTGAAGTATCTATTGATGAACAGAAAACATGGACCCAAGCGACATTGCACAGTGGGCCAAGTAAGTGGTCTTGGAGCCTTTGGAGTGCTTTGGTCAAAGCCGAAAGGGGCACGATCAAGAGGATTTTTTCCAGGGCAAGGGATAGAGGAGGCAACGAACAGATGGCAAAGCCAGCTTGGAACCTTCGCGGTGTTGCATACAACGGGTATGGAGAATCCAGAGATGTTACAATTACATGATGATTGTCAGGCCAAAGTTTTGGAGATTACCTCAGAAAAAGCCTACCTGTCACCGCATTCTTAAATCATAGCTACCTTGTTATATCCCGTGCAATTTTAATAAACACAGTATGATCCAGCAATTGTCGATTACTAACACTACATTTTAGCAGCTCATTCAGGTGATGTGGCTCAACTGAATATTTATCTCTGTCATTCCAATTTCGCGTCAAGTTGTAATATGGAAACACTACCTTGAAGTTACTGTAGTCAACTATATCACATTAGCGAGTCAGCATACGATTGTCCCTAGACTCTTTGGCGATATATCCCTAAATATCTTGAGTTTCCAACATCCTATCTAGCTATGTCTTCTCCAGAAGCTCAACATACATCTAGCTAAAGCTTCGGAATACGTGTAAATGGAATCTTCCTCTTATTATTGGCCTTTGTCATATCGGCAGTAAAGTGATTTCCAAGTCCTTGAAGGCCTCGATCCAGTCAAAGTCACTAGCTGCCGGTTGACTCATAATCTCTTGCTTTTGCCAAATTTGCTGAATAACTTCCCATAATCTCTGATAATTAGCGATATGATAAGACTGAACCCGTTGCCACCAAAGGGTCCAGGTATCGTGAAATGTCGCTTCACAGGAAGCCACAAAAGCTGGCCACATTATTGGCGCCATTCTCTTGGCAGCATTTGAAGCTGACCGTTCCTTAATATCCTCAACGGCGTGCATGTGTTCAGCTATCTTGGCAATCACTTGGTCATGATCATGACTGCAGCACCTCTGTATGCGGCGATGGTAGTATGTGAGAGCAGCCAGATGCCAAGCATTAGAATGATGCCGGAATATCTCAAAAGCATCTTCGTCATCCGATATATGTCGGGAGGATTCAGCTTGAAATGACCAGCAGCAGAGGCGGTCTCCAAGAGATTCACAGGCTTCCAGCAGTCCGTCTGGGATTGGTTCTTGATACTCTTTATACCATGATAGATACTCAGCCAATCGACAAGTCTCAAATATGTTCGTGGCAGTGACAGTTGTGATCCCATACATGTATCCGAAGCAGCAGTCTGACTCAATCCCACTGGCGACAAAACCTTCGGTATCCTGAGTGTTAACTGAAGGCCAAGGTCGTGGTGACGATGAAAAGGCCATGGTTCGGGCTAGTAAGTGTAAAAAGTCGCTGATTTCGTTGAGTTGTCGAGTTTCCCGACTAATGTGCCTCCATTTTCGGCGTCGATTTCTTAATTGCTGCGTGCCTTGTAAGTGTATCGCAAAATCGGCTTCGCAGCCGGACATGAACTGAAACAGTAAGTACGTCGAGCCAACTCCATATAGTCAGTCCAACTTACGTCTATCGTTACAAGAGACAGCATTGCCACCATCAGCATCTTATAGTCAGTTGTGGTCATTTCAAATCTGATTGTTGACTGAAGTAAGAATAAAGCCTGCTGCCGATGCTGAGAGCCTATTTTATGATAACTTGTCTGGGATGGAAGACAGTTCCATAGATGGAAGGCGGACGACGATAGTAAAGAATGAAGTATGACGGACTGCACAGATTGCTTATTTGTTTGCTTCATTGGTGACATGCCAGAAGCCGCTTCTAATGCTGCCGGAATGTATAGCTGCCGATAGGGATTTTGTGGGTGTTCAATAGGTTGTAGCAGGACAGCGATATGGTCCGCATAATGGTGCATGAGTTTGTCAACGGCCAGATTGCCAGATATACTGATAGATAATCTGTAGCTTGATAAGCTGCTAATATCGAATGGCTTTGTGTTATGTATTTGTAAGACAGTCGATGAGGAATTCGTGCTGCCCAAGCCCTCACTCGAGGGGCTAAACGAGGTGATGTATCCTGCGTTCTTTTGAGGAGGTTTATAACCATTAGGAATGGCACTCGTATGTTCATGGACCAATCTGTTGTTGTTGTCGCTGGGAAGTTCTGGTACATCATGTGACGTGAACACATCACTCTGGGCCATGCTTGATGAGTCGTCAGCGTGTTGAAAACCCCGGCTGGTCGAGGCTTGGCCTGGAGGTTTGGATTTAAAAGATTCCTTGTTGGTGTCACCATTCTCAGCATCCGTTTGAAGTGTCGGGAATACAGTAAAAGGCCCTTCCCTCATTGAACAACCTGAACCGGCTGCAACATCGAGAGTCTCCAGAAACTTGTCTATTTCTTGTGTTCGGTAGGTAGGTCCTGTATCTCGATCTGAAAACGAGTTGTTTAAGTCATGAACCCCCAATCTACCTTGGGACAAAGTAGTCTCACGTACCAATTTTGATTCTTCCGCCACCACTACTGTTGGTGCGTTGGGCTTTGTTAAGTTCGCGGAATGGATTGGAAATGTTGATCCATTGAAGCCTGATACCGTAACCCCCGCAGGGAACTTTTATCTTCAGGCAGTTCCCGCAGCTAGAAGGCCTCTCGTCACACTTGACTTTACGCTTCTTGCATGTCCAACAACTACGGGATGTGCACAAGTGGGTTAGCCCTCATTATTTGTGTCTACAAGCAGTGCGAAGTGTTTACCCAGTGAAGGTCATTGACCGCTGTGCCTTGGCTGGTTCCATGATTTGGAGCACCACCTTAGTAAAGAATTGTGGTCGAAGGATGAAAGTTCAAATAGTGTCTAGGTATGAAGCAAGGATAGGCCATTCCCCAACTAAGGGCAAGGGTGCCTGCAGCGCTCTGCGAGTTCAGTAGTCTTGCAAAGAGGGGTTCAGAATCTGGAGAAAGAGTCGTCGGTGATAAGGTGTTTGTAAGAGTGCTATCGATCTAGTCCGTTTCGTCGGCAGCGTCTAAAAATCGGCTCTTAGCTCCCTATAGTGGGGCTAATATAAATCCATGCCAAATCCGGGTTTTTTTTTTTTCCTTTTTTGTTTTTTTTTTTGGCGCTAGAAAAATTATAACGTTAGTTAGTATTCAGTTTCTAGCTTAGTAAATAAGACTAACTTTTATATCATCAAAACTCTTTAGTAACTATAGCCCACTTGAGGATATACTACACTATGCGCCAGGATATAACTCTCGTAAGAGCCCGCGGGCGCAACGACAGTCGTCGCACAAAGCTTGTGGAAGACGATTTCCTCTCATTAGCAGCACCTAGTTAGAACCTCGATCGTGACAAGCGCATTTCTGCTCTTCAGGACCTCTGGTGTTGTGGGTTCGCTCAGTCCAGGACCAAGAGACGGTGCACTTCGGCCATAGAAGCAATGGCATGAACTACATTATGGCACTGAACGTCACTGCACCCTTTACGCTCTCTGGCCCGGACACCACACTCTTCCTCAACTAAAATGGCAGCCTGGTCTTCAACGCAGATGAGTATCTATATCCGCTGCGCTCTGTAAGTGAGCGGGATGCATCGAACTTGATCCCGGACAACCGGAGCGGATCTGGACAAGCATCTCCACTTCGACGCATGACGAGGTACTGGTGTCGCTCCCAGCGAATATTTATATTAATACGGATGTTCTACATGGGAGTGCGGCATGGGTCAACGGAAAACTTCCCGGGCGGTTCGAGGTTTTTCGTGCATGGCGGCTATCATATCCTTTTCAGCTGGAGCCAGATTGCCCTTGTTGCCCCGCTCGAGACCGTCGTCTAAAAGGGGCTCGTTGTAAGAGAACCGTGATGCATACCATTTACACTCGTTATTCAGACATATCATAGCTTTTTTTTTTTTTTTTTTTTTTTTTTTTGATTGGGCTTGTGCAGATAATAATGAAAAAAAGTCTTAAATACAAAGCAAAGAACTATTGTCCATAAATTGCGACAAAATAGAACCTGCAGTTGAATTCCAAATCTTTGCGGCATATTTCACCAGACTTAGTCTTTCAAAGACCTAGAATATAACGTTTCTTGACAAAATCGCGCAAAGGCTCAACTGGAAAAGCCCCATGTGAAGGCCATCGAGCTGCCCACTACATGCTTTCCATCCGACCATTCCAGTCTGCCCCAAGACGTAGCATTAGAATTAGCATTACGGGGCGGCTGCAGCTTCACTGCCACTACATAGGTCTGTTTTTCCCCCTCAGAATTGAAGACGAGTGTAGCGGGTTTTACGCCAACCGTGACCATAGTCGGGTCATCCAGTGAAACGAACACGTTGTAAGTGCCGGCACCGCCCACGTTCTTGACCGTCCGCGTGAACATGGCTGTGTACGTCCCATTCGTGGTTGAGACGTTGTAGAACGCGGAATAGGAAGGATAGTTGAGGTCATATGCGCTATACTCCAGTCCCGGGGTGCAGGTAAAGTTGCTCTTTGTGATTCCTTTTGTGAACTCAGTTGTAGTGTTGAAAGCGCACAGGGAATCACGGTATTCGTGTGGGGCGATGTTGTAGACGAGACCTGGGTCCAAGGCAGCCATCGGGTCCACATGTCCGTTTCCGTAGTTGAAAGGGTTTGCGACGGTGGAATTTGTATTCTCTAGTATTGGCGATGAGGTGCCTTTGAGTGTGGTATACGCGGTGGTCATAATGGCGGACTTGACCTCGGCAACGCTCCACTCCGGACGCCGTGCCATGATGGAGGCCGCAATGCCAGCAATATGGGGGCAAGACATGGATGTACCAGATATGATTGCGAAATTGCCCTTTGTCGGGTTTAACTTGTCGTTTGTCCAGCCGGCCAAAACGGATACTCCGGGACCGGTGATGTCGGGCTTGAGAATGCCAGGCGCTGGTATGGTAGGGCCTCTACCGCTGAAGCCGGCCATAATCGGTGCCGGGACGCCGACTTTAGCATCGCCAAACTTGAAGGTAATCGTGGCGTTCGGGCTTTTCGCGTATTCTTCCACTTCAGAGCCTGCCTTGAAGCCTAGGTGTACCCCAGGGATGACATGTGAGGACGCGAACAACTCTTCGCCCTGGGTGGCCGGGCTGACGACAATAATACCACTGCCGCCAGCATCTTTAACAACTTGTCCCTTTTCTCTCATAGAGCCTTTCCCCAAGCGACAGACAACAACTTTCCCGGCCACCTTATCCGGGTCAAGGCTGTCTTTAAGACAGTAAGCTGCGATAGAAGCGTTACCCTTGCTGACTTGAGTGCCGCGAACGAGACGATGCATCCCAGCATCAGCCACTGATTGGTTCTTACTCCCTCCAGCACTGGTTCTGTACAGGCTGGCGCCAGTAACTGTTTTATTACTCCCGAGGATGACGCTGGCAGGAAACTCACGGTCGAGCGTGCTGGCGGCAATAGTCATCGCCCATGGCGCGATATTTCTCACTGTACCAAACTCTGGTCCATCGTTGCCAGCGGACAACGTGACGAAGATGCCCTTTTCCATGGCGGCGTAGCTCCCCGACACAATTGGATCCTGATCGCTAAGTTTGGTCACGTTAGGACCAAGCGACAATGACAAGACGTTGACGCCGTCCGCGATAGCTTGGTCCATGCCGGCGGCGATATCGGACTCCGCGCAGTCCTCCTTCCAACAGACCTTGTACATTGCTATGCGGGCGTATTTGGCGATACCGCGAGCGGTGCCCTGTGCTAGGCCATTGAAGCTTGCGTTGTGCACCTCGGCGCCGGCCGCGGTCGTCGAAGTATGCGTGCCGTGGCCGAGATTGTCTCTAGCAGACTTGTATTGCCCGGTCCAGTTGAATGGGTGAGTCTCATTGGACATCTCCGCGACGTAGCCCTTATAGTAGGATCGTGCGCCGATTAGCTTCTTGTTACAATCCTTGGCCGTCCACCCGTCTTCTTCCTCGCATTTCCCCTTCCAAGTCTCCGGAATTGGGCCCATTCCCTCGTCGCTGAAGCCTGGGTTCTCGGGCCAGGCTCCGGTGTCAAGCAGTCCGATGACGATATTTGACTCTGCATCTTTAGCTTCGGTGTCATTTCTCTCATCCTGATACGTATTCTGGTTCAGAGGGAACTTCCCATACAAGGCCTCGTTGCTGATGAGGCCGAGAAACTGAGGGGTTCTGGTGGTGTGGAGGCGGTACATCCTATCAGGCCTCACTGACAAAACGGTCCCATGGGCGCGCAGCGCTTCGGCTTGTGCTTCGGTGAGCTGCGCCGCGTATCCATTTATAGCGTTGGAGTAGGTGTAGAGAACAGAGGCTGGATCTGCAGCAATTGCGTCGAGGGAGGCTTGTTGCAATGACCTGCGATGCGTGCCACTCCCGGCCTCCGCTTGTTCCATATGAACGATGTACGTTTTCTTCGGTTCCCCTGCCGCGAATACCACCGCCACTAAAATGAGTGCCCTCAAAACGAGTCCCAGAATTTGTTTCGCCATAGTGCCGTAAGTAGCTTGGGACGTCATACGTATTAGTATTAACAGCTGGGCAAAATCACAACTACCCCTCTGGGCAAAAGTGCCAAGAAGCTAGACAACGTGATTTTCACCTTGTCAGAGGTTACAAGAACCCTCGAAGACGGTTTTTACAGGTTATCAAAAAGTCGATTGGAAAACATGGAACCCGCTGAGACAAGCGCTCTCCTCAAAAAAGATGTGATGGCGCTTATGGACAGCCAAAATAGGGATTTGAGACCATCTTAAACTAGTCTAGATGACAGCTACATTTGGTTCGATCCAATGACATGTTTGGAGCTTCCTCCTGCTAGCAAAACTATCGAACGAAATAAGCGTGCTTCCAAGCACAAAAGGTGGCATCGGCTGTATAAATCCTCGGTTGGCTCGGTCGTAGAACATTCCTAAAGTCAATCTCAAGTGCGGGGCAAACTTACACCTCAAATCTTGTTTGATCTGTCACAAACGAGAAACGGCTCTTACGGTTTGTATTAGGGCCAGTTTCTTAAGTTTTGGGGGTTGACGAGAAAATCTCCAAACCTTCTTCCTCAATTATGATCACACCTTTGCATCCCATGCCTGCCAAAACCCACGCGTAGCTTTCCAACTCACGGTTCCAGGCCGGGAATACCGAAACTCAAACTATTCGCATGTTGCTGACCAAAGTCCCGGAAGAACTTGCCGTGAACATTAAAAATCTTCAATAAGCCATCGGTTTGTAGCCATAAACCGTTGCTGAAGAGCCTCAAGGTGGTATGGAACGTAGCTGCAGGGGTGGTTGAGGTAGGAGTTGTTTATTGTGAGAAATACATCAGTGGTGAACCGCAGCCGAGAGGAGCAGAGTGACAGCTCAGAAATACTTGTCGGGCCACTAATGAATTTGAAAACTTGTCAGAAGAGAGTAAAACCCTGTAGCCGCCTTTGAAAGTCGAGACGGCTAGCAAAGACCTACTTTCTGTAAAAGAATGACTCACTGCTGTTTAATTCGGAACCATTGTTAAGTAGCGTCGCCGCCAGGTAATCTTTCGGCAAAAGGTTGACCACGATGCGCGGCGGGGCCAACCGAACATTCCGCCGGCATCAGCAGATTTATTGGAGAAGGTATCACTCTTTGTTGACAATCTTAGGTGCTCCTTAAACCCCTCTCTTAGTTTACTTGCAAATGGCATATACGTCTAGACAAGACACGAACTAACTGTGCAAAACCACCGAAAGCTACTGAAAATAATAGAGGCAGACTTCGTTATGGACCTCGGTGACTACACTCCTGGTGACACTGTATTTGCGCTGCCGCCTGACTGTTTATTAGAGAAAGGCCTTTTGGTAATAATCTACGCTGCTTGGGGGTTGAGCTCTTGCGGCTAAACATGCCGAACTTCAGGTAAAATACCCAACAAGATCCCAGTGAACTCACAATTACTTGTCTTGGCAACAAACCGAGAGAACTCAATCGAGAAGCGTTCAGCTAACGGAAGAAGCTTGAAACAAGGCCCTTCTCATCGCTAAGCCGCCACGACTCATGCGAGAACTAACTAGTAGCACAGGTAGGCCTTAACTATTTTCTCATTTAGCATTTGTTAGCGTTGAGTTTGTCTAAAGTCTCACGTGCCCTTTCAAGTCACCAATAATTGAGGGTTTTCCATGGGCATAAGCATTTGTAGTCTTTCTCGTTACTTCTTTCATCCGCGGTCGTCATTTCTGTCTTTAAGCATATGCAGCAAAGATAAGTAATACCGCAGCAACCTCTGTTCTCACGTCGCCTACCATCGCCAGCATTTACAATTAGTTAAATATTCTCTGACCATAAACAAATGAAGTGGATGGCAGGCTATTCTCGGTTGCAAGCCGACAGCGACACGGCATTGCAACTTGAAGTTGAGAAACCATCCATTTTATCCGATCCTTGGATGTCAAGTTTTCGCTTGAACACGGTTGAGGCAGTATGGCGCGCTGCATGCTTTTTCATGTTCATTACCGGTGCCTTAATGATGATAACAGCTTTGAGATGGGCCCCATCAGACAAATACTGTGCTGCGCAGCTCAGCGTATGGTGTACGTGCAACTCGTCTTCTTCTTTATTTCCCGTACCTTACGTTGCGTTGTGCATATGCTTAATTACTGATTAACCCTCTAGCTCCCCTTTTGGAAGCCGTCGAGTACGAGGAGCGTGACTTTGAGAGTGGTCTTGCATTAGACAACTCGGGCTTCACCGGCCTTCCCACCGCAGAGATGGAAGCCAAGTGGGAAGGTCTTGCTCAAGGTATTATCAAATATCTCACGGTCGCAGTAAAACAAGATGGGTTCACTGACAACTAACACGATCTCTTTTCAGTACCCGGTGTCTTGATACCATCTGACCGTGTTCCCTACCTCAACAGGAGCGTTGACCAAGGCTTTGTGCCGGCAATTTCCAGCTCTCCTTCCTCAGGATTCGTTGGTGGAGTCGAAGTATTCCATCACCTTCATTGCCTCAACATGTTGCGGCAATACATCTGGAGAGACTCTTACCCTGAAAACATTATACCAAGCTTACTTAAGTTGAATTCGCCGGAAGTTGCCCGGAACCATACAAATCATTGTATTGATACGCTGCGCCAGGCACTTATGTGCACCGGAGACGTTACCCCATATCTGGTTTACAAGACCGAAGTTTCTGTTGAGTCAAAGTCGCCTATCAGAGAAGATTTCCAAGCATCTCATAAATGTAGGAAGTTCCCTAAATTACTAGACTGGATGATGAAGAATGGGGTTGTAATCTCGTGGGACTCGGTAAGCGAGAACATGTAGTAGATTGTTGCGACGTTCTTGTTGATTGTCTCAGTTCCATCTGTACTGTATCGGTTGGGGCGGTTTGTCAGCTATGATCCTAACTACGCTAAGAGAACGGTTGTTGACCGCCAGGGCTGCACTAGCGGCGCCCTTGCGGCAGACATACCAGGAAGTGTGACGTGCAGAGCTGTATGCTCAGGCCACATACCCTAAAATTCATCTCTTAAGTTTTGCCTAGTAGTAACTGTAACTCCGCGTTCAATGTAGACCTGAGTCCAACTGGCTCTTCTACGTCTATAATATCCACTTATTCTCCCAGCAAGATTGTTGAGTTCAAAATGGGGTGTCAGAATCTTATGCTGGTCGGCCCTTAGTGGCGTAAGCAGAGTTTCTTGAAGATGACTTCAGATGAGTATGAACCGTGGAAGGTCCTTCGAAGTATATATCGAGAGGCCTCATAGAACTTTAGGGTCGCCCGTACTAAATGGACCGAGGATAGGCCACTGTTGCCTCCTCTTCTATCTAGTTAAAACGTTGTTGATAATGATTAACGTCTCTGTGGCCCAGTTAGCCCATTAGGTTGTTTCTTATCTTGTCCAAAACCCTAAACCACCAACTCTGGACTGGTTTATGGGTGGATATGTGCTTTTACATTACTAATGTGTGTCATCAGGGACCCTGGTACCGTTATATCCTGCGAAAGTACGATCTAGGATCTGCTCCATATATCAAGGTATGTTGACAAACTTTCGCTTCTTCTACAGGTCCCCGCGAGAGGGAGGTGGCAACACACAACACTCTCGTTCTTCTAGGCACATCACCTGTCATTACTCCCCTTGTTTCTTTATTATTTCTCAATTCTTTTTGTCCAACTGTTAAGTGGTCGTTGAGTTCCTGAAAATGCACCACCTGAGAAGACTGCCGTAAGTCGCGGCGGCTCGTGTGCAGTCTGAAGGGGTGTTATTCAGGCAAGTGGACGGCTTGGCTCATAACTGAGTCGAATCAGCACGATAATACTAATGTCGGTCATTATAGCCCGGAAAGAGGCTAACGTCAAAAGAATTTCATACGGGGATTTCTTTCCAGAGTTTCAGCATTTCCAGCCAGAATCAAACTCTGCAAATGTACTATTACATAACTCTAGCGGTGTGGATACTTCAATTACGACGAAAGTCTTCGTCCCCTAATGTGTTTACTTTCTTACGTCTTCTTGGCAATTGCCTGGAAACGTAGAGAGAACAAATTAACGGCACGATGTCCCAGATAGCGCCGAACAATGTTATCGGCAGTGCAGAGACAAAGTATGCTGAAACTCTAGTGACTTGGCGACATTTAGCATGTCACTAACGCTTGCGGGGTTCTGCAGCTTGACATAAGAGTTAATTTTCTAACGTTAAGTATTGGCACAGCGGTTGTTGTGGATAAGCGTCAAACAACGCAAGCAATACATTTCGCGACCCAATGGGACGCTCCCTCGAGGCTGAGGGTTAAACGTCGGTTACATGTGAAGATATCTCTGTTTCGTGTTTACCTCCTGAGTAATGCGGAGGATATCCATTGCAAAAATTATGTTGACAGCTCACAAAGAGACAATCCGCGTATGGAGCCGCTGCCCTTGTTTACATTTCGGCTGCAGTACTATAAGAAGGTCAGCGGAGTTCTAGCCCCGGGTATTCTATTACAAAGTCAGTGATGTGCCATGGATTTCGTTAATTTCCGGGTGTGCATGTGGGCACATGGGTTACTAACTTCAGATACACCTGAATTAATCCACTGCCCCAGGTCGAACCTTACTAGGATAAAACAAGGCTTTTCTAGTTCTACTTGGTATCTGATTGAATACACACTTGAAAGAGAGCATGAACCCCGGAAAGAATTTCCAGAACAAAAAAAAACAGAAATGTCGAGACGACCTCTAAAAGTTTCCGGCTTCATCTGATCAGAATACCCCTAAAGCAAGCTGTGGGTTTGATTTTGTTCTGCAGCTCAACCACTGACGGCTCGCACGTTGAACCACCAATACATATTCAATATAACGGTATTTAATACTGTTTAAGAAGATATAATATAGTTATTCACTAGCCGCACTTGAAAATATGCATCAATAAACCCCCGACTGTTTATTACTAATACACTAGTAAAGGTTAAAACAAGCTTAGACTAAGAAAGTTTAAGAAAAGACAGGCTATTAGGACGGCAACTCCAAGCAATGAACATGAAGTTGAAGTAACTTTGACAAGTTAGGGCCGAAATAATAAACATTGAACAAGGAACATGACGTCGATGTAACTTTACTATAGTTTAGGACGGCAGGAGCAAATGCTATGGTTTGTAAAGGGTTCAGATCATGTCATGAGTTGACATGTTGTCGTCTGACCAAGTTTTGATAGGTGAATTAAACAGCATTGCATATCATGAGGACTGTGCTGAGCGACTGCCAGATGGGTGGTGTTGGTGTGTATTATCTCCGAGAGGACAGAGACCGGAGTTTGTCGTCAAACACTGTTGAGCTGGAATAGACCATCTTGGTACTGCGCCCGCCCCAAGGTCTGGCTGCCGCAAACATCATTGTTCAACCCAGAGCTGGGGAAATAGGGGGAGTCACTCCAGCCTCAAGTGAGACTCACCATACTCACCTTACGCCATCAGAATGAACCCCATGTCGTTTCCAAACGACAATTCGACTGGTCCAAGTGTCCAAGGCTGACGCAATGACTTCGGCCTCACGCTCAAGTTCGAGAGAATCTTTATGATAATCCTGCCTACTGCCTTACTCACCGTTCTTTCAATCCTAAGAATCAAAGTCCTCGTTCATAGGCCAAAGGTGGTGTGGTATATCAGCTTGTAATATATCAAGCTTGAGTGTATATCTTGTAACAAATGGACCAGTCACCTGTGCTAACTCATTAAAGCATGAGTTAAAATATCATCTACACAGCCTATAGTAGTAGATCTCATTCTTAGTATCACTGTCACTGCTAGGGAAATAGAGCTACTAACTGTTGCATCTGCTATGAGCCTCATTGCAGCGCTATGCAAGCTAGGATTGAGGAGGCGTTCATCCTGATAGAGATTAATATCTTGAGTCCTGCCGGCCTAACCATGGTAATCTGCCTAGTTGGTTCTGGAAAATCCATGTTTTGCAAATCATTACTCGACGAAACCCCCGTTGCGGAAGGTCAATAGTTAAAAACATCAGCTGCCGCACTGTTGGGTATTGCGAACAAGTTCCGTTTCTGTGGAACGCATCTTTAAGGGACAATATATTCGGCTTCTTAACGACTGTGAGATAAGTCAAGATACGCAGCCGTTATCGAGGCTCCTGTGATTTTCCAAGTCCTTCGACCTCTTCCCAGGGCGACCAAACCAAGGTTGGCAGCGACGGGGTTAGTCTGAGTGGGGGACAGAAACAGAGAGTGTCTATCGCGAGAGCGCTTGATGGGCAATAAGACCTGCTTATTTTTGGTGATTTCCTAAGCGCTCTCGATGCTGATACACAGCAGCATATCTTTCATCGCGTATTTGGTCTTAAAAGAATGCTTAAAACAAGAACTGCGAGCACTGTTCGTTATACTCATTTTACGCAGATTCCCTAATCCACTGATGGCACTCTTGGTGACACAGGCTGATTTGAACGTATTATTGCTAGCGGGCAAAAGCCCATCCATAATTTTGCAGGACCGTCTGGGGCAGATAGCAGATCGGATCCTGGCATATCAGCTGTATCGGCAGGAGTCGATGTCCCGGCACCTCACAACCGCCATACACCATCTGAGGACCGGCAGGATACCAAAAGGGGCGCACTCGTCATCGGCGATGCTGCAGTGTTTGGGTTCTACTGCCGAAACATTGGAACAGTTCTGGTGTTCACCTTCGCTGGTTATGGCATCATTTTCGGGTTTCTATACAATTATCCCACTATTTTTTGGCTCAAGTTTTGGGGTGAAGATGTGTCATCCGCGGAACCAGTACATTCGGGGGTTTGAAAAATTTGTTTTTGCAAGACATGACTCTACTAAATGGAGATCTTCCGCGGGCTCCCACCAACAAATCACTCCAAGTTTGGGTTGGACTAGGATCAGCTGCTGTGATTTCGACTTCATCTCCCTTCGTGATGATATCGTATCCCTTCAGCTTAGGGTGCCAATGAAGTCAAAGGTGAGTGGGGGAAAGCGGGGGAGTAATTATAGTTTTGTCAGGGTGATGTCACAGAAGTCAATGTATTTAGGCAGTCCACGATATATGTAACAAAAGGCTGTAACGTAGTTAATAAGCGGGTGGACCACCCAGCCGCGACTACTCGAAGAGTACAGTCACTTATCAATGTTGTCATGAGTAAATCAATTTGAACTACTCATGAGCCTCTTTTCTAGACATGTTTTTATTAATTTGACATATTCGTACATTGCGTGCTCTTTGGCCTTCAGTAGTAGATGTTTCCTAGGAAAAGCTTAGACCTAGTTATTCCTCACGACCAATAATCGCCAAGAATGCAGAGCCGTTTCTCTAAGTCCTTGACTCGTTGATGTGATGTAGGGAACACTAACCTGCCTCCCATTCTTGTTTATTCAACATAACACATATTTCAGGCTAGGCGTATCCCTTGAAGAGAAAGTATCATTACTCCGGACTAGCATCCTTGTATATTGCTGTGCAGACTAGTCCTTAGGACGCCCTATTCCAACGCCGTCTTGTGAGAGAAGTTGGAGCCAAACTCAATGCAAAAATTTTCCTAAAGCATTTCTTGTGACTATCCCATCGAGGTCTAGTTCGCTACAGGTACATCCTCGTGAGGGGACTTAGCCACTCAGAGGCTAGCCAAGACTTTTTCTAGCCAACCAAATAATTCTGACTGAATGGCACTTACACAATGTGAACAATCTAGCTTTAACACAGGTATATGTATTATCAGAGTTACATGAATACAGACTGGGAAACAGGGCCTGATAGCCTACGGTCATGTATTTTTGATATGGCGGGAAAAAAGTGGGTGTAGATTGGGGGCTATGTAGCTGTAGGCAACTGGATGGACCCTGATGGGATAGGGTTGGTGAAAAATAAATGAAGATCAAGCTAAAGAGTTTTAAGGTTGAAGAAAGCCTGCTCATTTACGGCGAATCGAGTACTTAAGATCTAAGTATCTTAAAGACGTGTTATATTCAAGTATATCAGGCATCCCTCGTCATCGTCGCAGGTGTTTCACCACCCCCAGCCCATTCTTAACGCATTGAAACAAAACACGAAGGTACTACGTTCTTGGTAACTGAAGTTCTAGAACCCAAGTGTATCCAATGCCATTGTAATAATCTCATCTAACAGTCCAGTTTTCGTCAATCCAGTTTGAAATCTTGTTGAAGTCTCTACACTTGTGGTGCGTATTGAAGTCCGCACGCGCACCCGCAGGTCCGCCTAGGCGAACCATGAGTGGGGTGACATCAGCGAAGCACATGAGTGAGATGCGTAGAGCTTCCAGACAGTGGTCAACGTGTATCCGGTTTTTCAGAGGGTCATTCGATAGCCCAACTGGGATCTTATCGTATTTGCCCACCTGCCACCAGGTGTACACCCGTATCATGTTCTACGCAGTCAGTGAGCCAGCGGGCTTTAGAAGCGAATCAAGTGTTGGGACTTTACCAAGCAATGGAGTTGATGGAAAACCTCGAGCAGTGCGACGTAACCATCGCCTACGTCTTCGGGCACATGCTTAAGGTGATCCGCTTCAGATCGGTTTAGGCCAGAAAGTTTATCAGGTGGGATTTCGACCGCGTGCTCTGGCATTTTGTCAGTGAAGCTACTATATTATGGGTGGAAGAAGCATTTTAAAAAAACGAACTATATGTGAGATCAAACCAGGCTTGCTCTCTCTCTGGAGTTGGAAGCCCGCGGTAAATGCTTGTTGAGTTGAAAGCGTCGTTGAAGTCCATTGTAACATACTCAACGGCATCAAGGGCAGGAGCTGTCTATGTTAGAACGCGTCTCCAAGTCTTCTGCGGGATCACCCAAACTTTCGAGAGAGCTTGGAGGGCAGAACTTACACCACATAGACAGCTGGCGCGCACACTGCTGATCGCTCGGAGCACGCAAGATAGAAAACATGAAGCCGAAAGCCACGCTAAGAGCCAGGACACTAAGAGGAACGAGAGAACTTCTGAGTAAATCGGCAATCCGTGAGTGAGTCCGTTGGTTCCATTCTATCCAGCGGAACCGCTGACGAAGACTTCCTTCGCCGTTCTGACTGTTGCCAAAATCCTCAACAGATTCAGAGTCTCGGCTGTCAGTAGACATGAGAGGCTTGTAAGATGGACTCTTCGCTTCCATCATGGGTGGAATCATGGTTGGGTTGGATTCAAGAAAGAATGATTTCAAACTAGAGAACAGTTTGCAAGTAATGCACATGTGAGATTACGTACAGCAGTATGTGAACGAGAAAGGGATTATTTGAATGATATAAGATTGTATTTCCGCAAAGTACTCACTTGGATGTACATAAGTGCTTACCTTACTCGAACGATTAGAAGATTTAAGACCTTAAATATTACAAAGCACAAGTTTGAAACCTTGTGCCTCCTAAACTTCCGCTATTATGAGAAAGTTTTACAACAAGCGACTGAGATTTGCTTCTAGATTTCACTAAATACTTGAAAAAGAAGAGGGACTAATGCACGAGGAGCAGTCTAACAAACTTTCTTTTACTAGCCTTTCTTATTATCTTTGTATGCAATTTCCAGTTTTATGCAACTAAAGAGTATGGGGGTTGCTAGGCATGGTGTTTGCTGACGTTTTTCATTCGTAAAAGGCTGGATCAGAAACTCTAAAGGGTTGCATACAGTTTTTGGATGTAGACGGAGAGAGAGTATAAGTCATGAGTTGCCTGGGATCTGTTGTAAATGCAAGTTGAAGGTATACAGAGACTCGGCAAGTTGAAGGCATTCAGAAACTCCGCAATTTCTTCGTTAGGTTCGATCGTGTACATGTCGATTGAGTCAAGAAAACTATCGCGGAACTCAGCTGCTGCATGCTATGATGAGTGACGATGCGTGAGTCGTGCGGTGTGATGTTGCATGCAATGGAGGCATGGTGTGAAGCCGATATGTCCAGTGAGGCAAGTTGCCCCGTGATAGAAGTATTCGGGACAAAAAAAGCATGAGATTCTCAAGATGAGTAAACTTGAAGGATGAAAATCACTCAGACTAGTTGTTTCTCTAGTGTTTGGTCTTGCGAATTGCACTTTGACTATAAATATGAAAGCTTTTCGCTGTTCTCAACCAGATTTTTTTTCCTCATCAACACAGCCTCAAACATTTTGAACAGAATATCAAATTATCAGACCCTTCTCAGGTTTTGAATTGAAAATCAACCCCCTACACAAAAATGAAGTCTGCCATTCTTGCCATCGTTGCCACCCTTGCGGCTTCTGTCGCCGCCTCGCCTGTCTCTGAGCGCTCTATCGGTAGTATTACCGTGAAGCGTTCTACCCTCATGGCGGCCTCTAAGCGCGATCGCGCTGCTGATAAAGTCACTGAGGACAACATTTCTGACAGTGTCAACTACATCCTGAAGTTGTTCGTCGACGGTGATAAGCGTCCCGATGCTTACCAGGATGAGATCGATGCCGCTGATCCCAAGGAAGTCCTTGGCTAAGAATTTCGGGGAAAACAAAACCGCCGTCCATGCGGTAAGCTCCTGCAAACTACTGACGCAATTTTCGAAACTCTTTGGCATTTCACTGACGTCTTCTTGGTTGTATTCCTAGGCGATATGACTCGTCTTTTTGGACAGATTCTACACCGTGAATAACAAAGACTGAGCTGGACACTTGCGGCTCAGTTATAGCGGCGGACTAAGAGTATGGGGTTACTATCCCTCAGCTTTGGTGAATGGTCGATGGTAAATGGTGCCTATCTCATGTTGGATAGCTTTAAAATCTTGTCATGGAGACTAGCTTTACAAAATGAGACCAACTGATTACACCACGTAAAAATCAGAATAACACGCCCTACTTTATAAGGGTTAGGGTTATCGTGTCCAATGATGACAATGCATGTTTCCTTAAGTTTTGTGAAGTCAGGCTGCTTGGGGCACAGATGATGTTATGAGTCTTCTCATTACTCGTTCGTCGATGAGCAGCTTCGCGGTACGGTTTAAACACCGTGGAAATCAATATAATATTGAATATGTTTGACTAAGCTGCGGTTTTAGTTACACAGTTAAAGGTTATCTGGCATACGGGGTTACCAACTTCTTACGCATTTGGTCAAGTTATTATGAAATGGAACAGAAATTTGACCAAGAGACGTGTAAACTGAAATCTTATTGACATCAAAGAGGAAGTCAAACTATAATTAGCTACTAATTATGACTAAAGAGACAATACTAATAATCCACCCACGCCCAGCCCCCATGTGACTTGGAGTCTTGACGTATGCCCTGACAACTGAATAGCAGAGTCTGGTTAAAGGGGATGCAACCAAGATTAAACAAGGGCATGGTCCCGGTTCTTGGAAATAAGACAACAATCGAGACAACATGGGCTGGTCTCCAGGTCTGTTCCTTGCTTCTTACTATTCAAATCGGGAAGGTACAAGGATAGGGCAGGATGCACCAAGTCATCCTAATGCAACTCGTCCAGAACCATCAATTGACGGAGTCGAGTTGTTGGTGGACATGCTTGCAATTTCGTATACTCGCAGGGGCTAGTTGCCCTTGAATAGGGAAGCCGTGTGTCTATAAACCCAGAGCAAACGAGTTCATGGATGTCGCATGTGCTACGCAACAAGAATCCGCCACCCCGGAAACTGGCGCTGCGGAATCAACCGACTGACATGCGGCGTTAATTGGTCAAAGTCTTCCAAGAATCGCACAACGTGGCTTTCAATGTGGATAGTTTGCAAGGGGTTATCATGATGGCGCATAAATATGCAAAAGATCTCGACGTAAAAGGTTGGTGATGTTTGCTCTTTGCACCAACAACTACGGCGTTGGAACATGGGTGCAATAGGTCCATCGGAGGCGGACAAACGGCCCGAAACCTGAAGTTACGTATGCAGGTTCCTGATGAGTCCCTTGATGCAACAATTTCGGTTATGTCTAAACTTTTTCATTCCTTTTCCCTCTACGTAATGTGAACATGGAGGCTGTAAGCCAACAATTTGTTGGTTGCTGAAAGAAGAGGTAGAGAAGACGAAAGAGAGAACAGAGAACACCAGGTAGAGCACACCCTGTAGGGCAAATTTTGACCCCGTGCAATTTCGGACATGGGAAGCTGGACATGCAAAACCAGTCATGATTTTGATATACGGCTATGCAGGTTACAAAATGACATCTGCGATCAGTTTTCTGTCAGATCTCACAACTGGTTGTCACAAAACGCATCGAACAACAACCGTGTGGTACTCCAGATACGGGGCTTTCTAGATTTCCGGGGGGGACAGCTAACCTCCCCACCTACAGCATTGTTATACCAGGCCAATAAAAGAAAGACGGAAAAATCACACGACGAAAAACTAAGGAATTGAGGCAGGCGAACAAACACACCAGTAGAATAGACGAACCAATGCGATGAGGTATATGCCGCTCATGTACAGTGACTTCCGGACATCAAGGCGACAACTACAAGGCGTATTCGACCTGTAGCGACAGGACACGCCCCCTGTCCTACTTTTGTCTGTGACCAACAGCGCTTCCACGACTGGTTCGCCACAACCGGTTGAAAACTGAGAGCGTCGTAATAATACTGAAAACGATGCCGTGCCGCTTCTCGTCACATGGGCATGAGATCATGTGCTCCCGCTCAAAGCGTTGGAGATGACCCCATTCCTCCTGAACTTGGTTACCCCTGAAGATATGACTGTTCGCTTCGGCCAGAGACTCACAAATCTCGGTCAAGAAGTGGATACAGCGTTGGTCACTTTTTTGGACGATCGGTGTGTTGTCTCTGGAAAAACTCTGGGAAGTCGAACACGAACCGCGGGCTACGTTATGGATGGCCCGGTTACGACGCAAATGTCGTGCGGTTTTTAGCTAACTACCGCGGTTGTATTTCACCGATCAGACGTTCTTGTTTTTGCGGCTGCGGCGGGAGGAGGGCGTCGTTCCATTCCGAAATGGACGGGTGTGTTGCGACGAGCGGTCCGGCGCGCCACCCGGCCAAAGCTAAATTTCGGGTCCGTGGGAAGGGTGAATTTTGTTTGATACGCTTGAGCAACTCCAACTAAGTCAAGGTCTACCTACTACCTCAACTTTGACACCAGACATGCCAGCCATGCTGACTCCCCCCTTCTTGGTCTATTCTGGGGCTCCTTAGCATAGGTTCTGTTTGACGTGTGCTGTCGGTGGGCCATCGAGTGTAACTAGGGCCTAGGCCTATAGTCATTACATCCTGGTCCAAAACCATCATCCACCCACTGGGGCAATATGGGCGGTGTAGAGAGTAGCGGCGGCGATGCCGTGTTTCTTTTGGCTCCGAAGCAAACTTGGGCATGTCCGGTGGACCGCTTAGCATCACCGTCCGGATCAATGCTGAACAATAGCGAGCGCATAATAACAATGCAAAAGGCGATAACAGAAGAGGGGAGATCCCCCCCTTTGTTTTCTCGTTTGCCGGGGGTCTGATGTCAACTGGGGGGTTTTGGGCGAGAGCCACAGCGCAGTGGTTCAATATGACACGCAACGGCCGCTTGGTTATCCAAACTCCTCAGGGCCCGCCAATGTGGCTTGTCACATGAGTGACCGTATCTGCGAGTCTTGCGTTTGTCAGGCCTTGTTACATTCGGGGCGGCGTGGACAAGCCCCCTGCGGTGAAAGAGGGATCAGCATATTGTACAGGGAGTTTGCGGGGCCGGATGGGGGGGTTTTAAGTCGCATCAACATTTTTTTTTTGACCCTCCTGACAGCTGCAAGACATCACTTCAAAGCGTGCAACGTGCTATTTTGGCCGGGGGGGAGGTCCCTTAGGAGGTCATGGCGGCGCGACGACGGAGGCATTTGTCAATGATGCCCCTCTCCAGACCACGTCTGCCGTCGACAAGGGGCGTTGCGCTTGGGCGTAGAAATCTCGAAATTAGCGGTAACGGGCACGACATCGACCCAAGTCTAGATTCCAATTCGCAGTGGGTTTGTATCATAATCTATCAACCCCTGTGAGGCTGACTAGCAGATCGTTATTGCTGCTGCCGAGCTTGTACTGCTATTGTCAGGTAGCAATAGGGTTTGAAAATGCTGCTATTCAGGGACGCGGCGTACACCGTGTCACTCAATACGGCATTTACACGCCTATCGGACCCATTGATAATCTGGCCTACATAGTAGGCCTTGTCGCAGAGTGAGTGTGAGCAACGATAAAATTACGACTGATATTGAAGAATGGATTGGGTTCAGGTCAAAGCAGACGCCGGCCGGAGTGGATTACCATAACGGAGGTGGCTTGGGCGCAGAGCAGATTTCGTGTTGCGAATTCGTAATTATGCATACCTTTATCTTGATGAAGAAAAGTAGATAGATTCCTTTAGCCGATATAGGAATTTTGTAGGCCTAGAGCATCGACATGAACTCAAGGCTGACGACTCGCAACACAACCACTAGTCTGCAAACCACTCCCGCTATCATCAACCATCGCATGTCCGAACCGAGCTGAAAATCACTCTTGCCCATTCAAAGTTAACAAGTCTCCTTGGCTTCTTACTTAGCTACCAAGTTAGGAAGGAATGCCTATCAAGGGCCTTGGATGCGAGACAACCAGTCTCCCCTGTCACCGCCATCGGTTGATCTTCAGCCCTTGTCGACATGCCGGAAGTCCAGGCGTTCTGTGCTGTCAGGTATCCACGCATCTAAGCCATCACGCCTGTAACAGGTGAAGAACGGGCAAAAGTATCGGTACATTTCAGTTCCTACCATTGTCTGGCCTCGTGCATGACACTCGCCCAATGGGGACCGCCGTCACCAGTCAACTGCCCGTCAGCTCGAGCGAGTATGCGAAACTGGCTGGCCAAGAGAGGCATTTGCTTGCGATCACCTCGGCGGCAATAACATTTCACTACTGGTAGATACTAGTTCGCTCGTTGCCGAAGCCTCTCCCGCGGCGTCACGAGACTCACGTAACGTTCAACCGTAAATACGGCAAAAGGTGTCTCAGCTATCTGCAGCCACAGGCAGGGGTTCAAATATGTGCTGTGTACCACAATGCGGAGGCAGAGCCATTGAGGGAGGACTTCTACGAAGCAAGTAGAGACTTGCATTCAGGTGACGAACCACAACCTGGCTCTCAGGAACCCAGATTCTTCGGTGTTGCAGAGTCTCCGTTCGGATCAAAACATCCATTATGCATCTGACAGGCGGCACTAACTATTCTCCCCAGCTTCTGCTGAGTGGCTTTTTTTCTCGGCGGGCACAGAGCATATCCGACTCATTTCAACCCCGCAGACTACCTGGAGTAACTCCACCAAGACGCGGCTGGCATATCAGGTGAGTTTAGGGACTTCCGTGGCATGAGCCGATTCCTCCGAAGGTAATAGGGGGCAAGTCCGGAGACGACAAATGATCTTTGGAGACGACCAGCTGTCATGATTGCGGCATGGTTGCGTAGATGCGGCCAAGGCTACCGAAGAAGGTTCTTATGTGCCAAATTACAGGCGTCCAAGACCCGG